CTTACAAGTAATTTTTCTACTGAAAATGAAAATGTATCATTATTTTATGCTATGAAATACACGGTATTATTTTTTGCCAAAATTAATTTGAATTTCGATAAAATGGATAAAAATATAAAATGATTTATAGATAATCTAATAGATATTACTTTATATCATAATATAAGTACAATTTATACAAAATCAAAACTTATTCTTAAGTTCAATTAACAAAATAAAGTATAAACATAAGGAACGTAATATTTTTAAATAAGTTGGAACGCCACAAAGTTTTAAACTTGTATTATTATATTAACAATAGAGTTCCAATACCTTCGCATACATAACGAAATCAATACATCAACATTAAATCCATGGAGTATGTAATCAGATAAACGGAATGGCAACATTTTAGTTTCCAATGCATATACGTGTAATTGCTGACTCCAATATCACAGACATTCACTTCATGGGATAATCGATGAGAGTACGTAAGGAGTATAATTAATTCATCTCGAATAAAAAATTCTCCGCGCTCTGTATTGAGGCGAGGAATTGGTTTTGCACACTTACTTAAATTAAGGTTCGAATTATTCTAATTCGAATTGCTGTAATATATATAAATATATATATATATATATATATATAAATTTAACGGCAATAACAAATATTCGCCATTCGATGAATTAAGTAAAAATATCTACATTCTAATTATAATTATAAATACTAAGTGTAGAATTTATGACTATTGATATATTTGTAGGTATATAAATTTAACAAATAAGTAATGAGAACTTGAAATTAATAATAACAATGTTATATTAATAATGAAAGGGATAGCAAAATATGTTAAACGATTATAATATTTAGTGATTTGGTGTAGCTAATATTTTATTTAATGTGATTGATACACCTAGTAAAGATGAGATAAAATAAACTCGTTTTTAAATGTTTATGCCTTATTATGTACATTGATATGTATTAAAGATTATGGGAATTAAAAAAAATATAACGTATTGTAATTATTGTTATTATCATTCTTATTAATACTATTATTAATATTATTATTACAAACGTTAACAAATATAATCATTTCTCAATAAAGATGTAATATGCAAAAGGCAATGAATCTTTTATAACAATAAATATAATAATTTAAATTACATTGCATAGAAAGAATTATACTGATACTATTCGGGATTAAAGCAATTTCGAAGACCGTTGACTGTGGGGATCGCCGCTCTCTCTATCGCTCATGTTTCTGTAAACACTTGAGTACGAAGGGAATTTTCGAATATTTGTTATGTTTTGGCTTCAAATGGCCTAGAATGTTATGGTTTTCGAGCAGTAACATCGCTTGGAATTCTCGAAACTTCTTACATCCCGTTTCTTCCCTGAATTCTTTTTTAACCTACGCCTTATTGCTTAGCGTTCTACAATATTTCCACATAGACAACTGAAACTACTCGACAACTGAAAATTCTCGAACCTTCCAATGCAGTGTCCTTCTAGACTTCTCGAATATTCTGTAGCCTTGCTCTGACGTCATTAAGACTTTCGGCTTACCGTTGTTGTACGCTACCACGCGAATATTTAAGGGCGGCCGCCACGCTCCTGGGCTCACTGTACTTTTAGCATTTACTCAGTCATCAGTTGTTGCTCACTGTATCTTTATCAATCATTCACTCATCGGTTATTGCTTAAAGTAATTTTTCTCAATGAATGAGATATGTTATTAACCCCGCCACATACCAGTAAAGTAATTGTAATATACCTACATAATTCTGACAACTTCTGAAATAATAATCTAATAAGCCAACGGTGAAGCCATAAGAAATTATAACCATTAAGAGCGCTATATTCAAGTAGACACGGGTGCTAAGTGTGATTCAAAGGTTAATATTAAAATAGATCATCACAAAATTAGGTAAAACAAATAAATTTAGCGTGCAGTTAATTAAAAGGAAAAACATATATTAAAGGCGCAAGAGCGACAGCCCCTAGCACGTATCTACTAAGTATTTATCAGTTCGCAAAGGTCTCTGCGACCGGCCACAGGTGATATATACACCATGGCTACAAGGGGCAGAAATCAGTTTGCGAAAGCCCCGCGAACGGCCACAGCTGAAACATACACCATGGCTAAAAGGGGCGGAAATAAGTTCGCGAAGGCCCCGCGAACGGCCATAGTTGAAACATACACCACGGCTACAAGGGCCAAGACATTACAAGGAGGCCGCACGACGGCCACAGTTGAAACATACACAACGGCTACAAGGGCAGAGACACTACAAGGAGGCCGCACGACGGCCACAGTTGAAACATACACCACGGCTACAAGGGCAGAGACATTACAAGGAGGCCCCGGGACGGCCATAGTTGAATCATACACCACTTCTACAAGGGGCGGAAATCAGTTCGCAAAGGTCTCGCCACGGCCACAGTTGAAACATAAACCAGAGCTATAAGGGCAGAGACATTACAAGGAGGCTGTGCGACGTCCACAGTTGAAACATACAATACGGCTACAAGGGGCAGATGTTAGATCGTCACCAACACGTGACATAACTCAAGGAAGTATAGAGATTTACACCTCATGCTGCTGCGAGCAGTGAATGCCATCACCACGTGAAAAATACTGAAAGGATCTCACAGATTCCAGCTCCACCTTGGAATCATATTCATTGTAGTCAGTTAAATAAAGAAAAAACCCAAGATACGCTGTATGTTGACATTGAATTAATGCGCCTTCCTCTTCCACTTGCCAGCAATCCCCCCACCTAATAGTGTAAATAAGGATCAAGTGTATGAATATTGCCCCAGCAGCCCAATTATAATAAACTTATTGTAGAAAAATTAATTAAAATAAAAGATATAATAAAAAAAATTGGTAAAAGTTTTTTACAATTTTATTATCTTAAATAAAAAAATCTTTTTAATATTCTCTTAAAGTCTAATAGTCACAATATGCCGAGGTACTAAATTTTCATTTAAATCTTAAGAATAAGTAAAGATTGCCAAAATTAATTGAACTTTATTTCGCGAGTTTCGGAATATTGAAGAAATTTAGTTGCAAACTTTTCTATTTGTATCATTCTTACATGTATATTTTTCTTATATTCATTTTTTATTTAAAAATATTCTATATGTAATATTTTGAAATACACACTTTATTTATTCATCGATTAACAAAGTGGATCGAAAATGCGAGGACAAAACTAATATTAAAGTAAATAGATCTTACATTAATAATTTATAAGATTTTGATTGCCTATATGTAGGGTATTTAATACAATTAACAGAAACTATATTATATATTATTCGATAAATTTTCTATGCTAAACAAATATCTAAATTATTAAAATTAATTTAATTTAATTTAATTTCCTAATTTTCACATGTGTATTTAAAAAATTACTAATATAAAGTCATAATTAATTAATTATAAAATCACTATTAATTACAAAAGTTATTACTTTAAATTATGATTTGATAATGACAAAATTTATTATTGCAAAAAAATTAGAATCTTTTGCACAATAAATTTATTATCAATAATTGTTGGTGCTTATTTTAAATTAATGCAAATATGTATATCGTACACATTTATATCAGTATATATTATAAATTAAAATAGAGTTAATAGCCATAATACTTTTAAACTTCTGGAAAAAAAGAAAAAGATTTAAAAAAAAGATATATGAATCAAGGGGTTGTGTCAACAAGGACGAGAGTTATTTTTCTTTATATTGATAAATAACTTTACATTGATTATTTATATTAATATGTATTGAACTTTATATTGATATGTAGTTTTTAATGTAAATCTAAATATCATGATTGAATAGTTAAATACTGAAACACAGTATGCAGTATCATACTAATTCTTGTTTCTAAAATTTTCTTTTTAAAAAAATCAGATTTTCATGCCTTACAAAATTTCAATTATATTTTAATCATTTAATTTTTTTTATTTAATGCACTCAAATACATAGTAAAACATTGAACTGAAATTATAAATTAGTTTAAAGATAGTGACTTTAAAAATACATTCGTCACATGTAAACTAGATGATATAAATGTCGGTAGATTTTTTGTTCCTATAAAATTTCTTTTATGATCAAGATATAAAAATTACTAGTTTAAGCCCAATACAAATAATGATGTTTATTGGTTGATTAAAAAATGTAGAAAGTATGAACTTGCAATATAATAAGTAACCATAAATATCATTGTTAACAATGTAATATGGTTTGCTTAAATAATTTGAACGATTTTATCTAATGATTACAAGCTATCTTTATTACATTCATTTTATACAATATAAAATAATATTACTAGAGTACAAATTTGGTAGTATAAAATTTTTTTAAAGATGTTCTTTTCACTAATTACTACTCTAATATTTATTAGTCATGGTAATATTAGAAATATAATTTATTATTATCTGATACTTTATAAAACCATTATTATTAAGGATGCCAATTCAATTATATTCTCTATTAATTGATTTAGAAAGTTGTTATATATTTTTTAAATATTTCTTATTTTTTATTTCAATTTTTACTCGACTTGAAATATCATAAAATGAGATTTATTTTTAATCTAAGCATGCTTTTCGTTGCTTTAAATTAAAAAAAAATAGTTTTCAGAACTTATTCCACTATATATAGAAATTAAACAATTTGTATATACTATATTTCTTACATTTTAATTTAATTTATGTTTTCTAATATAATATTATTAAATATTATTAAAGATTATTAAATATTACGTGATTATTATTTTTATATACAATTACGATAAAGATAAACATGTATTCAACAACTGAATTATTAACTTTTCAAGTAATATTCACATTGAGGCATTGTAACTTTTTTTAATAGCAATTATGAACTTCAATATTTAAAACTATTTCTTGTACTTTATATCATTTAATAGAATAATTCACTAACGCAAATATTTTCTCAAATTACTTAAGAAATTTTCGCTGATTCAATTCCAATAAAATTTTATCCTATAACATAACAAAATTGAGCATATACATTATACCATTGTAAGACGATCCATAACTTATTCTACCTACTTTAAAAGTTAGTTTTAATACTTTTATTATTTTAAATTATTTTTATTGCAAAAATGGTATATCTATTGATAATGTAGTATGGTTATTACAATTTGACCTTAAATAAGGTTACAAACTAAAATATTTTTAAATTTTTCGTCACAGTCCTTCCATCTTACAGTGAGTCATCATTCGAGATGAAAATATCAGGTGGTAATGCAGTGCGAATCAAAGATTATCCATTCCAAGTTTCTTTACTTCACCGAAATAACCAATGGTGCAGCGGCACCATTGTGTCGAAAAGTCACGTCCTTACTGCCGCTCACTGTATAGTTTTTGCGTCATCTTATCTTTATATCCGTGCGGGTAGCTCTTATTGGAATAAAGGTGGAAGTATTCATAGTATAGTATATAATGCTACATATGGTAAAAAACTAAACGAGGACTTGGCCATACTAAGAGTATGGGCTCATTTTAATTTTGACGAGACAAGGCAACCAATATCGTACGTATGTCCTTAATGTTATTTTGGTAGTATTTAAATGTCCGCTATGCAATTATTAATTGTATTATAGTTATATGTACTATGAATGAGAAGGAAAGAAAAGAATATTCCAATGTTATCATTTACACTAATCCAAACTTATGAGCGTTATAATAAATCAGAGATTATAAAAAATTTATGCTTTAGAAATATATAAATTTTCGACTATGAATACGTTAGGTTTATTCGACTATATAAAATTAATTGCAAACTTATTTAATTTTCAGTATATTTTACCGCGATGAAGTCATATCCCCAGGTACGATGGGGACGGTCATCGGTTGGGGTATGACGTCCGAAACAACTTCATCATATCAACTTCAAGCTGTCGAGCTACCTAGTCTGGATAGGAATAAATGTCAGCTAATTTTTAAAGATACCATTATCGGAAAAATTGTGGATGGTGAAATCTGTGTTGGATACATTAATAAAAATAATAAAAATATCTGCCAAGGTGATTCCGGTGGCCCTTTAGTAATTGATCAACGACAAGCTGGTATAGTGTCTATGGGTCGTGGTTGCGGGTATCCAAATTCCCCAGCAATTTTCATCGATACCGCCTATTACAATCAATGGATCTTGGAGCAGATATCGCTATAAAAATGCGTTTAACATGCGCCCAGTTTGACCGTTGTATTGTAGCTTTCTTCATAATATATAGAAATCTATTGATCGTGTAACAATTTAATAAGCAATCATGTCTATAAATTTATTGAAGCTATTATTTAAAATATTGGATGTATATTAAAGTAAAATTATTAAGTATAACAAACGACATATAATAAATTATGAATTTTATAACAATTGCATGTAATGTAGTAAAGATAAATAAGATGTATAATAATATGTATAGAATAGCTATAGCTGAATGTATAATCAATTCAATATAGATAAAATAAAAATAAATAAACCTCTTAATAAACTGAAAATCCGACAATTCTATTAATCAATAAATTATTAGAATTTTATAAGAATATTGCATATATTTCATATGCAACATTTATTTATTAAATATTTTTTGCAATAGATTAAACACTAATCTTTGTAATAAAATTAATAATATTAATGTCAAAATAATATTCTATACTATCAACTGAATTCGAGATACTTTTTATTTTTAATTAATGTATTAATATTATCGAAATAGTATCAAATCTAAAATAATATCAAAAACTAACGTAGACAATTATTGTTTTACCCAACGAATATTTCCAAGTGGATGATGACAAGTCTTCCATCTCATATTCGAAAGTGTTTTCTAAAAATTTATAAATTTCTGCTCTGTAAATAAAAAAATATTTTACCAACAAAAATAAACGTTAAAGTTACAATATCAAATATAAATTAAATACAGGATCTCTTTATTACATTATTTATTATTATATCATAGAAAATCATATGCTATTACAGGAGAAGGTTAATTTTTTTTTTTAAGAGTTTTTGATATTTGTCAGTTATAATTAAGTTTTTCACATTCTATAAAACTAAATATTAATATGCTAATTAAATACTAATTCAATTCAATTACCTATTAAATTTTTATTTTATTTTTTATATATTTTATAATATAATATATATAATATAATATATAATATAATATAATATATCTTTTAACATTCCACTATTTATCATTCGAAATCTTGTAAAATGAAATTTTATATGAAGTAATTTTTTTTTATTAGTGTTAAAAGCAATGCTTATTTAAGCTAATACTTAAGCCACTTTTTGTTATTTTATACTATATTTTATTTAGAATATTTCTCCTTCTAAGGTTATTTCTACCATAATTTAAACTATTAGTATTTTTTCGTAAAGTATATTACATTTATTATATTAATATATTTATACTAATTTTTTATATGAATTCTAATGCGTAAAAATATTTTATTATTCAAAATTTTTTAAATCCTTTATCTTGTTATATTAATTGGTAGGTATAATTTAGATAGAAATAGAGACAATTGTAGGTTACCAATTCAAAAGCTAACCAATTCTAACTGTTCCGTAATCTCAACATCAAGCGAATTTACTTTCAATTTTCGCTAAATATTTGAACGTTTTACAAATCTACGACATCACATGATTCATAGATCTAAACCTTTTTCATATCAAAAATACCGAAAAACACGATAAAAATTTTTATCAAGAGTATCTAAAGGTTGTTATCATTTCCTCCTTTCACATTCCTCAAGATGCATTTTAATTATTTAAAAAATTCGGTCTTAAAACAGCTCACATAATTGCCTCATATTAATATTAACGAAGAAAATACATTACATATAATTATATCACATCTGAATTAAAGAATATTTTTAATAAATTTACTATATTAGGATAATTCTTTTTTCAAAGATATTGTATATATATTTTATATATTGTATACAATATATAAAATAATATAATAAAATCTTTAATTGCGGTTTTTTCTTTTCAATATGAATTCGCTAGTGATGATATTTAAATTTTGAAACTTATATTTTTGTTTTAGATAAAAAATTTTAACTTTGCTTTTATTTGTTTTTCATTCACTGCAGTAATGATGTCATTTCATTTTTGGTGATTTGTCTTTTATCGTATATCACCGCATGTATATAAATTATATAATATCGTGTGTCATAGAAATTTAATGGTAAATTCATCATATGTAAATAAATATATATTTACTTTCTGAATTGTAAATAAATTTTCCGTTATATTTACACTATCCATTTAATTAATTATAATTAATTTTTAAATTTAGCTTTATATGATTCTTACTTTTTCATAGATAATGCGTTAGATATGATTATGCGTTAGATTTTTTGACCGGAATCTACAAGCAAGTGTATTAGAATTTGACTTATATTAATATGTTAATGATATATTAATAATATAAAAATTTTCCGTTATGTATTTTTATGTACTTTCAAAAAGATTAGAATCATCAGTTTCCACGAGTTGCTCCTCTTTAATACTCTTATTAGCAAAAGCTAGTCATTTTATGGAAATTTTTGATTAATTTTTAATGGAAAAAAATCCTTGTTCAAGATATATAATTTTTTTTTATAAAATAATCATGATTTGTGTTATTGAAAACTATATATTTTTTATAATTAATTTAACTATTTTTTTAATAAACTTGTCTGAAAATGAATTTTTATAAATCATTTAGAGGCAATATTCAAATGTATTTTTAATATATATTTTTGTGAATATTTTTATCAATATTTTTTCTATGTTTTTTATATTTCATTTTCTATGTTTAAAACTGGAACTATTGATTTTCATATACTTGAAGATAAATTCATTTCAAATGCTTCATCTAATTTATTAGACAAATATTTGCTTTTTCTTCTAAAAATCTGTACATATGCCGATAATTTAATTTTCTAAAACTTTCCACGCATGTTTGTTTTTTTTTGGCAATGTAAACTTATTGCTTTTATTTACTCATTATTTTAATTTACTCTAATTTTTTCGTCTATTAAGTTGATTACATTTTTAAATGTATTAGTAATTTATGAAAATAATATTTGATAGCTATCGTAATAATTCGATAAAATAAATGAACAAACTAGTCCATAATCTATACATCTCGGTCACGTTCTTAAACTACTCTATTAACTTATTTGGAAATGTTGATGCGTCGCTTCATTTTCCGACTTTATTAAAATTAACTTGAAAGATTCTTTTATTTTCCTTCGTTATTTAATTATTAATTATTGAGCATTTTGTTTCACATTAAATTATTGTAAATTTTTTAAACATTTTGATTTAAATTGCTCTAGAATGGTAAAACATTTTTATCTTAAAAATTTCTTATTTTTATCATCCTATACACGAAACCAAAATGATGATCCATCGTACATTGTTCATTTATGATGCTACGAAACAAACTATATTACATAAATCATTTTTGTTTTATTTTAAGAATTACATGTTTGTATTATAAAGTTAAATAGACATTTATTATCTCTTTCGTTAAACCACGTTTCTTATTTTTTCATAACGAACTAATTAAAAATCTATAATCTGAAAGTTTGTAAAGTTACTGCGATGATTAAATAAATGACAATAAATCATCATTATTATAATTTAGAGCAATAATACAATTTGGAAAGTATATATATAATATTTGGTTAATATATCTACTATAATACTATTATATTTAACTTATTATAATAGATAATTATCTATTCGAAATATTCTATACAATGGCTGAAATATTTATGTAGTAAATATTGAGAATTTGTTTACTTTTCCTAATTATTTCTGGTTTGTTTATGTTTTAAGAAACTACCATAAACTCCATATAAGTCATCAATAATTTATTTACACTAAAATGTTAAACGTTTTAACAATTAGGTTTTTAATAAAAGACATTAATTAAAAACAGTAATATTGTTTAGATTACCAAGTCTTCATTAATAGAAAATACAATAAAGGTTAATCCGGTAAATGAGCAACATGAGATTTGAGATGATTAGTATTTGATAAAACTTACTATTTATAAATAGTCTTTTACATATATTTCATAATTAATAAAAATAAACAATACAGTCTTTTGAGTCTTTACTAAAACTGTTTATCATAATGAATTGACAGGAGAGTAATTTGTACGTACAATATAAAATCTGCTATGAATTATTTTTACGTTTACAATAACTTACTTTCCTCTCTATTTGATTATATTTTGATAGTAATTTATAATAATTAAAATTTTTATAAGTTAATAGTCTTTTAAAAGTTTTGATTTAAACATTTTATGTAATTATTAATAAAATTCAATATTAAAATAATAATAACTTAGATTTAGATTTAGAATTTAGAATTTAGCACATATGCACATATACACTTAACTTATATATGTTTTATTTACTCTTTTTTCCGTCAGGCAAATAAAGATATTTTGTAGATACTACGTTTTATTAAATATGAAAGTTAATTAAATAGAAGCTTTTTACTATCAGTATGTTCACATGCATATATTTCTGTAAATATTGTATTACAAAATAACCAATAAATAATCAAAATTGAATTTTTTATTTATTTTAATAATTAAAACAATATTATCAATCAGCAAATGATTATCTTTATACATTCTTTAGTATATAAGACGTTGATTATTATAATAAATAGTTTGCAGTATATAATTTTTTTTTACGAAGATGTATCTTTTACTATATGTTACTCTTATAAGTATTATTAATGGTAATATTTAAAAATTTAAATTATTGTTTCTTGGTACGTTGTAAGACTAAACTATGTTATGAAATACTTCATTTCGATTAAAAGTTACTTTCACAATAATTAAGTTTATTCTTATAAAAATAATCATTATCTAATATTTAACGCTATTTTTTTCAATATAGTAAAATATTAGAATATAGCCTTACGATAACAAACTTAATTATGAATTATATTTCGTTATTTGAATCGAATTCAGCATTGAAATTAAAATAAAATCATTTCTTCGACACAGCACTTCCTTCACATAGTTATCCACCATTTTTGGTTGATATCGTGGGTGGCAGTATAACGAGAATCGAAGACTATCCATTTCAAGTAGCTGTAATACTCGAAGACAGGCTTTGGTGCGGTGGTACCATAATCTCAAATGAACACGTTCTTACTGCCGCTCACTGCGTCTTTTTTGCTACATCAACACTTTATGTCCGCGCTGGTAGCTCTTATTGGAGTAAAGATGGAAGTCTTCATCGTGTAATATACAACACTACTTATGGTCCACGTCCGAATGAGGACTTGTCAGTAATAAAAGTATCGCCTCCCTTTCATTTTGACGAAACAAGGCAACCAATACCGTACGTATGTCTTTAATGATAACAAATTATGCTTTAGAAATACATAAATTTTCGACTATGAATACGTTAGGTTCATTCGACTATATAAAATTAATTGAAAACTTATTTAATTTACAGATTATTTTACCGCGATGAAGTCATATCCCCAGGTACGATGGGGACGGTCATCGGTTGGGGTATGACGTCCGAAACTTTTATATCGGATCATCTTCGAGTCGTTGATTTGCCTTATGTTGACAAAAAGACTTGCAAAGAACTATACTCAGGTACTATAATTGGTAGAATCATGGACGGTGAGATATGCGCGGGCTACATCGAGGGAAAAAATAAGGATGCTTGCCAAGGTGACTCTGGTGGTCCCTTCATAATTGATGGACGACAAGCTGGTATCATAGCTATGGGAAGAGGTTGCGGGCAACCAAATTCTCCTGGAATTTTCACAGATATTGCCTATTATAACGAATGGATTATGGAACAGATATCACTATAAAAATAGGATCAGCAATTAATAGGTTTGCGATTAGTTGTTTGCATTAATTATTTTATTATATGATTGTTATTATATAATCAAAGAAGTGTATATAAATATATGAAAATGTATAAATACGTAATATTCAATGTATCAAATTTTATGTGATGCATAACAATTACATTTACTAATTAATCAGATTCTATAAAATATATGAATTCTATGAAAACGCTTGTTTTATGGTTGTTCATATCTATATATTGAATTTTTTATATGACAAATAACCTTTACTTCTTAAATAAACAATGCAATTTCATAAATATCATAAGAATATGAAAATTATGTAGAATTTTAGAAAGTTTTTAATGTACCATTTGTATATTCAAATGCAGCTAATATGTAATTATAGAAAATATTAAAATTTTAATTGAACAAAATCTACATATTACTATTTTTATACTTATATTATAAAAGTAAGAATGTAAGAATATATTTATTTGTCGAAGACTTTCATAAAAATGAATGAATATTTAATAAATGCTTCTATGCAGTTTCTTAATCAATAGAATGAAAGAAAGTTATTGACTAATATTCAATATTATTAATTTATTTATGTTAAAATTATTATATAATTTATGAATTCAATTAATTGAATAATATTTTTTTGAATATTTCTAAATCAAGAATACAAGATGTAAGTATGCAATAAGTAAATTATACGCTTTTATTTTTAACGAAATTGTCTATTGTTAACAATAATATGTAATAATTAGTAATTGAACAACAGCAACTAATTAATATTTATGACGTTTAAAATTATCTGATAAATCAGAAAATCAGAAATAATATAAAATTTCATTACTTAATATAATGCATAAATTTTTTATTTTTATTTTTTAAGTTTATATTAGATACACATAATTATATTTTTATTTATTTTGTTTAAAATTTCTCATTTTTACTTGTAAAAAACCTTTATAAATAAACGTTATATAATTAATGCAAAAGATGAAGTAAATTATATTGAACTGTACTTATATTTCTTAAATAAATGATTAAAGCTAATAGTTAGATAAATTCTATAAATTCTTCATTACAAAGCAAATAACAAAAAAATAAAATAAAATTTTCAACAACTAAGAATTTTACAATATATAAAGTATATAAGTATATAAGGAATATAAAGAATATAAAGAATATAAAGTCTCGCGTATTAAATTTTGAAACATGGTAAAATATTTTTTTCGTATGTACTTTCATTTCACCTATAAATTAGAAAATTAGAATAATGAATAATAATGTTGCTAAATACCGAAAATTATAGTTATGTTTTAATATAAAATAAACAAATATGACTGTATAAATCTCCTAATATCAGTTCATAAATGCTACATACTGGTATCAATTAAAATAGTTGCACTTGAAAAAAAATTTAATTCTTCATGACTCGGAATGACCCGGCAAATACTTTATTACAAAGTACTCATAAACAAACGGACAACACGAAATGTTAATAAATGTATGGGACGTCAAAAATGGAAGAAATCATGCCATGACAAAGAGATGTGATTACCCCATAACTGATATCAATATGCAATTGTATGTATAATTAATAAATTACACGTATACGAAATAAAGGCTTGAATGTGATCTAAAAGAAATAGATATGTCTCGATATAAAACGTTATTATAAAAATTTCTTAAAGATTAATATATATATATATATTGTTAATTGTGTTAAATTGTATTAAATATAAACACAGTAAATATTTTAAACAAATTTGTTTAATATATTGTAGAATTTTCTAAATGAAATAAAACATCACGTTTAAAATATTACTATATCTATATTTATTACATAAATCGTATACACGTTTGGTCGATAAATTATAAAGTTGAATTTAATAAATCATACTAATTATTATTTTCTATTTTATTTTCCTAAAATTATTTCTCAATTTTATTTTACAATTATACGTAACAACAAGAAGTCTTTCATATTGTTCAAATTGTTTAAGACCTTACAAATGGAAAGATAAAATTCAACATCAAAGCATTTATTACATCACATAAATGATTTTTTTAGCATGCCTTAATAAATCGTTTTTTTTTATATAACATTGTTTAAACGCCACGATAATAAGATAATTAAGGCAAATTCAAGTTGTGAAACGTATAATTTATTATTGAAGAATTTAATTTGTAAACTAAGATTTTAAATGTATTTTGTTTGTGTAATGAAATTATCTCGGTACAAACCATAAATTCATTTCGTAATTAATCAACATAAATCTTATATATTAAAATGAATCTTATGATATATTCTTATGATATATAATATATTCTTCTAATATCAAACTATTTTCGAATAATCATTGTATATTTTATTTTTTTACAATATTGACTAATGCAAATTAACGATTATAAAAACGTAGTATAAATACACGAATCAAATTCGTATGCATACTAATATATATATATATATATATTTATATATTTGTAAAATGTACTTTAAATTTAATAATGTCAATTTTGTGAGATATATATGTTATACAATATTTACAATTTTATATCAAGTATCTGCACAATTGTGACTCAATTTTATATTACACTTTACAGGTAATTAATTATACTTATTGCAAAAAGAAAGATAAGTTTAAATTACTTTTTTGATATATCATTGTTTATTTAAGAATAATGAAAATGCTTTATCAGTGATAAATACGCTATCTAAATGAGACTATTTTTCTGAAATATAAGATAGATTTTTTTGTATAGTAAACTCAGTTAATCTACGATGTACAACTTTTTATTTGTAGCTTTTGCTCTCGTTAGCAATGGTAAGCTTTAACATTATTTTATGCGTAAACTTAAGTTAATACAAAAATATAATAGTTGCTTAAATAATAGATGTAATTGGATAATATTAAATGCATAACTTTTGTTTTATAAACGTCTAAAATTATTATGTTACTTTTGTCTAATTTAATATTAATCAAATCTTAATTTATTATAATATAATTAAATAACTCGTATTAATATTATTTATATGAAATCGAGATATAATGTATAATTTCAATTTACTACGTATTTCAATAATAAAATTATATATAAAATTTTATTAAAAAGTTAAGATTTCAACATGTTGTGAAAATGTTTACTTTATTATATATTGCTAACTAAATTTTAGTAATAAAATTTTTCTAATACTATATAAAATTTATATTTTAATTAAGTTTGAGCATTCGATATAAGAATTATAATTAATACAATTATAAGAATCTAATTTACAAAACATTCAAGTCAATGATTACCGTAAAATATAATAACATAAACTTAAATATCCGATACTCAACTAAAAAGCGCTTATAAACTCAATTCATTTATGAAATATCTTTGAATAAATATCAGGAGATACGTAATGTGGAAATTAAATGAAAATGTTGTTTTATACAGTCTATACGTTTTCGGATAACCCATCGGTGAATCCAAATATTATCGGAGGCGTGAGAGTCCCGATTCAGCATTTTCCTTACACAGTGAGCATTTTGGATCAGAAGGGACTCTGGTGCAGTGGAAGTATAATTACAGTATTCCATGTTCTGACCGGAAGCTACTGCGTTTATTTTGCGAAAACGTCGTCTCTCATAGTCCACGCAGGTACTTCCTATTGGAGGAGAGGAGGGAGTTATCACCATGTCATACATAATTCGACCATAAATCCAAATATCGATATCGCTATCTTGATTGTCAAGGAACCTTTCGAGTTCGACGAAACGCGTCGACCTATCGGGTAAGTCTATATATATATATATATATATATATATATACTCTTTTTATTAATATAATTAAAGAACGAGTAATTTTCAATGCAATTGAATATGAGATGAGAAGAATAAGTTCCAATCCGTTTGTTCTTTTCAAATGAATCTTTGAATACTTGTTTATAATTATGGAATCTCTATGTTGATATAATATAGGATGCTTAAAATAAAACTAATAAATACTAGGTAGTTTTGTATTTATAAAGTAAAGTACATTAAAATTAGTATAATATAAATTATGCAATTAAATATTTGTCATAAACTTCATTCACTTTAGTTAATTATATAGAAACAGACAAATCTCTTAATGAAAAAATTAAAAATATTTATAGTAATATTAATCTTTTGCTTTAACAGAATGTTCTCAAAATATGATATGATTAATCGTGGGATGCTGGGAATCCTCACCAGTTGGAGTAATACAAGAATTAATCTGAAATCAGAAAATTCAGACCAATTAAGAGCAGTAAGCGTGCCAATCGTTGAGTACAGTGTTTGTAACGATATATACACTAAACTTGGAGGCCAACCAATTAGAAGTGATCAGCTATGCGCGGGTACTCCAGATAAGGGTACTGACCCCTGTCAGGGTGATTCTGGTGCTCCACTGGTTATTAACAATCGTCTAGTTGGTATCGTTTCGACGAGCTACGGGTGTGGACAAGAAGATGCTCCGGGAGTTTACACTATTGTCAGCTACTATAGCAAATGGATCTATGAACAAATTTCAACTTAGGAAGACTACGACTATTGATCATAATGTTAATCAAAGTACTAGAATGAGATATTTTTTTCATCTTCTTTGAATAACGTTTAATAATTTTACAAATTCCTAGGATAAAATAAAATATCAATTAGTAGACATAACATTTTAAATTGGAAATAAATAGATTAATAAGCAATATAAAAATCTTTTCTTATAATATCAGCATACTTATATAATGAATTATTATACAATCTCAGGGAATTTTCTAGATATTAGGCTATACTCTATTTGTTACTTTTATTCAATAATTATAAATTCTTACGCATTAAATTATGATAAGTATTGAATTTGTTAATCTGTATTGATGTTAACTATTATTAAATAACTACATTAATTTATATATCCCTTCTGCGATTTTTATTCAGCGAATTTTCCTCTTATATTAAAAAGACTCATAGAACGATCAATTGTTTAATTTGAAAATAAAGTATTAATAAAAATCGAATTTGCAGCTTTATGAGATTATTTTAATATAATACCTTTACTATAATACCTATAATCTGTTATTTTAGATTAAATGTTTACAATCTATACATTAAGTATTAATTAACCCATTATTATCGAATTATTTTTTATATTTAACATCCAAAATTAAATTTATTTTTTAAATTACATATTTATTCATGAAAATTATCATTACTTATAAATATAAATTTGTACCATCTTTTCTTTCTTTAAATATATATATATATATATATATATATATATATAACAATTAAAACTAAACTTTAAAAATTCAATTCAAATTAACTAGATTTTGTAATTGCACTCATGATCCAATTGTAGTAGTATGCGACATTGGTATAAACACGAGGATACTTTGGCAATCCGCAACCAATTCCCCATGCTATTACACATTATTACTATTGCAAATTTTGCGGTCGACAATCGGTAAAATCATTGCCATCAATTAGTTCGACACATCGGTACTATGAGTAAGACTCCATCGACTAACGACTACCATTGTACGAGGCTTTGCAACTTCGTAATAGTAATGAACAGCCTGTAAAAATTAATACTTTTATTACATTTATCTTGTTATTTTTATTATAACATCTGCTCTGATATTTTAAACCCTAAAATTATATTCCTTATATGGGACGATATAGAAAGAATCGATCGATAAGAATAATATACACAGAAGTATTAGTTGTATATTTTTAAAAACAATTTTCGTCACGTCTCGGTTAAAACAAATTTTAACTCGTGTAATATAACTGTTAAATCTAGACTATCATTACAAAATACTTCCCTCAACATAGCATGGAAGAAATTGATAGATAAGTTTGATAGTCCTAGATTAGCAGTCAATCCACATTTACAAAAAATGCTGAAAACCACTCCATCTAGAAAGAGATCAGCCATCGAATTGGACGAGATGATAAATTATGTGGGAGACATCATCGAGGGACTCAATCTCTTTGAAATACAAAACCCATGGGAGGCATTAGGAGTGCATCAGATTATAAAGCAGCAAGATGAGCAAACACGAACAGAATGGGAAAGATCACTAGGGAACTCAAAGATTTATCCTTCCTTTGCTCAACTAAGAACTTACTTTGCTGCACAAGTAACAGCATTAGAAAATGCTTGTGGAGTCGAAGGGAACGAACTAAAACCTCAAGGCAAATTAAAACCCAAGGGGAAACTAAAGGTTAAGGCGTTCCACACCAGCACAAGGGAGGATACTGAGAAAGTCCCATTCAACAAAACTTGTCAATACTGCAAAAAGGAACACCGTTTGTATAGTTGCAATTACTTCAAGGAATTACCAATCGACCAACGATGGACATTCGTAAGAAATAATAACATATGTATCAACTGTTTACAAGGTCATAAGGGCCACTGCATGAGTAAGATGTGTTGCAATAAGTGCAATAAACGATACCATTCCATACTACACAACAATCAATTAGCAAGCTCAAATGAGAAGGAGGAGGAGAAGCCCATTATTTGACAAGACGAGTTCACGGTCAGACGACCAACTTCATACCACGAAAGGGCCGGACTACCAAGCACGCGCTCCCGGACATTTGGAGCGTGAATAATGGTAAATTACTCATCTCCATGGATCTGATCAAGGCCACTGTATCGCTATGAGTACACAAGTATGTGAGACCTAAATAATTGCCAGTCAACACAAAACTAGCACGACGCTATTATTAATATCACATCACACTCGCTAATAAGGAGTGTGCATAATCAATTGCTGATCATTACAAAATCAACATCAACATCACGATATCAAGGAGCATCTTGTGTAGTGAAACATCCATCATAAGAAACGTTCCAAGCAATCGCATCTTCACATTAGACTCAAGATGATTCCAATACACGAATATATAATTGTATTATAAATTGTAAAATAAATCATATATTCATCATAACTCACGGCATTTCTACAGCCCTTCCACTTAACTCCTTCCCGAGCATTTGCCAGGGCGGGCGGCAAACTAAACTATTGAAGCATTGGCAGTTCGAGCCAGGAAATCTATACCATTTTCGAACAGTAACATATAAAAGTTAATATTTATTTTGCTTTGTAATATGTATTAATAATTCTTATCGTTTATTGGTTTGAAACTATAAATAAATATACAGTTTTAGATGCTTCTCTGTTACATATATAATTTTCATATAAGTTATATATAAAAGTATAGTGCAAATAAATATTAAAAGCTAGTAATATTTACAATAATTCTATTTCCAGAAATATTGTATACTTGTACATATTTTAATGTATTCTATCGTGAGTAAAAATCAATTTTTCTAACAAAACTATAATAATAAATAATAAAATTAGTTTCTATTATTTTATTGCTATATTATTTAGTGCTTATAAGAAACATAAGATTCAGTATCATTAATATATCATGTAATATATAGTAATCATATGGAAATACCTTTTTAATCTATGTTCGAAAATATCATATATGTAAAATCAATACTGATAACTTCGAAGTAATAATCCAAGATTACCCAAAAATCATTTGATTTAATATTTAATGTAAAGTTTAATACTTGACTCTTGTTACATGTATTATATGTATTTCGAACTATTTAAATACTTACGGTATTGGTTGGCGGACCTCATTGAGAACAAATGGTACTTTCACTCGCATTACTGAAATATCGTGAGACTTTTCTCTGCCATTAATGTGATAATGCTCCACCTGGTGCAAACTTCCATTTTTCGCCCAAAATCAAGAGCTAGCTCGGATAACTAATTTTTCTGTCGTACTTCTTATACAATGAGTAGCGCTAAGAATCCATTTAGTCGTTACTATGCTGCCACCGCAAAGTATAGTATTGTTTTGCAATACAGCCACCTGATATGAAAAATTACAAATATCGACAAAGGTACCACGGACAATATTCACTGATTTTCCCTTAACTGAAAAAATGCGTCCTATACAAAATCAAGCATCTACTACTTTCATTTTTACTTTTTTATTGTTACATATATATTTAATAAATGAGAAATAATACAGTATTCTGCATAAATTTGATAAACAGTGTCTTATAATGATTGCAAATATTTTTGAAACCACGTTTTTATTTAAAAAAAAAAAAAAATTTAAATATTGTCATATTAATTTTAAATTAATAAAATAGAATGCAATTTTATGTAACAATCTGGAGATGTAAAGTAATATAGAAAAGCTTATTTATTTTACTTACACAATTAATTCATGATATTCAATTAATTTTATTATATTAATCGAGACTTTTGATATTTCAATGCTAAATAAAACTATTTTTAATGTGTTTACATTAATTTCGTTTTTACTAAATCATTGAAATATATTATTTAATATGTAAATCTGGAAAAAATCTTCTATTTATTATAGAACTTACTAGTATTACAATAATTTGAAATTAAAATTAAAATAAATAGATTTTTATATACTAATTATTTATTAATCATTAATTTAAAATAGATATTAATTTTTTTTTAACATCTATATGTTAATGCAGCAAGTTTGAAGTTAATTATTACAAAAGTATTATAAAACATATATACGACCATATGGAAAAATTAAAAAATTTCACTATCACCTTTCGTTTATTATGTTTTCAAAATTGTTTTATTCTAATTAATGCAAAAGTAAATTTAAATAAATATTTATTTTTTTGCTTAGACCTACTACTTAATTTGATTTACTAAAACCTAATTGATTCTCACAATTAAGTAATTTATTTCATTTATGTATTGATCAAATATTAGTTTATTGAAATATATTTTTAATTATTTAAGTATATAAACTAATGTATATTTAATAAATGCTATAGAATTATTGTTTTAGTACACGTAATAAAATTATTAATGAACAGTTTTGAGAATAAAATTTAAATAATATTATGTTGAACATGAAAGAATTTTTTAAATATATTTAGAAATGATATTTTAAATTCGAAAATCTTACCATAAATAGTAATAATAATACAAGTGTTGCTAAAAATAAGAATTGAAACATTTTTAATGAATTTATTGTACTGTGTAGAGTAAGATTTAGAATAATTTATAATTAATGAAACTTCATATTCGTTAGATTATTGGATTCAGTACTGCTATTATTTTATGGCTATGTGATTTATAAGATTCTAAATTGACTTTTTAATTTAATTATCACCTACTTCCTGTTATAATATATGACTACATGTGTATTAATTTAAATTAGGGATTAGTTTACTTGAATTTTAACAATTAATTTTATATTTTAAAGGTCATTTTATTTTGATAACGACTATACTTTAGAAAAATTACTGTAGAATATATTATTTTTTCATAAACGAGTTCAAAGTTATTTAATAATGAATAAATACATCTTATCTATGTTTCCTCTAAGAATTGTGTTTGAAATATTTATTAAATCATTCATTATGAAGACATGCTTATGACAGCTTTTCACTTTTATGTAAATAAACTTTCATTTTACATTGCCATCACTTGTAAACTATCATAATCGAATGTAGTGTTAAGTTAATTAAGTTAACGCATATATTCTTTCGAGATTACCAAATTTTGATATTTAAGTTTTTCAACGTTTTCTTAATTGCTAAGGTGAATTAAAATTTGACAATGAATATATAAAATTAGGAATTGATTAAAATTTATTGTTATTATAAATTTATTAATAATATTAAAAATATTCTTCACCTAAAATTTTATTCTTTTAAAAATAATTCTGGATCAATAAATTTGATTCTCAATTAGATTAATTATAGATGAATTCTTTTCTCATTGTAACCTCTACATGTATGATTTATGTTAATTTTATTAACCTATTACGAATTATTAATATCAGTATTTTATACATTTTATTTTAATAAATTAAAAATTGTTAGATGTTATTCGTTTTATATATTTAAGTTTAGCCATAATTTCCTATTTTTCAATTAATAATATTACTTATTATTTTCAGATAAATAATACAATTTCATTAATAGTCTAAAATTTTTAATTATACAAATCAGTATGATAAAAAAAAATGTATTATTATATGTAATTTATATATAATTTATTATCATTATATAAGCATAATACAGAATAATCACTCTTTATAATTAGTTGAAATTGATTGAAAAGTTAGTTAAAACTAAAAATTTTATAAAAAAAAGTTTAAAAAAAGGATAAAATTTAACTTTTTTTTATTTTTATAATTACACAATATTTATAATTCACAACGATACATCTTGAGAATTAAATATTATAACAAAATTGTAAAATAGGTTAATTTCATATTGATATTTCATATTAATAATTTAACGTTTTACGGAGTAGGATATCGCACATATTAATTGACAACGGTGATAACATAAATATTATAGATCAGAAAGTTGATATGAAGAAATATCTATATTAAGAGACTAAATTTAAATTTTTATCTTTTTTGGGGCAATAAAAATATATTAACACCTTTCAAACTCCGCACTTTACTTTCTGAACTGTCATTGCACTGACTTTGATCTTCCGTATATATAATATTCTTCATCAAAAAGCCCCTTTTCCCACTCAGGACGTAACTATTAACAACTTTCAATACGGCATCACAATAAGAATATTAATTACTGAAAATTTAATAATAAATTTATTTATATAATTGCATTATATTAATATATTTGATTAAAAGGATTTATTACGTTATATCAATATAATCATATGTCAGTAAAAACGTAAGAAATATTAGTATCAATCATGAATCTTCTAAAAAATTTCATAAAAAAGCAATTAAGAAATAATAGAATAGTAATTCTTGAATTGATTAGAGTTATTAACGAATTTAATAAGCTCATTTTTTCACAATACCAATCATGATTGAATATGGTTATATTACCATTCATAAGAAGACCGTAAAATGTAAGCATACAGTGGTGTTGATCATTGATCGTATAAAATACACACAGATTTTGCATAGACTAAATTTGGCAACGTAAGCATTGATTAAATATACACAGAGAACCCGAACAGTAGCAAAGACGCCTGACTTAATAACTTCGGCGGCTCCCTTATCATCCATGACCATGGATCGATGCTATTTCTATTGGATTGGGATATGGACGACGTAATATAGTTTCACATCAATGCCGTCTACTTCAGAAAATTGATCAAACAGCAACTCGTACGTTAGTCGTAAAGAAGAAAAATAAAGTGTTTTCTAAACATTATTTATATAAGAATAGACAAACTGTTTAATAATACTATCAAATATTAAATTTTTTATATTATCTATGTGTTATTCAAATGCATGCTTCTGTTAAAAATTTATTATATCAATATATAAATTTAAAAGTATATTTGAAATGTCTAAACAAAAATATTTTCTCATATACACTAAGTTAAAAAATTTATCTTATTCAGCTGCATAATGAAATAAAACTTTTTCTTACTTCGTAATTACAAGTTGATTATTATTAATTACTTTTAACTTAAAATTTCATACTTAATTCTAATTAAAAAATATAATTTTTTATTTGTTATATTTTTGAGCGATGACAAATAGAGTAGAAATATATAAACTTGTCAGTTCTTTCTGTAACACATGGCAAAAACTATATTAACTATGTGATAACTATGTGTATAATTAATTAACTATGTGTACAATATCTATGTGAAAAACATATTTTTTTAATTAAAATTTGAATAGGATCTATTTTTAATATCAAGCATAATTTAATGAAATAATTGTGAGAAATTTTCATTTCTATCATAAACAAATAAATCACTCTTAGAAATAATATAAATATTTTACCTTTTGGCATAATATCAATTTAGTAACATCATACTTTTTTATATTCTATTTCTTATATTTTTTAATGTACTTTATTCATTTTCTCTATATATATTTTTATTATTCTTTCTCAATTTTTAGTTGTCTTAATTGCGCGAAAATAAAAAATTTATATATATATATATATATATATAAAATTTATTATTGTAAAATTAATATAAAAATCTTTGATTTTACTAAATAAATATGTAAACGGTAATTAGTGAATTTAAAAAATAATAATAAACAGTTATTTAAATTATAACTAAAATCTTTGAAAGTACATAAAACTTACTACACATTTCCTAGTATATCTATGACCATTTATAATTATAAAATAATATTTTTTTTATAATATATTCATGATAAGATCATGAAAAATTGTATCTGTTTGAAAACCACTAAAATATTTAATAAAAATAACAATATTTATTTGTATAATTTTTATATACAACTACCAACAGTTTGCCTACATTTATACATCATTTTTTTATCTTGAATATCCAAAATAAAATAATCAGTAACAAAATTTAAATGAATAAAAATTAAAGAATGTTTTATAACGTCCGTTAGTTACCATTAATATTATATATTAATCTTATATAAATATAAAATATGTATATTAATTATACATAATATCATTTTTGTTATATATATTTTCAATATATTGAATAAAATAAAGAATTATTTTTCATTTTTTATTTTTTTTTAATATCAAACAAGAGTGATTAAAAACAATTTAATATAAAACAAAAAAATTATTAACAAGCAGCAATTACCATATTTATATAGGATTAATTTTTTCTTATTGTTATCCAATTTTCTTGTAGATTTTCGGATTAAATTAATGACATTAGACATAATAAATATTGCCGTGATTTACTATGCATTTATATTTCTACCTTTCGATTTTATCATAAATAACTAAATATAATTTGAGTGTTTATCTAATATTATGAGAAATATAATTTTCGGACCATACTAACGTAGTGCAAAATTTTGGGATGCTAATAATTAGAGTACTTGAAGTATAATCCAACCTGAAAAATATAAAATTATTTAAATTTATTTTAAAACATTTATTAACTTTTTATCCGTTCATATTATTAATTTTATTATAAATTATAAAGTTTAGTTTTTATATTTCGAATTCTTTTTACCTGGGTGAATGACAGCTCATTAATTAAAAACAATTAGTATAACATACATATTTACATATTTAAGTTCACAAATATTAAACTACAGTTCTTATGACGAAATACTTTTTTAAGATCAAATAAAAAAATTTTTACTTAAAATTTAATATTTCATGTGTAAATAGAATTATTTACATTAAATAAATTAATTAATTAAATTAATTAATTAAAAATATGTATTAGTTGCATTAGTTACATAGAAAAAATAATAAATTTATTATATGTATTATCTATGTAAATCATAAAGAGTATATATATTTTAACCTTACTGTCGATAATAATTTGATTTTATTACAAATTTCTGATATTAAATATGCATTTGTATATTATTAACATTAATGTTACAATTAAGGAATATACAAAATAATTGTATTCAAGGTTGAATATTAGATATTTCGGTAGCAGAAATATATATTATGATTACATCATTTACTCCTTACGAAGTAATTAATTTTTAATATTCAGAGTTACCTAAATCAATACAACATGTATGTAAGCGCGCACGTATGAGTGCGTTTAAAAAATACTTATCTTTCTTTATTATATTACCAATATGATGTCTATATATATAGATGTATTTTTTTTACTTTTACCATGATATAGAAATTCTATCGTATAATATTGATTGAATAATATGATTAAAAATATTCGTAATGTGATGAAATAGAAGTCACATTTAGATTAAGAATATTTACATTTTATGGATAAATTTGTTGCATTATCCAATCATGAAAATAGGATACATCGGCATAAATGCCAGGAAATGCTGTTAATCCACAACCTATACCCGTGGATATTATACCAATTTGAATTCCTTTCACAAGCAAAGGACCTCCAGAATCACCTCGGCAAGAATCCTTGTGAGTACTACCCGCACATATTTCACTTATAGCTATGTTACCGTGATAGGAAATATTACATAATCTTCTATCAATAATTGGTACATCAACAGCCAATAAGACATCCGAAACTTCGAACTTTTCAGTTGAACCCCAACCGACAACGGTCGCGATTGTAAAAGGTTTTATCACACCACCAGATGGAGAAAGCCTGTACAAATAAATAATCAAAATTTATTTCTTTTACATAATATATTATTCATTTATCTTTAATAGCTTTAAAGATTAACTGTAAATCATAATTATTAAATAATATTATTGAAATTAAATCTTGCTAAATGTTAAAATGTTGCAATTTAATATTGAAATTTTAATTACTTATTCAAATATTTTATTCAGCTTACTGTTAATATACTAAGTACTCAAATTATACAATTAAAGTTCAAATTATACAGCAGTTACGATATTTCGGTAAAAAGGAAGTTCATACTTTTGCAATAAAATAATGAAGATTTTGGAATATCTACCTGATTGGTTGGCGTTTCTTATCAAAAACAAAAGGCTCAGTAACACGTAAAACGGCTACGTCAACGTTTTCTGAAGCGCCATAAGTGGTACTGGATTCAACATGATGAATACTTCCAGGTTTGGCCCAAAAGGAAGTACCCGCATGAATAATTAAAGAGATGTCCAGCGTCTCCAATACACAGTGTGCAGCACTGAGAACATATTTTTTTGTCAATATACTGCCACCACACAAAAGCTTTTCACGCAATACTATTGCAACTTGATGTGGAACAACGTCGATCTGAATATTATGTCCACCCACGATATTTGTTATCGCATTAGTATCAGTAGAATATGCTACGAAATTATAAATATTATTACTATATTGCTATTATATAATTGTGTTTATTTAGATTTTGCACTCTACAAACTTTAATAATATTACTAAATCTTCTGGTATGCTAAGTACTGGTCTACAAACACTCGAAAATTCTTATATGCATATACATTTAATTATCACAATAGAAATATTTTCACTTTTTAAATATTAATACAAATTCTTAATTTTCATTTTATGCAGAAACTTTATTATAAAAATTCGTTTACATGTTCAATTATTGAGAGTAATATATGACGATTAAATTATATACAACATTAATGAACAAATATTCAGTTATTATTCTAACAAATTTAAAATAAATTAAAGATAAATAAATATAAATTAAAGATAACCAAAATATTTTCAAAATTATATCTTTAAGCTACATTTTATAATATTTAGAAATTTTGATGCCTTACCATTAGCAATAAGCAAAGATATTGCAATAGCTGTAGGAATATATTGTAATCGCTGCATCTCAGATAAATTACAGATTCTTTATGAAACTTATGAGAATAATTCAAAAGTTTTATACTCTAGAAGGTTAATAAACTGACATGATTAATAAGTTAATTAGTTTACACTTTTTAGATAAACATTATATTCAAAGATTTTATAATAATAAATATTATTTTAAAATAACGTTATAAAATTTTTATATCATTATTTATTCATTTATTTTATTATCATAAAATTAATATACAAAAATCAAATTAAGAATTTCAAATTTTCTTAAAATTATCAAACTTGTTAGATTTTATATTCACTTTATTCTTAAATAAGATATTCCTATTTTACAGTCAACAATATGTAGACTAAACTATAATTCTTCATTTGAACAAATTTCATCAAATCATATCAATATCTTATTTACAAATAATGTCTAGATAAAGTATGTTTAATAATGTTGACTTTTCTCCATTATCATAAAATTTCTCCGCTATGACAAAATTTTTATTACAGTTATATTAGTGTCGTATATCATGTTGAGTTGTATTTATAATAACTAGCTTTCTTGATAATATTACCTTTTTTCGTCTTAAACAATGTTTGAAAATTTTAACACATAATTATTTTAGTGTTCTATTTATTATAATAATATTGAGTATATATATATAAGTTAATATTGATTATTCATTTTGTGTTTAGGTACAGTTTCACATCATTATGGTATTTACGAGGTATAGTAATAAGTTAGTTTTTAATCAACGATATTAAAATGTTAAATCGATTTAAGGTGACTGAATTTCTTCTCTCAATAAATTGAATCCATGAACTAATTTATTGACCAACATTTTTTATTGAATTTCTGATAGTAATATCTTATTAGCGCATAACATAGTATTATAATACACTCCTCAAATTTTTTGTAAACGTTAGTCAAAAATGAAGAATTAATGTTGAAAACTTATATCTTTTATCACAAATTACTTAGATTTGATTTGACAAATTTTATAATTAATATTACAGCAAATAATCGTTCATCATGTAGCACTTAGAGTTAATGCTTTTATAGTTAATGTAAGTAATCATACCAATTAAATAGACTATAATACATAGAAGTAGAATGCTTTAGAAATGGCTAATTTATTTTATAAAAACAAAATACTGTTCATATCTCTTATTCATATCTTAAATTGATAAACATTCAGATGGCATGAAATATTTAACTTATTAAAATTCTTTTAAGCATTTAACGCAAAATTGATAGTAATGTAACGGATGCACAAATAATAAAAAAATTATTTTCCTGTAGATGTTTATCGATTTATTTTACTTAAGTAAATGTCATAATATATCGTTATATTAGATAAAACTTATAATTACACAATTTATAAGAAATATTAATAAAAAATACTACACTCCGATTATATTACTATTATTATTGCATTACTATCAGTACATTTGTATTATATCATATATTTATTTTTATTTCTTAAATATATATATATATATATATATATATATAGATTAAATATAATATTATACATTAAATATATTAAAAATTAAAATACTTGCATTTTTTCATGATATACATACTAATATAATTAACCATAAATTAATTGTTTCAAATCCAAAATTGTATGAACAACTTCGAATATGAATGTAGTAAAACTATTTTTTTACTCAACAATATTATCTATTACAAAAGTATAGTATAATAAATATATTCATTTATCTACAAATTTTTTAAAAATATTTGTTCAGCTTACAGTCTCAATGACATGATAAAGTATCGACACTTAAATTTTTCAAAAGTTACCATGTAATAAAGGTATGAAATTTTATACTCATTTATCTATTCGTGAGAAGTAAAAAAAAATTAATAAAACTATTTAAAAAATTAACAATTATTTAATGAAGAAAATTTAAACATATATATGAATATTTGAACTATGAAAAATGATGCTTATGAAGCAGTACTTAGTATAACTTACAACAATAATTATAATATATCAAATAAAATTATTTTTTTTTATAGAAAATTCATTTCAAATTTAATATTTTTCAAATTCGGAAACTTATGATTACAAATCTTTTTCATCGGCGTGTAAACAATAATTATATGAAAAAATTGAACTATCAATATGTTCATCACATTCAGATTTCATATACGAATTGATCAAATAAATCAAAACGCACTTTAACAATAAATTCCATTCGTTAAATATTTGAACTTTTAAATATATTAATACCCGTATCAACATTATATGTAGCTTACTCGTTTTTACTTTCAATCCTTTCAATTGTATCTTCCTTATATTGTTATTAAAGGACATTTCGTTATCATACTTCAGTCATCATTCAATCAATATTAGCCTAAATGAGACCATAAAAAATAATTCATCTGTTAGATGTGCAAGTCATGCTTTGTAAAATTATTTTCATAAGTAATAATACAATATTCACAAATAATCATTCACTGATCTTTTAGTCACTTATTGGATAACTGTCTCGTTATCCATTCACTAAAAAAAGCAATGTCTGCATAAATCCCTCGATAAATGGGTCCACCGCATCCACTGCCCATGGAAACGATGCCAGCTTGACGTCCATCGATGACCAATGGACCACCAGAGTCGTACGTACACGAATCCTTACCAGTGGAACCTGCGCATAATTCACTGTCACTTATTATCCCACTATAGGAGATATTACATGCTTGCCGATCGACGATGGGTACTTCAACAGCTCGTAAGTTATCGGATAATTCACCGGTTTCCGTAATACCCCAACCGCTGACTATCGCCATTGTGCCAACTTTTATTGTATCCTCGATTTTAAATAATCTATAGACAAAGGTTCCATTATTATGTTTATTATAATTTTAAGCTTGAAAATTTGGCCAAAACGTATAATGACTAATGATCAATGAAAAAAACACACGCGCGCGCGCACACACATATTTATATAAAGATAGAAGTGGACATGTACTGAAATAATGAATGATAGATATGTTATATATGTTGAATTAAAGTTTGAATAAAATATTAGATTTTTATATGAAACTAAAATAATTTACTTTATAATGTTGCAAAATGTTTACGAAAAACTAATTGTTCATTTTGTTTTGATTTCATAATGGGACAATTGGAATTTTCATATATATCAAATTATATACATATTTGAATAGACTTAAGTAACAATATATTTTATGTTAATTTTGTAAATTTGCAAATGAAATGAATTCTTTGGAATACTTACGGAATCGCTCGGCGTGTTTCATCGAAAATAAATGGTTCAATAACGTGTAATATAGCTACGTCCGTGTATTTTTCGAAACCATAAGTGATATTACGATCTACCTGATGGACACTTCCAGGTTTGGCCCAGAATGTAGTACCGGCATGAATTGTCAGAGGCGAAGATGCATAGATTACACAATGAGCTGCTGTCAGAGTGAATGCCTGGGATATTATACTACCACTACACCAAAGTTTTTCTAATTTTATAATGGCCACCTGATATGGAAAATGTTTAATATCGACGGAGTCGCCACCTACGATATTTACCATCGCGTATGAATTGTTATTAAGAGACTGGCCTGTGAAAAAGCAAACAATTCTAATTGAACGTATTGATATCTATAAATGTTGTAAATACACAATTCTATATGAATTTCATTAATCGCATAATATGAAATTTAAATTTATCTAATTCTTCCAGTTTTCAGTATTCAGTGCACAATGTTTATGAAAATAAAAATTAATGAATAATGATATTAAGTTATAATACAAGTATCGAAAATATTGTATTTGAATTCTATAAAAGTGTTTTATAACTGAAGAATATAAAATAATTCTTGAAGAATGCAAATTACTTCTTTTTTATTCTTTTAAAATATCCGTACAATATTTTTAAAAAAATTATTTCATTATAGTACAGAAAAAGAATTTTATTGTTTCCACAAATTTTTTTTTAATTCTGACAATTATCTACCTAATATATCTGTCTAAATACCTTAATATACCTTATAATGCATACAATTTTCAGAATTAACAGATTTTTTTGCAAGAAATAAAATCCTTCTAAATCATTTATATAGATTTTATTATTTTACATCTTAAAACTTCTTGAAAATAAATTAATGTACTAACAACTAAGCTTTATTTTTAATTAATGCAGAGATTGTAATTTATTATGAACTTCGTCTTATTATCACCTAAAAATTCAATAAATACTTCTATATGGAATATTTATGTTAGAATGATATATTTTAATGGAATAATAAATCTATAATATTGTTACATTAATTTACTATTACTTACTGAAAAATTAATATTTGTTATATCATTATATTTTAGTTTATAATACCGATTACCTGTCAGTCAGTGGTAAGAAGGAACTATTACATATATTTTATTTATACATAAATTTGAAATAACAATTATTTTCTTATGAGAAATTATCCGCACTTATAAATCGATTAATTAACATAAATATTTATAAATATAAATAAAAAAAAATATTGCTACAAATAATTACAACATTGAAATGTTCGCTTTGCTTGTAAAGAACTTTATATTTCCTCATACTTGTAACATTTTCTGAAGCAAATATATTTAGTATATTATTATTTTTTTATTACTGAAGTTCATTAATAATTACTTTTATTATTTATGTATTTTAAGTAAAAGTTGTATTTTAGGAACTCAAAATTATGTATCGAAATAGATGAAAAGTTAATTCATTATTATATAATAGATTTAATTCGTTTAGATAAATAATTAAAAAAGTAAGTGGGGACATAAATAAAAAATGATATTAACAATTAATTAAATAATTTAATATATAACTATTTATTAGTTTATATATTATTTATTAAATCACGTTACACTACTCATTTGATCTTTACAAATCGGAAATTCCAATTCTTGTACGACAATATAAATATAAAAATAAATATAACGTACTCAAGGATTGAAATATTTAACTTACCTTTCATAATTAATATGAATTCGATCAATATTATTAAATAAAACATTTTTTTATCAATCGATTTTACTGTATAAAACTTTTTTTTATGTTGAACGTTATATATTCGAAGGAATTAACTTTATCTTTATAAGATTGACTTTCAATTTTAAGTAAATTCTGATAAACACATAGAATTATAATTCAAGGCTTGATTAAATTAATAAACAACTTAATATTTAATAATATCCAGTTAAAGTACACAAAGCAAAGTTTTAAATTATAATGATTTACTCAATACAGATAATGAATTGATTATAGATAAAAAATTGTTATGGTTCTAGGAATATTCCAATACATTTGTATATAAAAGATAAACTATTTAAATTTAGCGAGGGTATTTTGAAATCAATTTTGTTAATTTTAATTGATATTTATACTTTTCATGAATTCCAATATTGACACAAATGCTTTTAAAAAAATGTTTCTCGTCAATATTATTTTATATTTTATACCATTTAGTTTATTCAATTCAATTTTCCTAATAATATCAAAATTTCTATAAGGTACACACGATAATCAATTATTAGATGCTAATCAACTTTAAAAAATGTAGTCATAAGAATATAATTCGTTTTAATCTTACATCAAAACTAATTTCGTAACAATTCAGATTAATAATTCAAAATAATAAAAACATATAAACATGTTGCAAACAGTATCGAGTATTATTTATGCTGACAAACAAGACCAATGTTAATTATTAAATTCAATTAAATTAAAGTATTGTTTAATTACCTACTCTACTGAAAATGTGTGAACTTATTTTATTCCGTAGCAAAAAAAACGGGCTTTATTCAATTTTTTAATTTTGATTGAATGTATTTATATTTGAACAAGTCAAACGATTGAAACAATTTTTCATAGATATATTATTGATTCATCGATGCTATCAGTAATAAACTATTTAATAAATCTTGTCAGATAGTTCTATAATCTAAATAATTCCGAAAAAGCTTCCGAAAATGGTATATCTAATGCCACTGATATGACTGTATACATTATAATTAATAAATTTTATTCAATTAATCTTCAATTTCATCGTATTTTCTTCAAGTTTTACAGTATTCTAATTATAATACATTAACATCATTAGGTTTATAGTACATTTGTATCGTTATGTGTATTATACCGAAATCGAAGAAATTATGATGATAATAATATAATATGAAATAACGATTACATACTATATCTATCTATATATATATATATATATATATATATATAAATTTTTTATATTATATTTTTAAATATATTTTATTGTTAAATAAACTTATATATTTCTTTTAAAATTCAAAGTATAGTTAGATATTTTATTTTATTCTTCTGTATACTGAAAAATTTGATACGTATACGCATAAATATTTTTTTGTCTACTGGCAATTACTATGAACTAAAAATAAACATATATTTCTAAATCGTATAATAAAAATGAATATAATTATAATCACTTTACAACCTATAACCTTGACTCAAATAGTTACCTAATTTTATAATATTTGTTTGTTGATATGATTTGTAATTTATTCTGTTTCTTATTTATAAAAATATAGTCCATATCTATCGCTCAAGGATATTATTTCGAATTTTGTTATTGTATAAAACCAATAAACAGCTGAATTTTACAACTATTACACATGTATGAGGTTTTTACCATCGCCTTCATAAATATTATTTTATTTATATATTATCGAATTAAGATATCTACAAAATCTCAATCACTGGCTGCATAATTAATATCTGATCATATGAAATTACTTCTGGTTAATGTATTGATACTTTTAAGATATATAGAAAAATAGGTTTAAAAACTTAATTTTTAATTTATTTACAGAGAGATAAAATGTACTATCAATTATATACATTCGTGTTTACACATACGCACCAAGGTTGTATCTACACATTTAATTATATTACATATAATATGGCTAATTTTATATTTATTAGGTTTGCAACTTACTAATTTATTAAAAGATGTACAAATGTAATTTTAATATAGATATCAAAAAGATCTTTGCTGTGAATTAATGATTCTTTGAATTATAATAAGACTATGTCGTAATGTGTTTAAATTCACAAGCATTCTTCTATTTCAATACTGATCAATATCTCTAAAGTAGGCCCCAAACAAAATATTAATATTAAGTGTTAATAGTGCAAATATATAACAGATTCGCTACTATTGCGCTACTAACAGTGTATAATGAAACAATAATGCAACTCCAAAATTCTCTGTTTTTTTGTTTTAATTATTTTTATTTAAAGACGTCTAAATAGAATTAAAATCATCATTATTATTTCAATAATAAATTTTATAAAATATTATATAAATGCATATATCCTATTTAAATAATTAATTTTTCTCGTTTAGTACAGAAGTAATTTTATTAAAAATTATCATAAGTAAGTATTACAAAGTAATTCAATATTTTGAATATAAATTACTTAATTATTATTTACATCCGTTAAAATAATGACGCGATTATCTAAAATTGAAATATCAATTACATCAATACATAAATTCTTACAATTATCTAAGAGTTATTACATTATTGATTCATATATTCAAATTTTTATTAATGTTGTACTAAATATATAGAAAAAATTTATTTAAATCAAATTAAATGTTGAGTGAAAATATGGACAATACATGAACTATAATAATGTAAAAAAATTCATCATAGAAAATACTTTGATCGATGAAATGGTGACCAGATATATAACTTATGCACAAATTTTTGTAAATTTATTATATGTATAAATACAATATTCAACGTAATTAATCTTCAAAGATATTTATTGTATATTGTAATAGTATCATTTATATATCATTCATTTATATTACAATTATATTGTAATAGTAGCATTCTTTATATAACAGTTTTATAATTACGCCCATTATGTATATTATATATGTATGTATATAGAATCAACTTAGTAAATACAATTCTTACAAAACTTTAGAAATATAGATGTTCGTATAATCGGTAAAAATTTTAAATAATCTTTATTTTATTCAAATTCGTTCCAATATATAAAAATAATATAATATAGAATAACCATAAAAATATGCTTTAAAGATATAATATATTAATTAGTATACATATGATGCAGAACAAAACAATATTCTATATTTGAAAAATGTCGAGGTAAATTATATTTTTTTTTTTAAATTTGTTTAATTCATAAAAAAGCTTATGCTGTTCCTTAAGACGAATTATTACTCGTGATAGATGTGGCAGCGTGCGCGTGTGTGCGCGAAGCATGTGTACATAGAAATTTGTGATTGATATGACGTTCAATCTATGATTATTTAATCTATGATTTTTAATCTAAGATTACTTATAAAACGGAAATTACAAATTTTAATGTTGTAAACTATTCGATCATCAAAAAATAACGGAGTAAAAAAATAGTTTAGATATTACTCCATATATTAGCGAAATCCTAAATAATAAAACATTAGTAAGTACCACATACTTTATGAAAATTTTTAATATTTTTACAGCACTCAATTGTTATAATTCTTGTGTACAAATTAATATGTAAAACGATTAGATATAAATATAGATAAAATATCTAAAAGAACAAATAAATAAAAATTATGGATTTAAATTTTAAAGTGATTATCATTTATACATCCATTTATTTTTAATTAAGAAAAATTTAAATTTTCTGTCAATACAAGCTTCAAAGAAAATTTTGGATTTAATTTCTTTAATATATGAACCATTATATGACGCAGGCAGGAGAATAAAATAAATATTTGTTCATGCGTATTATATATTATTTAAAAATAAATTCGTATGTATAATTGTTTTAAACACTTCTTTTTAAATTCTATTATTATTGTAATTTTATAACACTATTATAATATTAAATATAATCAATTATATGAGGCAATATCAAATAATTTACAATATTAAATTTATCTGAGAGGTGAAAATATTCTTACTAAACAATCAATACTTGCATCTAAAAGATAATATTTTTAATTTTCTATTATTACTTAGTGTTCAATTATTTAATACTATATTTTCATTAACGTATAAAAATAAAAATTTTTTGTTATGACTGTATAACTTAGTTTTACAGCCATTAAAAAAAAAATTATTAAAATCATATTTTATATTAGAGTAAAATATTTATTAAATAAAGAAATCAATTGGAAAGGAATCGATTATTTTTGTTAACTAATGAGCTTAATAAGTTTATAGATATATCAAGAAATAAATGACACATAAGTAATGAAAATGATAATACCTAATACTTATTTAATGATTCGAAATGATAACTTATTTATTCTTTATCCGCTGATATCGTACTCATAATCCAATCATAGAAATAGCTGACGTCGGAATAAATACCGGGGTATTTGGCCAAGCCGCATCCGATACCCTTGGAGACAATTCCAATTTGCACACCATTGTAAACAAGGGGACTGCCTGAGTCGCCTTGGCACGAGTCTTTACTTGTTATGCCCGCGCACAATTGACTATCGGTTACATTTCCAATGCTTGTACCGATAAAAACTTTCTTACAAATGTTCTTGTCAACAAGTGGCACCTTCACGATTTGCAACTGATCAGGATATTCGTGCAAATCATTAGTACCCCAACCACTTACAACCGCTAATGATCCTGGTTTTAGCACTGTCTTAGGATTTGCCAGTCTAATAAAATAAGTATTGTAAATTAGCAAAATAGGACCGACATTCTGATCCAATTATTTTTGTAAAAATAATATCAATAATGAAGCCAATGATGCTTAAATTAACTAAATTCTTTGTGAAATCCGTAATTTTGAATAAAAATATTTATTGCATATTTGTAAAGTTATTATTGATAATGCTCGAATTGTATTATATGAAATAATTGTATGAAAATTAATAATGGATTAAACTCCATGTTTACCGAACTATGTCAAAAATTAATTCAAATAGAATATAGTTTATTAATAGATCAAAAAATATATACAGCATATGTATTACATATATTTATATAGATATATAGATATATCGATATATAACTATATAGATATATAGATATATATATATATATATATATATATATATCGAGAGAGATATATAGAGAATATCTAAAAACCTGCATTTATTTTAAAACCTCCTTTAATTTATTATAATAATGGAATGTCTAATGTCTAATTTTTTATACTCACGGTATCGGTTGGCGCGTATTATCAAAAACAAATGGCTGCCTGAGACGCAAAATACCAATATCAGTACTTTGAAATTGTCCATATGTAAAGTTAGAGCTGACTTCATGCAAACTTCCACCCTTAAACCAAAAGGAACTTCCAGCGCGGATGCTCAAAGGCCTGTAAGAAAGACGAACGCAATGTCCTGCAGTGAGAACATCCTTCTTTGTTATTATGCTACCGCCGCACCAAATTTTCATCAAGTGCAATACAACTACTTGATATTTGTAATCTTCAATTTTAGCATCGATCCCTCCAACGATATTCTCGTCTTCCAATTTAACAACGTCTGCCGAAAATACTGTGTAATGAAAAAATAATATTATGCTTAATATTCGTCAATTTATATGATAATAAAACTCTAATTGTACTTTAGCTATTTATCAATAACCTTTCTTAAATTAAAACTTCAAAATTAAAAAAAAGTTCTAATGTATAATATAATATGTATAATATGTATAATATGTATAATCATTCAATATCATTATAATTACAATAATCATAATAGTCATAATAATCATAATAATTTAACTAAAAGTAGTTAAATTGAAGATTCAAGACTCAGGAAAACTTATGATTAATATAAAATGTAAATTTCTATTTGCAGTATTAATATTTTTTTAAATTTATAATAGTACTAAAAATGTTATATCTAATATTCGATTAAAAATATTTTACCTACTTAAATAATTTACATGTATTTAGAATTATATTTTTCTGAATAAATCAAGTATTTTCATAAATGTATTAAATATCTCTTACTTTTATTGGTTTCAGATCTTAATCATGACATATTTAAAAAATACTTTTATTTAAGGTTTCATATAAAATTATATGAAAATATATTTCATATATTCTAAAAAGAAGTTCTTAAAAAATATAAATACATAAATAATATAATTATCCCAATAATTTGCATAATGAGCTTAATAATGAATTATAATATTTAACCAGCAACTGTAAACATTGTATATTGACTAATAGTTGAATGTTTTAAAATTAAATTTAAGAGAAGAATATTTTTATTAGTAAATTACAATACCATTATTAATGAATAAAACTGCCGTAAATAGTTGAAAGTACATGACTGATAAGGTTATGTTATAATTTAAAATTTCTAATTTGATGATTAACGTTTTATACAAAAAATTACTTTATCTGAATAACTGGTTGATTAAAGTTGAATTACTTATAGTGTCATAATTATAAAGTTAAATAATAATTTATGTTTTTATTATAGTTTGTTAAATGATTTAATATCTAAGTATATAACTTTCATATTGTGGAAAGCTTCGAATAAATAATTGTATTAATTTCCCCTCGTAATGATGATTGAAATTTCATACTTGAAAAATTTATCTAATCTATGAAATCTGTTGGCGACAGATAAAATTTTTCATACTTTTTATAATTAATAATAAAATATATTAATTTATAGAAAAGTAGATGATATCATTTTATATTATTGTAAATATAATAAAATATTACATGATAAAGATGAATCATATGTTTATTCGACACAACATTTTAAAGTAGAAATTTATAATAACTAATTCTATAAGTATATGGACATTATATATTATATTTAATATTATCCATGTGTTTACTTAAATTAACATATAAAGTAAACTTATTTATTCGCACTATAAACACTGTATATTTATATTATAGTTAAGTTTATATAGTGACTAGATATTATAAAAAAATTTATATATTTCAAAAATAATTTTTTATATTTAACTTTTTATATTTTTTTATTAAAAATAAGAAAAAAGTTATTCTTTGATATTTATGAATTCGAGATCAATTAATTACTATTAAACTTAATATATATATCAAAATAAAAAAAATTATTTAAAAATATTTTAAAATAAAGAATTGAAAAACATAATGTAACTTTTAGTCTAATGTATAATTAAATATATTATTACCAAGATATCTGGATATGTTAAATAATTGTTTAAGATTAATCTAATAAATCATTTATATACTTATTTACTTTTAAAAATCATAGTTAATGCATATAAATTTATTGTTCTTATCATAACAAATATAATATAAATTATTGAAAATAAATTAAAGATTTTATATAATTTTTAGATCACATTTTTATCCAAATCATTTGACGCTACCAATAATACTAGTAATAATATTTAGAATTGACACAAGAACAGTACTTTGATAAATTTGTACTAATACTATTTAGTTATTGTAATTTAAGTATGTAAATACTGACAAATAAATACTGAAAAGATTTTTCTAATTATCTTATACACAATTGTATATTATATATATTTCATTAAATTTATATACATAATGATTATACATTTCTGAATTTGCATAAAATAATCAGATTCGCCTTAATTTTTTTAAAATATTGTTTTATAGCAAAAAATATTATTTTAAAAATAATTATAGTATTAATATTTTACAAAAGTAATTGTATTAATTTTCACTCCATTATTTAAAACTGAATGGAAAAATACTATTAATCTTTTAAATCTGTAACTAATTTGCAAGATATATACTTTGAATGTGATTAGATTAAAAATTATATTAAGTATAATATTAAATGAAAATTAATTTGCCTTTTTCATTTAATGTAAATAATTATTTTAGAAAATATAACTGATTAATTTAAAGACTAAATTGTACGTTGAATTTCCTTACAAGATTATACATATTTATATATTGATCATATAACTATTTATCATAAAATTAAAAATAAAAGTATTTCATTAAATGCCAATTTAAATTATATAAATATTTAAGAAATAAAAACTATTGATGAAATTAGAGTAATTGAAATATATGGTGAAAAACAAAATTAATTATAAATATTTTCTGTAATTAATAATTAATAAAATAAATGTTAATGAAATTATTAGTTAAATTAATAGAAACAATTCAAATTTAAAAATATTATTAATTAACCATTATTTTTAAAATGAATTTCTAAAGTATATAAAAATGAATTATTTTTTATAAAATAATATAAAAATATATTTTATAGACATAAAATATAAAATATGTTTTTCTTATACATATTTCTGTTAAAATAAAAGTAATTTGACGGAGTAATAAATATTTATATATTGTAATAATATTTATAAATTGTAATAATCGAATAAACGATAAATAATATTCATAGGAGAAAAACAATGTAAAAAAACAATTTAATTTATATTAGTACTATAAGCATTGCCTTAGGAAATAAGCAAATTAACATAATTATATCTGTATTAAAGAATAATTGATTTATTAGTTTTCAAATTAATTGGTATTTGCAATTTTTAATGAATTATACTGTTTCCTTTATTATACAGAATTTATATATTACATTAATATTGCAGTCATATCTTATAAATATAGAATAAAATATGTATAATGAAATGTCAATAGCTAAACTATGTTATCAAAACCAATTATAAAGAGTCATAAATAAATGATTAAAGGAGCTATAAGCTATGAAGTCATTGGATTTTATTTCATAGATATAAAAAATTGTAGTTTATTAAGCACGAACTTGGTAGAACACTTTTAGCTAATGTACATCTAGAACATACGCAGTTTCCTGAACTAAGAAACCATTATAATTATAATTATGATTATCCAGCTTGTAATTACACTTCGTAAAAATATTAATAAAAACGTGAATTTGAAGACAAACTTAATAGGTTACAATTTTCTCTTTTAAAATTATATAAATTAATTAAAATTTTAAATATTCAGGTATTGTAATATATAATATCCAAATTTTGGTCAATTATTTGTCTTAAAGTTTAAAAATTATAAAAAATTCGTGTGATTATAACTGTGAAATAATTATTAAATAAAAGCCTTATTTATAATATTTAAATTGATACTTTACAATAATTTGTTTGGATTATATAAGAATTTTCATGTTAATTGAAAATATTGATTATACATGAAATATGAAAATGATTAAAATGAATTAAAAACATAAAATTATTCAATTGTTACTGCCAACGCTGTTCCTAGAATAAAGCACAAAAGCATAATAGAATGTATCTATATACTATATCTATACTATATAATAAAATATAGCATAATATAAATAAAAAAAATCATAATTCATGTGAAAGCATAACCTAAAAAAATAAAATCATTTATTGAAAATATCAGAAAAATAGTAAATATTAAATAATTTTTTCAATTTTTTCAATTCAACAAGATATATATAACAAATATATATATCAACAAAATATACCATAAAATAAACATAAAACAAAGTTATAAATTTGTAAATTAAATCATTATTCTAAATATAAGTCATTAATTAATTATTAATATTTTGTGTGTGTGTGTGTGTGTGTGTGTGTGTGTGTGTGTGTGTGTGTGTGTGTGTGTGTGTGTGTGTGTGTGTATATTTATAATGATTATTGATAATTCGATTATTGATAATTGATAATTCTGTAGTAATATTAGCTTAATTAGTAGAAAATTAACCTTTTAAAAATTTTTTTAAGTACACGTATCTTAAGGAACATTTTAATAAATTCAATTAGCATTCGTTCAAATATATAAATACTAAATTTTTAATTGAAAGCAATAATTTCGTCATTTAATATTAAATGTATTCTAATTCAATAAAATTATTAAGATGTTTTAATAATTATTTATATATTTATTTTATATTAAATACTAGTATTTTGAAAATACCATAACAAGAATTCCTTAATAAAAATTATACTTAATTTTATTTCTTGAAACATAAACACAGAACTGTTCAAATGAACAACTAATTTTCCACTATCCACTATGTAGTATACTTTTTACATATATCTTATTATTTAATAAAATTATACTTAATACTTAATAAAACCAACTGTTTTTTTAATTATTAATCATGACAATATAATAATAATAATAATAATAATATTTAATAATAATAGAACTGTACATAGTACATTTACAATTTCATATAAATAGGGAGCAAAGCGAATTGCATATTTTTTATGAATATATTGTTATAAATTATTTTTATTGATGTAATCTCTTAAGATCTATATATATGTATATCCAAATTACACTTCATGTTCCAAATTAAATTAAAATAAGTTGAATATAAGTTAATTCGATTAAAAATATACGTTAAGATAATTATTATTTTAGCTCAATTATAACGTAGCATACTTCAGTACTATACATTGAATATTACAGTTTAAAATAGATATTATAGTTAATAGTAGATTAGTTAAAATAAATATATTAACATAAAAAATATTTAAAACACAACTTTTTAAATTAAATTTTGGTATCTATTGATAAGCCTTACTGTAAATAAAAGAAGATTACTGTTTGATTAGCTAAGTTCATATAATCATGCATTTAAAACCATTCGTAATTAATACTTAATTGAATATACAAAGATAAAATATAGTTTATGAGTATATAAAATTAAGATTATGAAAATTATACGACTGTACAAAAAATCTGTTAATCGAAGATGTTTTACTTCTTATTATTAACAATCTTGATTAAGATTGGTGCTGGTATGATTTAAAAATTTATTATAGTAATGTAAACTGATAATTATAAAAATTTAATCGAACTTACAATGTTAAGATACATGAATAGTTTTAAATGTTAAAATTATGTTAAAATTAAAAATTTTAAAACATACTAATTTTTTTATAATATTATAATTATATGTGGTAATATTTTATGAAAATGTAACTGTGGAAATGCATTTTTGCATTTCATGTAGTTTCATATGTACGAAAAAAAATTAATAAAAACAATTAATATTTTCAATTTAATGTCACACTTCAGTTTGCTTATTTTCTAATTTATATAAATTCAACGAAAATTCAATTTTAACAATTTTAGCAAAAATAATTTCATAAATTATCCAATAATTAAATCTTATAAGTAACTTATTACTGAAAAAACATTAAATATAGTAATGTATAAAGATATATATACATTTTATATATCTTATATGATACGGTAAATAGAATACTCTATTCTGAGTGGTAAAGTACCATATAGTAGTAGTAGTAGAATAAAATAATTTAACTGTAAGTGCATATTTTAATAATTGTTTTCAAAATATTAGGAAAACATGACTATGGAATAAACTAATTACTATCAACCACTAATTGCAAGTAATGAAATAAACATTGAAAAATAAGTATTATAATTTCAGATGGTAACAAAATAGAAAAAAATCATGTGTGGCTTTATTATATGGAAACACGTTTGTAGAAATATAGTTATTTATAAACTATCTCGGTGTATTTAAACAGATTTTTGTATGGCACTAGAACAAATTAATTACTAATTTCGAAGTTAAAAAAATTAAAAATTTTGAATTTATCCTTTTTTTTAACCTTTGTTTAAAATTATAAAGATTATATTATTTTTTCATAAATTTTGTTGATAAATTAAATAATTTCCCAATTAAACAAAAAATTTAAAAAAAATTATATTGTAACAACAAATAATTATAATATTTATGAAATATATATAAAATATATAAAGAACATACTTGAATAGTGTATATAAAATTTTATTCTATAACTTTAATGTAATGAAAACATTTTTATTTTGGTAACGGGTTTCTATTGTTGATGCCCTAACTTGGTTTGTAAAAATAATCTTATAATTAGCGTAAGAAATTATTAACCACCTACTGAATAATTCTAAATTGATTTTATATTATAAATATGTACTTATTATTTATGTATATATATATTAATTCAATTAATATAAAAATTTTGACTTTATATTCATAAATCAGTTTTTATTTATTTATTAATGCATAGTCAGTAAGTACAATGAAATGAATAGGTTAGCCAGGGTTTGATTAATATGCATAATAAATTCGAAATTAATGAAAGAAAATCAAATTATTTTTGTTTCATATCAGCGGATAACTTCAGCAACATCGTAGGCGGTGGTCCAGTCGACATCACACGGTATCCTTATCAAGCAAGATTGGAAAATAATCATGGATATTTATGGTGTGGTGCTAGCATATTAACAGAGTTTCATGTGTTATCCGCTGCTCACTGTATGCTAAGAGCCCGAGGACCCTTGACAGTCCACACCGGGACGTCCCTCTTGTCTCAGCGAGGATCCGTGCATCACATCGCACATTACGCTGTCTTTGGTTCAAGCAGAGATAGCGACTTGGCTGTAATACGTGTAACCGAGGCCATCATATTTAGTGCAGTAGCACGACCAATTCCGTAAGTATGCGAATATAATGATTTCAATTAAATCCTTTCGATCTCTGAACTTATATATGCTGCTTTCTTTACTAGAAAGCAATTTTAAATACTTTGATTAAATAGGATGGATATTCAAATTGAATTAGGTGCCAGACAATTATTAGCATAATTGTACATGTTACATTAATATCTTTGAATACAACGAACAATAATAAATATAATAGTAGAACAAAATTTTGAATTTAAAAATGAAATACATTTTCGAAATTTTTCATTTCTTTTAATTATGTCGCTAATATTATTAATTAGTAAAATGCGATTAAACTAATATTATTTAAATGCTCATAAATTAATGTATTGTAAAAAATAACCAAACGCCACATTCTATTCGGATCGTTATATTATATAAACAAGTATCGTTTATAAATAAATAAATATAATTACATTTGATTGGTAATTCTTATCTTTTTATTCAATCAGATTAGCTCCCGTGAACGGTGAACCGTCACCGGGGACAATGGCCGTTGTCACCGGTTGGGGCCTTACCTCAGAAAGCTCAAGGCCATCAAATGCACTGAAAGCTACCAATATACAGATCATCAGTAGAGAAGTTTGTAGTAGAATTTATACACGTCCACCAATTGGTCCAATAACCTTGGGTGAGATATGCGCAGGCAATTTACATGGCGGCACTGACGCTTGCCAGGGTGACTCCGGCGGTCCTCTAGTCGTCAATGGCAGACAAGTTGGTATCATATCAATGGGATATGGATGCGCTCGTCCTAACAAGCCAGGAGTTTATACCAACATTGCCTATTACAATCAATGGATTACCGAGCAACTTTCAAAATAGGTCTCTGTGTTATTACCGGAAATCCGGTGCTGAACCTATTTATACCATTTCGAATTTTATTAAATATGTATTCATTTCATAAAATTGAAAGCATTAATAGCTCAATTATTAATTTAATGAATAATAAATAGCAAATAAATAACTATATAAAAATATCCCCTGCACTACTTTCTTTCTTAAAGTTTCAAATAAAATTATTCAAAAGTTATTGCAATCAATTTTATAGCGTATAATATGGCTATAATTTATTTTTAAATATCTTTTTCAAAAGAATATTTTTATATCCTTATTGAAACGTATATTTAATATCATATGAAATCTTTCATGTATTCTCATTTAAATGTATAATAGAGGCAATCATTCAGATATTTAATTAGATTTTAATCAAAGTCGATAATTTTCGAAATGGTATGCTTAACGAGAAAATTTCAACTAACCAAATACTGAATGTTGCTCTGTCCTAAAGTATTAAATTAAAAATCACTGAAGCGAATAATGATGATGATGACGATGATAAAAACAATAATAGTAAGAATAAGAAGAAGAAGAAGAAGAAGAAGAAGAAGAAGAGTAATAATAATTTATAATAATACAAGAAAAATTGAAAATATGAATGAATTTACATTTATTGTATATTATTAAATTTTAAGTTATTGGTTAATGCAATGAAATAAGAGTTTTTTTATTATTTTCTGAACAACGATGAACAATATTAAAAATATATTTATTATATTTATGGAGTATTATGTAAGATAAGTTGTCTCACCTCTCTTATCTCGACGAATATTTTGGCTGGTATAGTGCAATAAACTCGCACAAATGAGCGTCGCATATCCTCGAAGCATTGATGTAGACGTAATTTAATACCATTAATATGGGCATATTTCATTATAATTATAAATCCTCAAAAAGAGAAACGAATCGAGTATTGCCAATTTTATTATGCGCTTGAATGTAAACAATGAATGATTAATTGGAATAATACAATTATCCAAATAATATATTAGACAATGATTAGTCAAATGATCAAATGATTAAACAATGATTTATTGTCAAAAAGACATAAGTTATTCAAGTGGAAAACTTTGAAATCAGTACATAATTTAATCTTATAAATTAGTAAACCAGGAATATTATAGGAAAAAGTAAAAACATCATATATAAAGGATAATCTACAGTATTTAAATTTTTTAGCAAAGTAATGTTAGTAATATTTTTCAATATACGACTATTTACTCAAAAAACTCAGTACACAAGCTCTAATTCAGAATAAATATATTATGTAATAGCTTTAAAATACAAATATTCTAGCTTTTATAACCAAGAATTAGCTCATGTTAATAAATTAAAGCCTTAAAATTAATCCTATCATTAGTATGAAATGAATCCTATCATTAGAATTTCATGAAATTGATATCATTCGCAAAATTATGACACTAAAAGAACTACAGATTAAAATATTAAGTATAATTATAATGAAAAATGATGAATTTGCTTATTTATTCTTCAAATTCTTCTTGAAAAAATATTAAAATAAAGGATTACTAATTTCATTAATATCAATTATGCTATTATCAATAGTCATATTATTTTGATATATGAAGAAATTGTGATAAAAAGTATATTTAGAAGAAGAAAGTACAGACATGAACTGTTATTTAAATATCACATTTCAGATTAACAAAATCCGATAATCGTGATTTGATTCTTTGATAATACACTAATACTGTAACAAATATCCATCTACTTGTACATTTGTAGCCACATTTGTAAAAAATAAAAATTTAAACTATTAACATCAAATTTTTTGTTTATAATTTTTTGTTTTATAATGTAAATAATTTAAATAAAAAGTATATTACGGTATTTTATAAATATATTGAAAATTCATGAGAATATGATTATGATAAGATGATGATAATATGATTAAATTCATGATAATCCAGCAAAAATTTTATGTATTTGATAATATGATTTTTAAATAAAAGCAACTTAAATTACAAATACAAATTAGTATTATTATATAAAGATAAAGAGATATAATATCTCGAAATATAATAAAAATAAAGTTAACTTACCGTTAGGGTAAGGACATTGATTCTACAAAATAAAAACTTGATAATTTTAGACAAATATTTTTACTGCACAAACAATTTTATTTCATTATCATGTTTTCTCTTTTAAAAAATTTAATGATTTTTTATAATGTATGATTAAGTATAAAATTTTTTTTTTAATCTAAATAAATTTTAATGTATTTAATTTCCTAAGATAACAGCATATATTTCTAGTGAATCCTTTACCATTATTATGCAAATAATATACATTAAATATAACATTACTTAATATAATTATTACCGAGAATATTTCAAAAAGGTTTTATAAAAATATTTTTTATGCATTTATTATATTTGATTATAAAAATGTTATAACATAGAATAATGTAGTTTATCATAGTACTTAACATATCATTGATTTTCCAGAATTATACTTAATGTAATTTGTATAATAACTTTTAATTTTACAATTTATTTAATTTACAATGCGATCGAAAATAAAAATACATATCTAACTTTTCTAATTCACATATGTTATTGGACATTTGTATTTAAAATACTATAATTATAGACAGTTACAGATCTATTATATATGCAAGTTAAAATTAAATTATTATCCATTTTGTAGTTCTCATTGAAATATAAAAATTAATCAATTACATTGTTTAATACAAGGTATACTAAAATGGATAGTAGAGATTTTATAAAAATCTATGCTTACTTATTTAAGTTATCTTATGTACTATTTTATTAAATTGGTAGTAATGTTACATGAGTCCATAAATATCAACATTATAATAAAAATTTTTGATAATTACTATATACAAATATGTAAAATTTCTTATTCTCTACGTCATATTCCTACTCAGATATGTGACTAGTGATCCATTCATAGAAATATGTGATGTCGGCGTAAACAGTAAGATACTGAGCATTCGAACACCCCAAGCCCTTTGATACAATTCCAGCTTGACGACCACGTACGACTAAAGGACCTCCGGAATCACCCTGACAGGAACTCTTGCCATAAGAACCCGCGCAAAATTCACCGAGATGAATTTCACCAATCAAGGTGTCCTTGAAAATACGGTTGCAGATTTCTGGTTTAATTATTGGTACCTTAACGGCAAACAACTCATCTTGTGGACCCTGATCGTGGCTACTGCCCCAACCGGTTACGACACCCATCAAACCATTTTTTAACTTACTTTTCGAAAAAAATAATCTAAATGAGAAAAAAATTTAATTTTACGTTATCTATACAAATTGTATTAATTGTTAATATAAATCACTGTCTGCTACTCAATGCAATTTTGTAAATTTAATCGTATTATTATTATTCATTAAAAAATAGAACAATAATAATAAACGCATGAGCAATAATATCGACAATATATTATTAATAAAATAAAAATTTAAATTATTTCAGTATTTACGGTATTGCTTGATGGGTTGCATCATAAACAAAAGGTTCAACGACATGCAATAAAGCAACATCATCGGTTGTTGATATTTCAGTAGTGTAGGTGATGTTAAAGTCAACTTCATGAACACTTCCAGGATTGTACCAGTAACGGCTACCAGCGTGGACAAAAAGTGGCATAATTGCCATAAATACACAGTGTCCTGCTGTAAGCACATAATTTGGATTGGCGATACTTCCGCCGCACCAGAGCCTTTCATCCTGTATGACTGCTACCTGATAAGGATAGTCCTCGATGTCTGCTATTTGACCACCCACGATATTCGTTTCAAATGGCGGATCATCGCCAAGTACATATGCTAATAAAAATAAGAATGTTATTCATATTTCTTTGTAATGTCATTGAGCACGAAGCTAAAATAGAACTAAAATGATGCTTTTATTATAATTATCCTGATACTTAATTGAATAACTCTGTAGAACACTCACTGACAATAACTATCTTATATGAGCAAATGTTTTGTAACGTATTTTTAATCAAATTTTTTTAAAAATAATTACATTTTGTTACAAATTAATTTTCAATTCCTTTTCAACTTTAATAAATGCATTGTTCAAATTAAGTGCATCGATTTTAATAGATTTATTGTATTTTTTTAAATAGTTTAGTACGCCAATCGGAAATATTAAGATGTCTTTACATTATTGTGATTCAACTTCAAATTTAGAGTAAGAATTATATTTGGCCATAACCATACCATTCAGTTGGAAGACAAAAGTTATAAACAGTAAAAATATCCCCATTTTCCCTTAACTAAATTACTAATGTAACATTTTAATTCTGATATCCAATCTTTTATATGCCATACTATTGATAAAATATGTGCAAGAATGTAAAATACAAATATGTATCAAAAACAAGAATATGGAATAATGTATAATAATAATATGAAATAATATTTTTAATGTGAATAAATCTCAAAGAATTCTTAATAATTAAAATCTAAATTATGAGAATCAAATTATACATATTTTTTAGAGTTGAGTCAACAATATTTTCATACATCTAATTTTATAAGAATATTTACTGACATATTTTTGTAACAGAATACATTAAGAAAATCAAAAGCGAAATAGAGTCTATAAACTGATTAAAACTCGAGATAAGCTATGCTGCCATGATTTAAGTAGTGGAGATAACAAAATTAATGTTTATAATATTTTTGAACGTTGCTTCTAAAATAAAATATTGGTGAGCTAAATTCTTTTCAAACACCGAATACTAAATGTACTTAATTAAATCTGTATAAATTATTTTATAAATTATTCTATAATGATTTTATGATATTGAAGAAACTTTTAAATATCAAACATAATACATTAATTAATTAGAATACTTAAATAAATTTAATTAATCCTTATAATGTCACATTATACTTTAAAAATATATTTAATATATTTAATTATTAAAATCTAATTATTAATGACTGAAATAGCTATATGTTTAGATTGGACGTGTTATAGCACGAAAGAAATACCAATATAGTGTACTTTACATATATGTATTTAAAAATAATTTTTTTGATTTAGTGAAATGAATAAAAAAAAAAACAATACAACTTTACATCATCATAAATATACGTATAATAAAATTCTTTCATATTCTTTCACGTCTTTATTATAATTGTTATTTATAAAGTAAATTTTTAAAGCTTGGAATAATTTTCTTATTTTTTCTTAAAAAAAGATGATATAATCAATGTCAACAGAAACCTATAATCGTTTGCAGCAAATCAGTAGTTTACTGAATAAAGAGCGATTTTTGTAATTAGGGCTTATCGATCCTACTATCACCTGTAATTACAGTACAAAAAATTGATCTTCATCATTTAGCCTTAAATAATTAAAAGAATGATGAAATTATTAAATTATTACAAGATTTTTAATTAAAGCTTCTTTTATATTATGGTATATTTTTATTTTGTTTCATCATCCTATCACTTATCATTTTCGTTTTTTGTAAATATAATTAAGAATTTAAGTTAAATTATTACTTAATTATTACATTATTTAGTATATAAAAAATATATAGAATAATATTTATTTAAGTTATTATTAATCTTTATTTAACTAATATTATATAATAGTTAATGAAATGTATGATAATATAATATAGATCAATAAAAGTAAGATTTTTATCTCTAAATGAGTAATGAAATAAAAAATTTAGATTCGAATATATTTATAAATTAGTTTGAAAATTGCATAAGCAATGTTCACGATAACGTTTTTATTCTGTTCTTACATCTTTTCAAGATAATTAATTTTAAATTAAAAAGAATAGAACACAATATTGATGATCGTACGATTTACGTCAACTTACAAAATTAAAACATAAATATTAATTTACCAAATAAATTATACAAAAATTTACACAATTTTGTAGTATTTTTATACAAAGCAAAAAATTATAAAAATATATACAATAATAATACTCTTTTATACAATCATCACACCGACGGGTTTAATATATGAATAGTTATAATAAGAAAATTTGATCTATGTAGAACTAATGAAATATTTAACTGTAATACATTCTTGAAAAATAATTTTAAGATTTAAATTCACATATAAAATATAATAAAGTACAGTTAATTATGATTGTCATTTGAAATGTATACGTGAATAATAATGAAAAACCCTTTGAGTTATTATCCACGTATGATTATTATTATTAATATATGTTATGAATATTATTTTGATCGTTATATTTAGGACGCCACTAAACAATGAATATTTTAAATTTTAATTATAATAAGGCTTTCTCCTTTATTCGACTTGTACTGAGGTTTGTAAAAAGTTACTTAATGAACAAGTAATAAATTACTTTATGTTGTTCGTACATAAAATAAAGAGTAAGGTGATAATCATATCGTTATACAAATCACCTTAATCTATTACTTCATATTAGTGATAATCCAATCTCTGAAATAACCGACATCGACGTAGATAGCTGGATATTTAGGATACAAACAGCCTATACCCATAGATACTAAACCAGCTAGACGCCCGTCGATAATCATAGGACTTCCAGAATCGCCACGACATGGACCCATTCTGTCTGCATTTGCGCATATTTCACCAGGATGAAGATTGCCGATTATGGTGTCCTTGTAAATATTGTTGCAGGTATTTTGGTCTATGATTCTTGTCGTAATCTGATGTAACTGTTCGGCTATATTGCCATTATCGGTGATTCCCCAACCAGTAACATATGCCAGTGCACCAACTTGTGGCTTTTCATACGAGCCGAATAATCTAAATAAGAAAATAAAAGAACAATTTTTATTCAAACATTTTGAAAGGATCTAAAGTGTTTATATTTTGTATATTAAATTATAATTATTAGCAGCTTCTATAAACCAACTATATAAATCATTAATGATGTAATCAATTATTAAGGATATATTCTATTAAAATATTGATTAAGCAAATAATTTCAGACAATTTTAAAAAGTATTCTAAAATAATAAATAAAATATTTTATATTTTATAGGTAAATAACAAAAAGAAAAGAAAATATTTTCAAGTTATTATCATAGTTTCAGCAGATACCACAATATCCTAGTGTACTTAAAATCATATGGCTTGTCCAATAATATTATTAATAAACACCTAAATAATAAAAGTATACATATTCATAACAGAAATTTAAATCTATAAGCAATTGACAAACACACCTCTTCTTTTATCGACTCTTATACATGAAAGAATAAATCTTGATAAACACTTACGGTATTGGTTGACACGTTTTATCGTAATTAAATGTTTTAGACACATGCAATAAAGCAACATCACCGGTTGTTGATATTTCAGTAGTGTAGGTGATGTTAAAGTCAACTTCATGAACACTTCCAGGATTGTACCAGTAACGGCTACCAGCGTGGACAAAAAGTGGCATAATTGCCATAAATACACAGTGTCCTGCTGTAAGCACATAATTTGGATTGGCGATACTTCCGCCGCACCAGAGCCTTTCATCCTGTATGACTGCTACCTGATAAGGATAGTCCTCGATGTCTGCTATTTGACCACCCACGATATTCGTTTCAAATGGCGGATCATCGCCAAGTACATATGCTAATAAAAATAAGAATGTTATTCATATTTCTTTGTAATGTCATTGAGCACGAAGCTAAAATAGAACTAAAATGATGCTTTTATTATAATTATCCTGATACTTAATTGAATAACTCTGTAGAACACTCACTGACAATAACTATCTTATATGAGCAAATGTTTTGTAACGTATTTTTAATCAAATTTTTTTAAAAATAATTACATTTTGTTACAAATTAATTTTCAATTCCTTTTCAACTTTAATAAATGCATTGTTCAAATTAAGTGCATCGATTTTAATAGATTTATTGTATTTTTTTAAATAGTTTAGTACGCCAATCGGAAATATTAAGATGTCTTTACATTATTGTGATTCAACTTCAAATTTAGAGTAAGAATTATATTTGGCCATAACCATACCATTCAGTTGGAAGACAAAAGTTATAAACAGTAAAAATATTCCCATTTTCTGTTAACTAAATTTCTAAAATAGTATTTGATTTTTGTCTTTAGTTTAAATTAAGCTTTTATATAGTTTTAATTGAAGAGACTACAGATAAGAATTTGATAATAGATACATCAGTTTACAATTCTCATTAAATTATGGTATATTATTTTATGAGTATTTTTATTATTTGATTATAAATGACGCGCATACATTTATTAAAAAGGTAAATCAACCATCGCGACGTAATTGCCCATAATAAAGTAAATTTTTTATTATAGATTCTTAGAAGAAATTTAATTCCAAATTTCAAATTCCAAATTCCAAATTTTTTCCAGTTATATACGAATGCATTTTATATATTATTAAGTGTTTTAATTTATATATATTTATTTACCCATAATTTTTTAAAGGAAAAATATCATCAAGTATAAAAAATATATAATATCTAGAATATTTCATGTTAATAGAACTTATACTTTTTTAAAATTATTTCAATAACTGTATTCTGCAACATGTATGTAGCATATATATTTTAGTTAAAAATTGAACTTATTATTACAAAATTTATGATAAATAAATTTTGTAAAGATATGATTCTAAAACGTTGAATGAATTGTACCTATTACTCATTATTCATAGATCATAGCATAAAAAATGCAAAGTTTCAGATTTTCCATCAACAAATTTATTAAACTTTTATATGAACTTTTACACTTTTTATTAAAAAATGAAAGCCTAAATATTATCTTTAATGTATTAAATGAAATTTTCACTTAATATTATCCGCAGATTCTGTAGAACATATTTTTAAATATTCAATAACTTATCGTTAAAGTCCAAAGTTGTAAAGTGTATTAGGATGAGATAGTTTGATTAATTACTAATAATATATAATCAAAAGTATATTTCTTAATAATCTATGTGTGCTGGGTTTATAGGTGGCCGAGTGGGTATGCGCCTTTTATTTCAAATATAGAGTGCTAGCCGTGAAAAAACCACATTAATATATAATTATCATACAAAGCGCCTATATAGATTATATTTTAGTTTTCTCTTTGAAATTTTCTTTCAGACTTTCTTTTTATATTAAAATTTTTCAATATCAATAATAACCAATCATCATTTTGATTAATAATTACATAATAATAATTAATTTTTAAATATATGAATTCATATAAATTACGGATTTAAATGATTAATTGTATGAATAAATAAATTTACCCGTTATTTGAGAATTAAAATTTTTTAAATTTGAAATATAAAAATACATAAAATAAATTTGTGTACTTGTTATACATGAAGTGATTCAATTTGAAATTCTATTTAAAGATAGGCAATTATTTGAGATATAATTTTTTTTAATAATCCATTAATGTTGAATAGTCAAATTTCTTCATATAGCCTTAGAAAAGCTTAATTGTATTACCGAATTTTAACTTATGCATAAATTATGACTTTATATTTATTTGGTTTTTTAATATGTAGCTTATATATTTAAATAGTTATTTTCTACATTCTAAAATTTTCAACACATAATCATGTATAATTCATATATTTTATTTATCTATTTTTACGATATATTTATTTGATAATAAACTATAGTAATTTATAATATTATTTAATAAATTATGAAAATTTATTTAAATATTAGAACAATAAAAATTATGATACAACTATTCAGCATAATTCTCTTTCTAGTCATCTAAATGTGTTCTTATCCAATTAATGTAATGAACTACATCAATAAAGATAGTCGGATATTCTGGCGGTCCGAATCCAATAGATACAATACCGACTTGATAACCATCGCTAACCATTGGGCTACCAGTACTTCCTTGATATGGTTGATCACCATGAACAGCCACGCAGAATTGACCATCAATTATATTTATGCCAGAAATGTCATGATATGCTTCGTTACAGGATGCTCGGTCTATAGTTGATACCTTCACAGACATCAACTGAGACGATGCGTTATCAGTATTAGCAATATTCCAACTAGTTACATTCCCCAGTGTTCCCGGCAGAGTGCTTAGATAATCCGATGAATATAAACTAAATAGAGAAAATATCAATATACAATTAATATATATTTAATAGGTTATGAATTTCATTTATCAAAATTTCATTATTAAAAATTTCATTGTGTAAAAAAATTTAATATAATCACGAGAACATTGGATGGCTAAAATTGAAATTATAATGGTTTTATAACTGAAATCATATTAAATGCAATAACTTCTTACTAATAAGTATAACATAAATGAAATTGTATTATATTATCATAATCAAGAATAATAATCGTTATAAATTTCTTACAAGTCACACTTGTTATGATATTTAAGCTCAATGATATTTAAGCTGTGACGAAAATATTTTAGAATCATATATCATATATATATGATATATGATAAAACAATTTAAAGTTTTACACAAAATAAAGGAATATTTAATAGATAGTTTGGCATAAGCTATTAATATGCTATAAATCTAGAAAAATATTAAAATAAACGTATATTAAATATTTTAAAAAGTAGCAGACTGTGTCAGAAAAAAAGAGTTTGTCTCTTACACACGAGCAATTATTGTAATGAATTTTATTAAAATAATAAAAGATTGTTTGTTTATTTACTTAATGGGGTGTCGTGTCATATCAAAAATGAATGGTTCATCGACGACTAATATAGCTAAATCTGTGCTTTCATCGAAACCATGCATTATATAATTTACGACATTATGAACACTTCTTGGTCTAGTCCAAAATGAAGTTCCAGCATGAACTTTAAGACGAGAAATTGAAGAAATCACGCAATTTGCTGACGTCAGAACCTTATGTAACGATAATATACTACCGCTACACCATAACTGTTCATTTTGCACTATAGCTACTTGATACGGATAGTCCACTATATTAGATGACAGGCCACCAATAATATATTCTTGTGTGGAAACCTGTGCTGTATTAAAAAAAAAAGTTCATTAAATGTTTTCAATTCGTAATTAATACTTTCAAGACTTCATTAATGAAACTTACTTAGTTAAAACAGATACTTGAAAGTAAATGATTTTTAATATAGATTTGAATAATACTGCCAATAAATATTTTGAATAATTTAAATTTTACTACCCCGTATAAATATTAAAAATAACGTTTTAAAACAAACTGAAACAAATTAAATGAAATAATATGTATATTATACAAAGAAATGTTTGATTTAATATTATATATTGAATATTTGACGAAATTATGATCTTACACTTAATAAGATAATTTTAATTCAATAAGCATTTAAAATAATAATCATTTAAATTAACTAAACCACTGATTTAAAACATTTTCTTATAATTTGCGAAATACTTTCGACCACATTATCATTTTTTCAAATATTTCAGTTTATAAATACAATGAGAGTATATTTATGAATATATTATAATTATAAATATCTATTATGTATTAAACTATTATTTATTCAATATAAAAATTATTAAATTTTAAATAATCAGATATTAAATTATTTGTATCAAACCTTAAATTGTATTAAGTAATCCACTCAGTTAAAAAAATAAATATAACATAATTAAAATAAAATTAATTATTTTACTAATTTATGATATTTATGATAGATAATTTATGATAGATAATCTTTATGGTATTTAATATATAATCTGAAAACATATTAAAAATTAAAATAAATGTTTATGAATCTTACCATTTATTATAATGGAAATTATAAGTAATAATATGTTCAACATTTTTTTGTGAATTGAATGTATTACATAAAAAATTTGTTTTTATAAGCAAGATTGTATACTTTCGAGAAATGTATTACAAAGTATTCAACAATAGATAATAAGTTGATTATAAATGTAGTTTACTTATAAATCTAGATAAATTATAGCATGTTGACTTAACCTGAAAATAAGTATAATAGATAAGACGTATACATATTTGAAGAGATATTTTAAGCCCAATATTATTTAATCATATTATAACATAGTCAATTCTTGGTTGACAAAATTTTTTATTTTTAAAATAGTTATGAATTTTTTTCAATTATATGAAACTCGGTAATAAAATCAATACTTTTTTTATTATTCTATGATCCAAAATGGCATATACTATTAACATCACTCTGTATTTTTGAATGCAGAAGTATAAAAATAAAAACAAAAATGTATTTAATACTGGTATTGTATTTAATACTCATTGGAATTATTTAAACTTAAACATAAAAAGGAATACAGGAATATTCTAATTATTTTTCTGAGTTGGACAGCAGATTAAGTATTTATATAACTCACAATTATTAACGTACAAAACAATAATATAATAAACATATACAATATCTTTACATGGTACCTTGAGTTTTTATAATTGGTCATATGGCTAGAAAACAAGTGAAAATCCCAAGATTTATTAAGGTTCTGATTAAGCGATAAATGTATCATAAAATGATCGGTTGCTTATAACACAATATTTTAAATATCCAAAATAAGATTATTAACTTTCAACTTATTCCCCTACAATACATTATATACATTATTATAATAAATCATTTATTATTTTTGTTTTAAAGAAAAGACTAGTAGAATTAGAATATTTCCAATTCAGAATAAATTACAAATCAAATTATTGATCAATATTTTTTTTATTGCTATTTAAAGTATTATTATTAAAAAATAATGAGTATATTAGAATATTGATTGTTGAATCAAGTCTATTGGTGTCGATATTTATATGATACTTGTATTTGAACAAAGATTTTTGATAAATTGTCTGCGTGATTATCTTAAATGGGCACAATTCCAAAATAAATTTTATCACACACCTATACCTTTATTTTATCAACTTATTCTTGCATTGACCAATTACTGTTAAATTTTTTATAAAGAAAAAGATAGTTACATAAAAAGATAATTTATAAAATTATTCAATATTTTTAATAAAAGATATTTCATAAATATTTTAATAAATACAAATCCTAATATATTCGCAGTACAAATTATGCACTTTTTAAAACATTTATAATTTGATAAGATAGACATTTTTTAAAATGTCTTGATTTTAGAAAAAAATATTATTATCAGTAATATTTTTCGAATTAAAAACTCATATGACTTACATTATAAATATTATTAAAAAAAGAATTTATTATTTAAAATTTTTAAGATTATTATATTTATATTTCATTATAATAAAACTTAGATAATGTGCTTATTAATATTAAACATTTATTGGTACAAATAAAATATTTATTTTTGAACGTTCAAAAATTTAATAACCATTTCCAATTGAATATTAAACTGATGGGTATAGTAAATATTAATTTTAATATAAGTAAATAATGTTGTCTCATTTTCAATTTATTATAATTGAAATTATTTATATATTTATTATAATTAGATTATGAGAAATAATTAAAATTTAAAAAATTAATGGTACCGAAATTTATAATTTTATCAGTCGTGTATTTTTTTGATCTGTATTTGCTACTAAAAAATTAGCACACAAGAAATATACAATAAAAAATTTAATTAGTATATATGATCGCTTATATGACATATGATCACATGGTTTGTACTTAATTTCATAACAAATATTTCATTTCTTCTGTTTTTTCTAGGCCTTAATTTACATTGCTATTACTTTCTATCTCTCATTTCTCTGTACCAAACTCTTTACTTCTATCTCTATGAAACTGAAATTTCTTTTTTCTTTTTCATTTTTTATACGTGTATGTCCTATTTATTATTGATCAATTACTATTCATTGTCTCTTTTTTCTTGGTGATTTCAGCGCATTTTTCTGTGTGTTAACAAAGTTATCAAACCTTGTCTCAAAAAAATAAAAATTATATTATCAATCTGAATTTTTCATTTGAACTCCAAATCCACATTACAAAATTACAAAAACAATAATTACAAAAAAAATCATGAATTCATCATACCGAGGGTATCAGTTTAAAAAAATCTGATATAAAGATAAGGATATGTTAAATTGTATTAATATACCTATAGTATACAATTCGAGTAATACTTCTAACCATCTTTTATAAAATAATAATGCTTAGCAATTACATTAATTAAATTTAAATTTTATAGAAATTGCTACACATAAACACAAAATAACTTTTAAGTTTTTACTTACGATTTTGTTATCTGTAATTTAAACTTTATTTATTTTTTTTACAGCTTATTGTTTTTACATCTGATTTATAGTTTTGTAAATGTGTATTAAAACTAATTTGGGTTCTGAAATTAAAATTTTTTATTCATCATACATTTATTATTTAACTTTACTTCGAATATTTTGAAATAACGTTTGAAACATAGAAATAATATTGGTTATTGTATTACAAATTCTATACAAATTATGTATTACTTCGTAACATGTATGATATATAGAAATGTAAAAATTGGTTAGCAGTAGTAAAAAGAGGGTAGCATTATTCGTATAATATATATTTACATTTCGTAAATATTTCTTTTTCTTTTACTTTAAATCTACATGATAAAAAATTATTCTTCTTTCAATATAAAACACATGTGCTATTTGTTGGTCTCAAAAATTTAATAACCATTTCCAATTAAATATTAGACTGATGGGTATAGTAAATATTAATTTTAAACAAATCTTAATAGACATTAATAGTTCTTTCTTCCTCCATCTTTTAACGTTATTAAAATTGTCGAATATTTATAATTAATTACAATATAAATTAAAACAACAATTTATGTAAAGTTAATTATATGTTAACAAATATAATTATAAACACAATACCTTTATTGTTTATTGTATGAAATGATTTATTTTATTTGATGTATTTAATGTAATACTTAAAAAAACTTAAATATCTAAAAAATCTAAATACTAAAATATCTATTGAATCTAAAATCTTAATATATGTGAATGTATTATAAGGTATATTGCTTCTGCGAAATTCAATTATTAATATCTTGAAAACTTATATGTATGTCGACACATACCAATGCATTTAAAAGTATTATATACTTTAAAAAACGTGTAATTTATATAAGTCAAAATTTAATAGTGTAAAATGGAATAGTGTACCATGGAAATTGAAGGAATTGTATAATTGATATATTATATATATAATTGATATATTAAATATATAAATTGCGGGAGCACTATTTCAATTATCTAAAATTTTTACATAACATTTCTGTTATAATAATTAATAATTTATATTGTGTAAAATCAATTTACATAATACATTTAAAATTAATATACATAATAAGTATATAATAATAACATTAATTTTTATATTTAAATTGTATATTTAATAATAAATAATTGTATACTCTAACAGAAAAAATTAATTTTTTCATCCTAACATCCTATGCTTAACATACTCTATATTTACACTATTATCTACTGAGCAAGTAATTACCTATTAATGTAAATGTTTCGTTTTCACAAAATAAATTGACATAAGTTGAATGCTTATTAAAAAATGTTAAGCACTGTATTTCTATTTCAAATTTTATGTAATAATCAACCTAATGATCTTATTGTTCTTATATATAATCATATTATATAATGAATAAAACTATGTTTAACTGATTATATCTTTATAAAATCATTTTTTAGGTATTATATATGCCATTAAAGTGCAAGAATAATATTTCATAGAACTTTATTCTTTAATTTGAAAAACAAAGTATTGAAACTTTTTTAAAAATATTATAAAATGCGTATTAAATATTCGTTAATCGCAATTTAACAAATAAATATATCAAATTAATATTATTTTATACACTTTAGATAAACCTACAATAAACCTGGTATTTTAAAATATTATCTTCACAGACTTTTTATTTTATTTTATTTATTTTTTTCTGTGATAGTGAAAAATATTTAGTATAAAATAATACATACGTAAACATTTATCTTCATTTTCATTTTTAAGGGATATATAAAAATATTCTTTTATTACTCTATTCTTAGTTTATTATAACTTGCAGACAATGAACAGAAAATTTGTACTTTAATTTAAAATTATTTAAGTCAAATTTCTGTTTTGAAATACTCTATATAATGCTATATAATAATTCTTATATAAAATTTTGTTTTATTATAAATTCAGTGGATGAATTACAGAATAGTAATCATTCTGTTTAGAATTCTTTTATTGATAGATATGAATCTTTGAAAAATTAAATACAATTTAATGTTAAATAATTAATTAGCAAAATATGTTTGTAACTATACCAACATGATAAATATAATTAATGATGAAAATGCCAAAACAAAAAATATCAAAAGAATGTTTTTGCGCTGCTAGTATTATATTAAGCATACCTGCTTTTAACGTAATCCATTACTGTTAACAAACAATCAGTCGATGTCAGCTTTAAAAATTTTATTAAACCTAAGAATTGAAATTTGCAAAACGTTAGATATATTTGTAATTCGCGATGATCCTTTGATTTGAGAATAACATCGAGCTGATTTGCTATGAAAAGAGCCTTTTATCATGAAGATAGGCGAACAGATTTTACTAGTCTTTAAATCTTTTTGATGGTGTTAGTCCTAATGTTTAATTATAAAGAAATTTTGTATCAATACAAATTTCTTCCATGTTAACTGATTGCTACAAAATAAATATATGAATAATACTTTGAACAATTTGAACGTCAAATTTTAAAAGTTATATACGAATAATAATTAATAATTTTAGTAGTATACACATGACATGTGTAATAGTAACACATTAATTAATAATTAATAATAATTAATATCATTCATAATAAGTATACAATTATTAAAGAATCATTTAATATAATAAAAATATTATTTAACATATAATGTATTACACAATTAATATGTGCAAATCTTAGAAATATTAAAGTTTAAAATTAATCAGATTTTTTGTGAAGATAAATTCAGTAATGATAAAAAAATTAATTATTTAAATATTTATAAATTAAATGGATATTTATAAAGGATATAATCTATGGTAAAAACTAATATTAGATTTTAACTTCGGAAAAATTTTAAAAACTTTAATTGCGAAATTATTTTTATAAATGTTCTACAAAATAATGGTGTGATTAAAAGTTCAAATATATAATACAAAAATTGATATTAAAAATAATTTAAATTAAATGTACAAGAAAAAAAGTTTCAAAATACTAAAATGTTATAAAATATGTACATTGGAAGGAGATTATTCTATATTGAAATCTAAAATTTATAAAAATATAAAAGTATATCTCTGACGATTCCTTATATACTTTTTTTTTAATTTTTTTTTTTCATCTATTGTAATCAAATATTTTATTCTCGTTTGTTTTCAAATCAGGGTATATACTTTAGTAATATTATCAGTAATTCAAAATTATATAGTTTTTATATAATTTTTTAATATAAATTTAAAAAGACAATATATATTGTCAAACATACATTATATTAAATAACTATAAAAAACAATCACTTTGCATATTAATGATTAGAGCGTATTGAAAAAACACAATGAATTTATAAAAATTTGTATAATTTAATAGTGTTTCGAAATTCTGAACTTTGTTAATATTTATTGTCAATAATTCTTGAACATGAAAATTAATTTTATTACTTCAGTTCAATATGTAACACAAATATACCAACAAATGCTTCTGTTTATATACTATATTTACCTTACAGGTGCCTATTCTGAAAAACAGAGGACTACTAAATGAAATTTGTATATTATCTAAAAACGATGTCTTAACGTATATTCATCTATAAATATGTGTATTGGTGGTTCTTATTGGCGAAGACTTGTATGTACTGTCTATATACAACGCAACACAAGCTGAATAAATTCTGCGACTTTTAAAAAAATTTTTGTAATCCGTAACATTTATAACGGATGCAATTCCAACTACAATCTTCCGATAGATAATTTTATTGTAAAAAAGAAAGTGTGAGTCGATAAGCACTCCAATTTCATTTTAACGTCTTTCTCCTATTTCCTTTATTTGTAAAGGTAAACTGTGCACTTTGGAATATGAACTCCGTAGTTTACAAAAAGATCCAAAGATTAGAAAACGTCTTGTGACAATAGAATTCAATTGCATCTAATTTATTTGATCAAATTGTGTTATCTAAGCAGAATTGTATTTCAGAGTTGTAAAAAGGTTTATTGATAATTTGTTCTGAATTAATTCATATATATTAAACTACGTAAATTCTAATTAAAAGATGTGTTACTTATTTATATAATATAAATTATGGATGTATAGTGAAAATCCTTTTATTATACATAAGATATTAATTAGTGTATGAATAATAATTATTTATATTTAATTATCATTATTGTTATTAATTTAAAAAATATATAAATAAAAAAACTACAATCTATGAAGAATTGAGGAAATTAGTTGTCACAATAGAGAAAATAATAATTATTAATTGACTTTTATCGCAATGAAAAAAAAACACGATGCATGTAAGACGATTAATATATATAAATAATATATAATAATACATAAATTTAATTGAAATAACAAGTATTGTGTTAAGACAACACAATCTAATTTTATGATTGTAGAATCTAATAAAAATTTATAATGAAAATGTACATTTTAAAATTATTAAAAATCCGTCTAATAATATTTTCAAACATTTCTAAAAAACATTTTCAATTTTAGTTTACACGTTTGATTTAAAGGATGGATTAATTAAATAATATAATCACATGTTGATAATATTTATAAATTTAGAAAACTGGTAAATATTTTTAAATGTTTATTTACAAACGATTATAATATTTAATTCATTATATTTGTTACGAGAAAGTACAATTTTTATAAAAATTAATCATTTTTTAATGCTCTAATATATTTAAATACTTAAATGTTTTAACGCACTATGCTAATAATTTAAACACACTAATTAAAATATTCTTTTTGTTTTTCCCACTGAAAAAATAAACTAGCGGTAAATTTTTTACAACTATACTAAAATTTATTTACATTTTTGATAAATTTTCTTTCCATCAAATTAAATAAAAAATCAATGAAAACAAAATTATAAAGTAAAGATAATTGCTTCATAATTTCTTATAAGAAATTATCTTTCCCATAAGAAATTATTTCATATTTTATGATGATTATTTATAAATTGAACGTTAAATATAAATTAATTTTTTACGCGGTTTGTAGTTGTAAATTAACATAGCAATAATTTATTTGAGGGGATATTTAATATATTAATAATCTATTAAAAACCCTCCATTTATAATAATAATTAAAGAATGAACTTTTAAAACAAGAAAATTTTATCTTCTATTATATACCATATGTACGTTATTTTATTGCATCAGTATACTTTTCCAAATAGAAATTCATAAAAATATCTTTTATTCAAATAACAAATAGAATATTTTTAATTAATTTAGATACTATATTACATAATTCATATTTATTGTTATCGAAATTAGTAAGTATTAATTTATAAAAATTATATTTTGTTTGTATGTGATTTTTAACAATTATTATAAGGATAAAAATAATTTTAAAGAAATTTAAGATATTTTATAGTAATCTATTAAGTTATGAGATTAAACAAATGGAATTCTAAATTTAACGATTATCAAAATCTGCAAAATATTAGAATAAAAATGTATATTGCTATATTATAATTGAATTTTATATGACTGTAAACGTAAATAATCAGTAAAAATACTAAACAGTACTATTTAAATCTAAGTATATTACATAATACAAATACATGATATAAATAATACAAATTATATGAATAAATATAAAACTTAATGAGTAAATAAATAATTATTATATATTAACAATACACTTAAAACAAAATTATATATATGAAATATTTTTCAATATTTAACATTGAATGTTTGGTAAGAAAATCTTGAATGTATATGAAATCAGAATTTAAATAATTATGCGTAATATTGATATATATACTATTGATAAGTATATTCATAATTAAATATAATAAAAGTAATAAAATTTTTGTATGTATTAATGTATTTTATTATTAATATATCATATATTGAAATACAAATATTTATCCCTTATATACATATGGATGGGTGCGTGCGTGCGTGCGTGCGTGCGTGCGTGCGTGCGTGCGTGCGTGCGTGCGTGCGTGCGTGCGTGCGTGCGTGCGTGCGTGCGTGCGTGCGTGCGTGCGTGCGTGCGTGCGTGCGTGCGTGCGTGCGTGCGTGCGTGTGCGCGAGCGTGTGCATATTATTGTACGTGAAGTATTAGAATAGATATGATAGTTTAATAAGCGTCAAACCTTACAATTGGTTATCAATGTATTACTATTTATCTAAAACCTAATTTTGTCTATACTGCCTCGTTATTTATATAAGATTCCTTTTATATAAAGCATCATCACTGAAAACTTCTTTTAGATAGTCAGTTAAATTAAAATGTACTTCTCACTAATTGCAAGCGTTTTACTTTTTATTTCTTCTGTCCATGGTAAAATTTAATAGTTTTTACAATAAATTCTCTCTTAAGAAATTATTCGAAACTGTGTATTCTACCACATTTCCATTCAATATTTATTTTATATGCACTGAGAGATTTTTATAAAATTATATTTATTAATTATTTGCCAAAAATATACTTAACTTGAAAGACAATAAATTTAATTAAAGATTATAATGCAATAAGCTCTATTTGTTATAGCTTAAGTTTTCTTATTCTCTTTGATAATTCATTATATAAATAATTTGGTATATATGTATTAAATAAATAAGTTGCTTATTTTTTATTTGCTTTCTATGAGCAATAGAAAGCTATTTATTTATTTATAATAAATGTTTCATTTACACGCAAAAATTTATCATTCACCTTTAAACATAACTTTCATGAATGAAAATAAAAGTGTTATTTCCAACTATAAGCATATTTACATAAACAAACATCATAAATCTTTTACGCTATAGTATTTAAGTCCTTTATATTCATAAAATAATACTAAATTTGTTTGGCTCTACACAGGATACAGCATAAAAGATAATTCGCCAACTAGCACGTTCATAATCGGCGGTGAATATGACACGATTGAACATCATCCCTATTTAGTGGCCATTCTCAAGAACGAAAGACTTTGGTGCGGTGGATCAATCCTATCGGTAAACCACGTCCTTACTGCAGCTCATTGTGTCTTGCACGAGTCATCGCCATTAATAGTCAGCTCAGGATCTGCCTTTTGGAAACAAGGAAGTATTCACCATGTCGAATACAACGTTACATATGGACCCGTAATGAATGATGATCTCGCGATATTACGAGTCACGGAACATTTTATCTTCGACAATACTTGCCAACCAATCCCGTATGTACATGAGTAGTGATCATTTTTTATATGTTGGAACTCATATTTTCAAAAATATAATAAACGATATAAATATAGGCTTTAAAAGATAAGTTATACTTTAACATTAAAATATTCACGATATAAAGGATTGAAAAGGTAATATAAAAGATAAACTAAATTAAACATGTATATATACATATACATATTAATTAATAAATTGGCTATTAAACTGGCCATAGATACTAATACATTCTTATTGATAAAAGACAAATGAAGTAAATAGTGTTTCCAAAAAAATATTTGTTGAAAAATATTTCAAATATTATTGAAGATAACAGATAATAAATAAAGTTTAGAGAAGTATTTCAAAATTATACAATGCTCTAAAGATAAATCAAACGATGAAATTAATATAGATTAAAAATTAAAGTATGATATAATATAATAATAAAGCTATTTTTGCAAATTTTAATTAACATTAAAATTATTTGAACAGAATATTCTATTCCGGCGAAATAACAGATCCGGGCACAATGGCTACAATCAGTGGTTGGGGTATAACGGAAAATGATAGTCCGACATTACAGTTAAAATCGACGCAAGTGCCAGTCGTCGATACAGAAGTGTGTAGCGATATCTACAAGGATTCTGATATCGGGATAATAAGTGAGGGTCAGATGTGCGCGGGTTTCCTCGACGAAGGTGGCAAAGATGCTTGTCAAGGTGATTCCGGAGGTCCATTGGTCATCGATGGACGCCAAGCTGGAATTGTGTCAATGGGTTATGGATGTGCAAAGCCACACTATCCCGGTGTCTATACACGAGTCGCATTCTATAACAGTTGGATCATGGAACAGATTTCTCTATAAAATTTATTTCAATGTATAATCAAAGACAATTTATGATCATTGTATAGTTTTTCAAAATCTTTGTCAATTCTGTGCCAAAATATAAATAATGTTTCGTTGCTTATTTTTAATGCTTAATCATATTTCTGAAGTTTTTTTATTGCAAATATCTACAGAAATATATATAAATAAATCGGAGGAAAAAGAGACATTATTGAAGTTATAATTTATTTTATAAACATTCTATTAAAGTTTACCGAGAGACACTCCATATTAATTTGGTAACTACGTATTTCTAAAAGTATAAACTGGACTCTATATATCTTTTATACCTAAAGATGAGAATCGTTTATTAATTAGTGGAAATAAAAATAGATATCTTATTAACTCTCCAATTCATTTCCTCTGATAATATATTGGATCATTTTTAAATAAACTTTTAAGACTTATTCTAATTTCAATGAGAAATTTAGTAATTTATAAACAGCTTTTTTAATTATGATTTTCTTATAAACAATAATGTTGTTCTATTAATTCTTATTTTATTATATTAATATTGTATTACTTTAAACAATGAAACTTTCTTATTATATAAAATATAAAAACAATATATTCGTATTATAATAAATGAATTCCTATGGAAGATAAAATTATTCTGAAACACTAATCTACGTCCCACTTGCATAATCGTTACCTTCACTTACGTTCATCTATTTTCCTCCTTCTGCATACACAAATTTGTCCAAGATTATCAATAACCAAAGGATAAATCAGGCTGCATTCAACAAACTTTATTTAAATAATATAAAATAATATTATTTGTCAATGACATTACATATATACATAAATAGTAATGAAAATTAAATATCTTATTTCATTTATGTGATCAATGTAATCGTTAAAATATTTATTGTTAATATGGAATAATATAACATCTTAATTTAATTACAAATATTTTACCCAAATGCGTTTATAAATAATAATATACATATTTGTTTATTACCAGTAAGTTCACAAGATATTTGCACAAATGCATGAAAAATATTTTCCACAAACATGTACATTAAATCAATTTGTTTTTAATTTTCTTTTTTAATTATTCATAAAGGAGGCAGTAATCATATTACCATCCAGAAAAACAATCATAACAATATTCTAACATTTATTAATTAATTAATCTTAAGAATCCTCGTTATCGCTAATAACTTTAAAAAGTTTTTCCATGCATTTAAATTTTTTGTAATTTCAATTATTTTGTTTTTATTAATTGTTTGTCTATATACCTATATAATATAGTAATTACATTCTTGTTATCATTTATTAAATAAATATTTTATTAAACTTCATTTCCATTGATACATTTTAAATATATATTTATCCTTCAATTCGTCGAAAACATGAAAATTACAAATACACGTGTACTTCAAACAAACACACTATATCTAAAAACAACAAACGATAAATAACTAAAAATAGAAATAACTAGAAAAAACTATCAGATAATAAATATATTCAAGCTATTAATTCGTAGATGTATATCTAATCGTACCATAATATAATACTGCTGTATTAATTGTTTTATAATAAATAGTAAAAATACATTTTTTTTTAAATCATCTTACCGGTCTATTATTATAATAATGATTACTTCTTCTAATAATGCAAATAAATGTTGAAATTGAATAATATATAATATATGATTTTTAATATTTAAAGCAGTATATTTCTTTAACTAATTCTTAAAAAAATGTTTATATTTATTAGTATATTATATAATTCAAATAGTTCTTTTATTATATCTTAATATTAATTATCTATTAATATTATTATCTATTAAATTTTATATCTATTGAAAATATATTTAAACTTTTTTGTCTATTATTAAACATTATTATAATGTAGCTGTGAAGCCTTTTTATTTGACGAATTATGGTTCAATAAAATTCTATTATAAATAAATTATTTTACAATTAGTAATTTAATATCATAATGCATTCTAATACTAAATTTAACTTCTTTTTAAAATGTCTAATGATCTAACATTTATTATGTGTGTATTTTTTGAAGCATAAGTATTCTAGGCATCATTTTTTAATATGTTAAGTATAATGGTAAACGAATTTATAAGTATAATATTAAATTCATTAAGAATGCGATAAGAATTATTATTTAATAAATTTATCTTGTATTCTGTATTTATATATATTTGTAAGATGATATCAGACCATTCTTTCTTTGTTGTAATATTACTCTCCACTTTGCCTCTTCACTTATCAACTGTCAAAATTATTAAACCTCTTTGTTAAATTTGCTATTCATTAAATTTGGATTCATTTTATTGAATGAAATATGTACCATTTATTTTCAGATACATTTGGAAATATAATCAATAAATTATATTGGTTTTAACTGTTTAAATAAATATTTATTTGCGATTGTTGAAAATAAAAAAATCAGATATTATTAAATATTTTATGATTTAATAACTATTTATTACTTAAAAATATTTTTTACTTAAAATTATTTTTACTTGAGATAAGTCAGCAAGTTTTTAAGAAAGTAGAGACAATCATAAATCTTCCGTTAATAAGTTAGCATACCACATAAACTTAATAAAAAGACTATTTCAAATATAATTACATGTAGATCTATTACTCATAATTTAATGGTATGAAAACAATAAATTAAATTATAAAATGATGGATTGTAATGCTAAAAAAAAGCTTTATTTTTCTAGCCTAATCTTCATTAGCAATACTTTAAAATTTATCAAAAATCTATAATTTTTCTCATGCTCTTTTATTAAAAAAAATTATTTCTAGCTAATAAATTATTATTCCTAATAATAATAAAGCCTAATTTTTATAGATCCTTTAATGATATCGACAAAAATATCATTTGAACTAAATATAAGTTCCATTAAAATCTATATGTAAAAGCTCCATCGAATAAATAAAAGTAATGCATTATTTAAAATAAAAATTAAAAAATAAATTAATTAAATAGATTATAAAATAATTTAATATTATAATTAAAAAGAAATTTATTCTAAATGTTGGTTAGTGGATGTTGTTTATTTGAAATAATAAAAAAAAATATAGTAATACACAGGAAAAATTCAAATAATTAATTATCAATATAATATTATGAGTAATATAAATTTAACATATAATATTAAATTTAATTACTTTAGATATTTTATATATTTAAAGCTAGAGTATTAATGAAATTTAAGATTTTGTAAAACACTACTAAAACGTATATATCGATTTACAAAATTGAAACGATTTTTAAATTTATTGCAATTAAAATTTTATTTATTACTATATTTACTTTCTAAATTAATTTTTTATTGAAAATATTTATTCCGTTAGAAAATTACAATGATAACTTGGAACTATATTGCAATAGAAGAATAGTATCATTATATCTAAAGATTTCCAAGAAATAAAAAAATATATTGAAATGTTAATCACTAATTTTATACTTTTTGATACTTCAAACAATCAGAATTATATTGATGTGAGTTTGATCTTTATTATATATACGCAAATATGCTTCAAGGTTACGTACACATCAGAAATAAATGCATAAATATTAAATATGTTAATAACCTGTACATAAAGTATATACTCTTATTAATGCATCAACGAATAATATAATAATTAATGAATTAATGATTTAAAACAATTGAATAAATAATAAGCTGATGATTATATAGCTAAAAAATATAAAAATATAAATTTAATGCTTCAGCAGCAAAAATCGTAATTATAAATGAAAATTTTCATAACCTTTTTTATAAACTTTTTATAAAGAAAAATGTATATCTTAGTATTTTTTACTCTTACAATTAGTATAATCGGTAAGACACTAACAACTTTGATTTGATTATATGTATAATTTATTTTCATGTTACAACGTAGCATTAGTATAATATAATCCAAATAACATTTAATTTGCTTAAAATATATCATTCGCTTTTATTTTTAATATACATAATTACTAATACACATTATTTTCAATATGTTACAAAATAAAAATGAATTATGATTTTCTATACTTTTATGATCTTTATTATTATAATATTAAATATATTTAATAATTTATGAGTAAAAAATAAATAATTAACAATAATAAGTTTTTAAATTACATATTTTAATTTATTAATTTATCTATAATGTGAAAACATTTTTTATAATTAATTACAGGATTTTTCTAATAGAAAAAAATCGAGTTCTTATTTAATAATACTTTATATCTTAGAAAATAATAAAGCTATTACGTGATCAAAGTAAAATATAATTTAACTAAGTTAAAACTTTTTCTTTTAATTCGAATTAAAATAATTCTATTTTAAATATTAACTATAATATCAAATATTATATATATATATATAATGTTATTAAATTATTTATAATGAGAAATGAAAATAAATTATTGAATAATGACAAGCTAAATATATAAATAAATAAGCTCATAATTTTTCTAATAACATTGAAAAGTTATCGTCAAATCTTACATGCAATATTACATTTCATTAAATCATACTTTTGAAATTGATGACGACCGAAATTTTCTCTAGTACATTTATAAAAAATTTTATTATCAAGGACAAGCGACAAAGCCTGATTTATTCGAAGATGAAAAAATTGTTGGCGGCAATGTTGTGACTATCCAGCAATACCCATATCAAATAAGTATTCTGGTTGATAATTATCTCTGGTGTGGTGGTAGTATTCTATCAAAGTACAGTGTCCTTACCGCAGCTCACTGTATCCTTACACGATCGAACGAACTAATCGTCCATGCCGGTAGTTCATTCTGGATGAGTGGCGGCAGTTATCATCGCGTGAAGACTTCCTTCGTCTATGGAAATGAACTGAGCACCGATTTGTCCGTACTTCGTATCAAGGAGCCTTTTGTCTTCAACTCATTTTGCCAACCAATTAAGTAAATTTATAACCTACATATATATTATATTCTATAGTCACTATTACTGAAGTGTTAAAAGAAATGATTGATGTAAAGATTTAAGTATTTCCTCAATTAGAAACTTATAGAGTTTATGATAAAAAGATAGGCTTTATAATATATAAATTTCTGCATATTTTTTTGTAAATGGTAATTGTAAATTGTTATATCTCTTTTTCTAACCGGCTCTTTTAGGATGCCCATGGCTAATAACGATCGCGATCTAATGAAATACTAGCTAACAAAAAAAAAAATAAACCGTACAAATTTAATAGACTTTTCCTCTTTATTAGAATAGCAGCTCAAGGTAAAAGACCAACAGCGAGCACAATGGCGACTGTAAGTGGTTGGGGTAACACTAATTACATTGGCATTTCAAATCAATTACGTGCGGTGCAAGTGCCAATTGTCAACCAATATGTCTGCAATAAAATCTATAGATTGAAGAACGTCACTGAGATCTTCGATAGTCAGATATGCGCGGGTTACTTAAAAACTGGTGGCAAGGACGCCTGCCAGGGTGACTCTGGTGGCCCCCTCGTCATCGATGGTGTACAATACGGGATCGTATCAATGGGATTGGGGTGCGCTGAACCTTATGCACCTGGTGTATATACTGACGTGTCGTACTTCAGCGATTGGATTGCTAAACACACATATCATTAGGAATATTATTGCGTTATGCACTTGTTTAAATAAATTTTTATTCTAATTTACTATATAGTAAACTGTTGTTAAACTCGGGACATTGGATGATCTTTGAAAATAAACGAATTTCATCGAATAATTAAATAAACTATGACAATGTAAATATTATTGAATGGTTATGTTACGTAAATCGGAGACTTTAGATACTCGTACTATAAAGTTAGTCAATCATGATTGTTTCAATTATGATGATTGTTTTACAATTGTTTTTTTCTTTGATTTTATAATTTTTACTTTTTTTAATTATTCTATTTTGACAAGTTGAATAAATAATTCAACCAAAAAAAAATTACATTACGAAACAAACATTTGTCTAGTAAAATTTTAAATTATGATAATAATTAGTAACCATAAATTAAAGTGAAAATGAATTCTCAAATTTATATCGGAAGTTAATTAGTATTTACTATATAATAATTTGATATATTAGTAACGTTATATGATAATGTGAGACAAATGTAAAATTTCTATCTTTTTTTGTAAACATTTCTAATCTTTTTCAAAAAATTTTATAAAGCAATCAACAATATAAGGATTATTTTTAAATAAATTCTTAACACACTAAATAATGTAATGCGTTAATATTGCCTGTTATAATTTAATGAGTTAAACTTGTATTCTGGTATAACAATAATTATATGATTAATAATTAAGAATATAAAAACTGAAAATCACATAATACGTGTTTTTTAAAAATTAAAATTATAATAATCTTTACACTAATACTTATGTATAAATCAAATGTATTAATTACATAAAAATTAACATTAAAAAAATATAATAAACAAAATATTTATCGTATTTATTCTATATTGCCTTTACACCATCATGAATATTTAATCACATATTTTTTTCAAGATAGCGATTTTTTACACTAAAGCATTCCTATCATAAAAATTAGTAATTTTGTGTAAATAAACCAATTAATTCGTATAGCCTAATTGTATCTCCCAGTGCAAACTGAACAAGAATTATTCGCTCATATCTCGACTTAACGGTAAAATCAATAAACAATTGATAATCAACCAACCGAAGAGATAATCGTAATTATCAATGTGTAACTATTGTGCCGTATACGCGTCCATAAAAACCGAAAACGATCCTCCCAATATATCGATCAGTCCATCTATCCCCATATTCGGCCAATTGATTCATAAGTCTCGGGTGTACAAACTCCTACTATTTGTCCGCTTATTACCGACACCGCAAAAGCCCAACTAGTAAGAGTAAACATATGAAAGTGGTAACTAGATAGGGAGTACGAGAGGAGTGAGAGTATAATCCAACTCACTTTCGACTCTCTTTTGCCCTTTCAAGATTGGTAAACCTTCGGTAATTCTTAGCGTCGTCTGACTTCGAAGTGCGCATTATTTTACACTCGCGAGAGAAATGCAAGAACGAAGGACAATGAACGCGATGATACGCGATTTTGAAATCAACGTAAATTAATGGCGTTCAAGAGATTTATAGAATTTCATCCGGTCTGTATGCAAATTCACAGTTAAGAAGTTATATCACTAGATGGATTTTTTATTTATATAACTCGACTTTCTTGATATTTCTGAATTAATAACCTGACTTCTCTTACTTTGTGAGCTTATTTTGGTAATTCCTTCTTACGTACTTCCTTCTTAAATCTAGTTAGCTTTATCATCAAATTGACTTATAAATCTTATCTTTTAATTGATTCTTTAAATGTATTAATTTTATGCGACTAATTGAATATTTTTTAAATGATAATAATTTTAAATATTGATGCACTCTGATTTTTACGCAGTTAACACCTGCGTACGGTTACGTAATTAATATTGTTAATAAAATAATAGATATCTTCAATTCGATAATTTATATCTAAGAATCCAATAAAATCAAATGCAAATACTACATTTCTGTTTGTTGGTTTTAAAATTTAAAGATGTAACAATTAATAAATTTACTACAAAGATAAAATACTTAGTTCCTGATGAAGTAATACAGTAAGATAAAATGATTAGACAACCTTTCTATATATTAAAATTCAAATTAAAATTAATTCATTTGTGTATTCTGATTCATTGTTACATACAGAAAAATTATATCACGATAATTTATGTATTGATTGTGTGAATGAGAAAGGTAAATTATATATTCATGAATGTTTATTATATAATGTAAATTCACTAACTAATATTCTATCAAAATATAATTATTTGCACTAATGATATTCATATATTTACATAAAAACTTTAAAATACTTTAAAATTAAAAAATTAAAATTATATTCGAATTTTTGTTTAATATTCTTTATAAATTCTTTTCTATAAAAATTCTTTCAATTATAAACTCGCAATACTGGAAAATATTGATTATTTGTTAAAAAATAAGAAAATATGAAAACATTACTAAATTTTTTTATTTTTATTTCTTTCTTTCGGAAGTTCTTAGTTAAATAAGAGTAACTAAAAGAGGAAATCATATCATATACATTATATTATTTAATAATGAATTTTTATATTCGAATTTGATGATTATTAATTTAGAAAATATAAAAAGACAATTAATTACTAACTATAAAATTTATTGGAATTATATCTTATATATATTAGATAAGAGTAAAAAATCTACTAAATGAAGCTAATATTACGAAATGAAGATGTTTTGTAAGAATAGTCATTTAACAAATTCCTTTATAATAATTTTAACCAATTTGTTCAAACGATTAATATAGTTCTAACAATATTTTAAAGAATAATTCATTTGAAGAAGATAAAAAATGGCCAGTTTAAATTAGGAATTAACTATCGCAAATTGAAAACAAATAAAAAGAATTTAAATTGTTCTTTTCGTTCTTAAAAGAAACTTAATAATCCTAATTGGAAATAAAAAGAAACTATATTTAATTGATGTTTTAGAAAATACCTACGATAATTTTCAAAATTATACTTAAGACTATATTAGACTACATTTTAAAACTAAAACCAGGGAAGACAAACAATTAATATAAAGTAATATAAAATATTACTTTATTGGAATAAACTATACTAGACACTTTTCAAAATCCGATTGTGAGATCGTAGTTCCCTAAGGATAAAATGATTTTTAAATAATAATAATCACCAACTGAAATACAATATTTTTATATAAAAATTAAATAAAAATTGGATTAACAAAATAAAAACATGATGAATTAGAAAATAATATAGCGAAACATATTATATATATATCATAGAATACAGTATATAATACAGCAATAATAGTTACAATCTACATAGAAAATCTACATTATTTAAGAATAGAGACACATTGATTTTCGAATAAACAAAATGGGAAAAAAAATTAGTGTTATAAAGTTTGAAAATAATTTAAAAATTTTTAAATCTTTAAAATATATTAATTTATTTATTTTAAAAGTGCGAACACATATACATATACGTAGAAATGAATAATTATTCAAAAGTTATATTGGTAATAGCTTATTCAATGCTTATGTATTATAAAATAATCAGTATTAAATGCAATTCAAACAGTATACAAGAAAGAACTGTATGATTATTAAAGTAACTATTCTTGTCTTAATTTGTAAAATATTATTATTATAAATGAAAAGGTTTTCAAGTTTACACATTACGCAAATATAAACAAATGCATCAGAAATTCTATGATATACAAAACTTGAATCAAATTATTTTTCGCTTGAAATATCAAAGGATATCTTAACTATTTCTTCGACTTAATAAGCAATATAAGTTTGTGAGTGTATGTGCAGTTTTCTGCGTTTACGCAAATATAAGTAAATTAAAAATATACAAAATTTATAATTAATTCAAGCATAAATAGAATATTTCGATTTCATATATAGCATATAATTTATAAAAAATATAATGATTTTACATTAGAAGAAAGACATTCTTACTATTACGTAATAATTTTAATATAATAATTTAATAAAAAAAAATAATTTGTAGAATGTCAGAAAAAATTTTCTAACGTTGAACAAATTAAAGCTATATAAAATATTTCATAGGGAGACTTTCATGATGTGATCTCTTATAAAACTTTGAAAAAATCTCTTGTCGACAAAATTGATTTCCCTATTAAGCATTAAACACGAAATAATTTAAACACATTTAAAAGAAAATATGTTTGAATATTTTCATAAAATCATACGTTTATCTATTTATGTTGACACTAGTATAACGATTAAGATTGTACGTTAAATATACTGTCTAAATTTCAATTTATGATTAAAATTAAAATATAGCAATTTATAATTATTAAATATTTAATGATAATAAGTTAACATAAAACATTTTTAATTTATTTATTTAAAAAGTGACAAATAGTGAAAAAAATCTACCGTATTAATACAATTCTCTTATAAATCTTTATAATTATGGTACACACAGTTCATAATCTTTCAATGTATAGAAATGTTTAATTATAATGTAATTTTAATCAGAACCCCATAACTTTACTAAATAAAATATGTACTAATTATATAAATGTATTATTATGTTTATGTTTTGTAATTAAACGTCAATTAATATACTCCTTTATTCTCTGTAACTCACCAAAAAACTATAAAAATAACACAAAATAAATATAAAGATATATATTTTATGAATTGATATAAATAATTACAATCGATATTTTATTATTTTTAGTTATACTTTAAATTTCTTGTCTATATGTAGTATTTATAGTTTTTTATAATTTTTTTAAAATCGAATCTAAACTAAATTTCGCATTTTATTCAATTTCACGAAATTTGTTATAGAAAACATAAAAGAAATTTTTTACAACTAAAAGAAAAGACCTTAATGTTATAAAAATTTCATAAATTCACCCATATTTAATATTTGATAATATTTATATTTCGTTGTATTAAATATAAAATAAGGTAAGTATATTTTTACATCATACAGTTATAGTACATCACAATACCATTATATTACATATTGGTTTATTTATTCATAGAACGCGGTAACGCGTATTCTACAATATAAAAAATTTCAGATAGTTGAACTAACTTTGAAACTACTTTAATTACGATTATTTATCAGTGTTGAAAAAATGAAGATTAATTATATTACATAATAATAAACAATTTTACTGCAAAATAGATAAATTAAAGAGCAGTATCGAGATTTAGAAATCGAAATGATCGCCATCTGTTGCCGATTTGAGAAACCTCCATTACGTCCGCTCACGCTCGGAACCAACCGATTCAACAACTCACCGACACTGGCGTCTGCAACTATTCATATTCGTGTCAGCACCGCAGTCTCTCAACGTGCGCGCGCACTTCAACACATCCAAACCTCTCAAATACATGTAATAAACATCGGGCAGCGATGAATGAGGTCCCAGTGTCGTGCATCCCGGCCGCGGGCAAGATGTCAAAAACTAAGAAAATCATCGATGAAGCCTGCGATCTCCAGAATCCAGAGCTAGACCTGGCGGATAAATCGGTGACGAGTTTCGAGGAGATGCCAGGCCTGCGTGAGTCTTCTTTTTCTTCTCCCTCTTGTCACCCCGACCCGTCGTTCGAGCGCCTTTCACGACAGACCAGTTTTTCGCCATGCCAAATTAGGCATGTTGCCGCCGCCGCTGAGCCTTCGTGTGCAACGTGACTTGTGCGCTCACACCCACCCACCGGGAATGCATACGCATGCGCGCACGCACATACGCACACGCGCGTACGTAAATAAGCATAAATGACTTGACGACCGAATGAACGGTGGCTTGAATCGCGAGAGGTGATGTACTTGTTGTGACAGCAGTTGTTGCCAACTAAGTCGGGCCGTTTTGTTCCTTAATATTGTTTATTGTGAAGTTGAGATGACTCGGAGAATGACCACTTCAGTTTCAACGCGTTTTTATTTATTTATTTTTTTTTTATATATGATAAAAAACTATTTATATGAAAGAATAATGATTTGGATATTAAGACTTCAATTTATATCCAAACGTATTTACAATTTATCAACAATGTTAACGACGTTGCGTTATATGATACAGAAAAAGCAATTATAGAATTATTAATAATTAAATATTACTTGAAAAAAAAATTCTGGCTCTTATAAATTGGAACATATTAATAAAACTATATTAAGCTATTACGCTATGGACAAATTTATATTGAAAAATGAATTTTATAAACTGACAATTATAGTCATTTATTTACGTCATTACGGTAATTTAGAAGGCGTTAGAATAAAAAATAATAAATTGGAGTTTCAGTCTTACATATCATAATCTATTGAAAACTAATTATATTAGTAATAAATTACGTATTAAAACAATACACAAATACATAAATATTAACTTTTAATATTAACGAATCTTTAAAAACCTTACAAAAATTGAATTACTCATATACTTAATGTAATCATATAAATCTATTATACACATTTATTTTCATAAATTTCAATAAATACTTATTTAATATTAATTTGTGTTTTCTTCTAAATATAATTCTAAATTCTTAAATTAAATTCAATATTCTTAATATTTTAACGTTTATTAATAATCGAATTTTTGAAAATATGTAATATTGTATTATAAATTAAAATATTTATATTTACAGTTAATATGCTAAATGTAACAAGAATCACATTGAGTCATAATAAAATTAATGGTAAGAAATTTTTAATTAAAAAAATGTCTACAAAACAATTTTGCTAGAAAATTTCATTCTTGAATAATTTGATTTTATTTCTTTCTTTACATACACATGGAGAATCACAATTCTTAAACATTTATCAAATTGCTTTTAATATCCAACTTTGCAAATACTTTCTAGTGAAATTGAAACATGCATTTATATTAAACATAATTCATTTATGGAAGAAAAAATATTTAAGATTATAACAATAATTTATTTTAGCTATACCACCTGGCTTAGCTAATCTTGTCAATTTAGAAATATTAAATTTATTTGATAATCAAATTACGGATTTGCCTATTTCTTTATCACAAATGCCAAAATTAAGAATCTTAAATCTTGGGTTTGTATTTCAATTCATTCAGAGATTTTTGTAATTTTTTTTTTTTTATTATAAAACTCGAATTATTCTTGAACGTACAGAATGAATCGACTTAATATACTTCCACGAGGATTTGGAGCATTTCCAGCATTAGAAGTTTTAGACCTGACCTATAATAATCTTAATGAAAAAAATCTACCAGGAAATTTCTTTATGATGGGTATGTATGACTATACATCATATTACATTATATTGTCTTATTTAAATTTATAAATATTCCAAATCCAATCTTAAATCCAATTTTTAAATAAGGAATTATTATAAATGAAAATATACAAAAGTCATATAAAATGAATTTTTTAGTAAAATCATATATAATTTATACGTATGAATAGAAAAATCTATGTTATTTGAGTAAGTCATTAGCTCTGACATATATTAATTGATATTTTAAAATATAAATCCTAACGATTTATTAATTTTTTAAATTTTATGTTCATGGAACATAAGCTAATTTGTACATCATTATTAAAATTATAAAAAAAAAATTTGTTTAAGAAAATATACATTCATTAATACGCTGCATTTTTAGATCAATAAGGTCAAAAGATTTCAGGCTTCTGTAATTATATTTGTGGATATTCATGGAATATGGAAAAAAGTAATAAAAAGAAATTTTTCAAACATTATTACATTACTGACAACTTTTATTATGTCATTAAATTTATAAAGTTTAATGCAAAATCTACATTCTACACTTTGAATATTTTTTAATGAACATCATTTACAGAAACTTTACGGGCACTTTACTTAGCTGACAACGATTTTGAATATTTACCATCTGAAATAGGGCAGCTAAAAAACTTACAAATAGTAAGCTATTAACATATTTATTAGAAATATTAATCTTATATTCTAACATATGTTTAAATTATATATCATTTTAGCTTGTTTTAAGGGAGAATGACTTAATAGAATTGCCAAAAGAAATTGGAGATCTTAATCGACTCCGAGAGCTTCACATTCAAGGAAATCGATTGACCGTACTTCCTCCTGAAATTGGTAAATAAAAATATGTTTTTTTTTTATACTAATAAAAAAGTTGATTACAGATTTACGTTTTAAAATGAATCTTTTATATAATTCTTTACGCACAACTATTAACAATTTCAATCAGTTTATGAAATTCAGAAATTAATGTCGTATTCTTAAATGGACCGAATATAAAATATAATTTGTTTTATAATGCACTAAAAATGCTGTAATAAATAAATTATGCATTTAACGTGTAGGTAACTTGGATTTAGTGAGTAATAAGGCTGTCTTTCGAATGGAGTTTAATCCTTGGGTTACGCCAATAGGAGACCAACTTCAAGTTGGTATTTCACATGTTATTGATTACATACGTTCTGAAACATACAAATAGTAAGTAGATATTTTTATAATTTTTAGTACAATATAATAAAACTACATACTATAAGTATATTCCTTTACAAATAAAATTTAATATTCGGACAGTTTTCTAAAATATATTAAGTATTTTTTTACTAAGTACAGTGTCATGTAATACAAATGAATATAATAAATATTAAGCATAGTTTTTTTTCGATTTTTAATATTTTCAATTGCTTAAATGCATTGATAATTTTTATCGATTTGTAATATTACTAAACGCAACTGTATCAATTTCATAGTATTTTCTAATTTATTAACTTCCCTACATTAGACATTAATTTTTCCAAATAAATTTCTAAAAATATTTTCTTTTGTATTATATTTAATATTTAATCTTTCATTAGGTTTTTTTTTTTATAAATATCCCTCGTGAAATTTTAAATATTTTAATCAAATTAAAACTAGTGGTAAAAATAATATAATTAGTATAACAATATCGAATACCTATAAATCTTAATTTAATATATCATTTTTAGCGTTTACAACAGACATCAATCAGCAAAAGGTCCACCACCACCAATAGAAGCTGATAAAAGCAAGAAACTATCGCGGCTTGTTTAGCGTGCAACGATTTACTAATATTGCTATAATAATAAATAATTAATAACGTAAATATTATTAATAATCAAATTCCAGTTTGATTATAAATTACTAAAATATCGTTGACTAATGTTTCTACACTGCCATACATCGTAACATTAAAATTGGCGATATCGTAAATGTGTTTCGAAAAAAAGATTATGCATATCTACGTATGTACAGTTTTATTAATATATCTTTTTAGTTTTATTATTTTATAAAAAAAATTAAACTTTTATTATAAATAATTATAAATAATTAAACTTTTATTGAAAAGAGATTTAATTACAAAATTAAGTATTCATAAATACAAGTAAACATTTATATAAATACAGCTTTTTTTTATTACCTATTTATTATGTACAATCTTTTTTTGACGTAAAATTGATAGTGCCTTATTAGTATTTAATATATTTATTTATAATTACAACTTTTAAAATTACAGCTTATTTTAATATGTGGAATTTATACACTTTGATACTTAAAATGGTAAAATACCAGAATAAAAATGATAAGCGGCATCTTAAGAAATTCAATTTATACATTAATTAATGTTATGCAGTCGTTTAATATTTTGTACAAACTTAATGCATAATTTGAATTTTACCAATTTTCATATATATTGGAAGCTGGATTTTATATTAAACCATTTTAATTTAAATATTCTCACATTGTTTTTAAAGTAATATAAATATATTAATATACTTACAAAATTATTTTATTTTAATTGCAGTTAAAATTATGTATGTAGTTTTGATGTACGAGTACATTACAGTATTTGCATAACCTTATTTTGTTCATGTACAATCATGATTAAATTAATCATTCATTATAGCTGAAACGATTGAGCTATACACTTTTCAACATTATTTGAGACTAATTAAAATGAATATTCTTAAATCATAACAAATAAATTTATATAAGTTCTAGATTTTACAATATGATTGATAAAAAAAACTAAATAAAAAATAAATACTACTATTTAAAACCTATATTACATTTATACTGTGATTAATAAGTTTATAAAAATAATAAATATAAAATTATCGATGTAATTTTTAAAAAATCGTCACACTTTAATATTCTTAAGAAACTTGTAAATCGAAATTTCCTTTTTTTTATAAATATACAGGTTACGGTAACGACGTTATAAAATAAAATCTGAACTTGTCAATATCTTTACAGTTGTCAAGTAATTATTATTCTATAATTAATGCTACCAAACCACATAAAAGGTATATGAAAATTAATATTCAAAAATATTAATATTTAAAAATATGCAAATTATTTTAAAAATGAAATACAAATATTATTATTTTTAAATATTAACAAAATTTTGCCTAGTAAAACCTTGAATAAAAAAATATAATCTTAAAATCTTAAAAGATTGTAATAAATTAACATCAAATCTTAATCATCAAATTCATCATCTGTATATTCACATTCTTCGATAAGTTTAGTCAATTCTGCATCATGTTCCATTGACTCATTTTCTGATAAATGACATTCGCCTTCCATAAATTTAGCAAACCTGTACAGATTTTTTTTTTACATAACATTTATAACAATTTTCTGAATATAATTAATTTTCTTAAAAAATGTGTTTATATTTATTAAAATAATATATAATATCATAATTAATGACAATTGTCCATTAAATTAAATAGCTCATTTTAATATCTTAAGCATATCGTAATCGTTTTACGACGTATTTTATCATTTTTTTAATAAAGAATTATTCACAACATAAACAAATAAATATATTTTTTATAATATTTATGGTAAAACGGTCATTCAAATCATAATATGTATTTACTTATTTATTGCAATATATTATTTATTTTTATAATTAATACAACGAAATTAAGCCTATTCCATATATAGCTCAATTTATTATTCAAATGAGCTTCAAAAATTAATTATAAATTATACATTGAAATTACATCTGACATTAACAAATACAAAGGTAACTGCTTAATATAAATAATTAGACACTAAATTCATAATTAAGAATTGAACTACCCAGCCTGCAATACAACTGTATATGAAGTTCTAATAATTATGAAAATAATACAATAAAAACATTATTTAAAATTTCTTTAATTTGAATTAAAAATATAAGTATTATACATGAAAATTTCATTTAAATTAATAAAAAATAGAAATAATCACTTTATAATTTTAGTTAGTAACTTTAAAAAAATTTTAATTTATACAAAAAGTAAAAAAAAAAATATAAAAAGTATTTAAAACCAAGTCTTTAAATTCAGTATCATTTAGTATTGTTAATAATTATTTAACCGAATTTCAAATAGTAATAAAAATTTCTGTAATTAAATAGATAATTCATTTTTCTAATTTACTTTAAATTGATTAAAAATTGTTACACTTAAATATTAAATATAAATTCAAATATGTTAGTTTTTTGAAATTTAATTTATTAAAACCTACATATACTAAGGATTAATCAATTTAGAAAATTCAAGTAAATGGTTATACCTGATTGGGTCTTTTAGTTTTAAAACTGTTCTCCATGGATTGGATTCAGGAGTATGGCAGTAATGTTGTAATCCCTTCAATGCTTTTTTTGTTTCGACTACACCTTCCTTACGGTACTCATCATCAGTAAGAAGACGACGTTGATCCGGAAACATATGTTTCCTAACGTGATTCCATTAAAATTTAAGAAATACGAGTGCAATTTTGTACAAAATATCACTTCACAAACAATAAATGATATCCATTAAATATCTAATTTATTTATTATAAAAGTAAAGATTCAAAATGAAGTCAATGTGACTCAAAATTTTAAATGTTAAATATAGTAATGAAATTGTAAAATCGATAAATTTCATTGCAGTGGGGACTTCAACTATAGCTTACCAATATTTTCGTCCATTTTGAATAATGACAACTGGAAAATTATAAAATAAGACTAGTAGAACGCATATAGATATCGATGCTTCTCTAAAGAAACTGCTGTGATATACCAATACTAAACCAAAACTCTGAAACAAATATATTTAATTGATTTTCAACAAAATACATTTCTATAATATTACAATAGATTTTATATTTGTTTACTAAATGTTATAAATTTTTATATATGTAACGAAATAAGAAAAATAAACATTTTATAAAAGTTTAATTATAGACTTTAAAAATTAATATATTAATTAATTCTTTAAGGTAAAATATTATATATTTTACAGTAAAACTGTACTTCATAGTACTTTAAAGTAAAAAATTATAATTTAGTTAAATATTTTCTGAAAAAATATTAAACAAAATATTTGTAATAAATTTCCATTTACTTGAAGCATCCATTGTATAATATTTTTCGTTCTTGTATTAGTGACCGTTCCGAATCGATAACAGATTATGAAACTAATAAAGGTTGTTACAAGAATATAATAAATGACATAATTTCGATATTGCATTGCTATTAATTGAATATTTTCCCACAGTATTTGAGCAAGATAGAAACTCATTGTGTAGCCAGTTGCCATCATTAAATACATGAATTTGCCCTGTCACAAAATTATAGTTTTATTATTATAAATACATGAAATGTTGTTTAAAAATTAAAATGCACAATTTTGTAAATTATAAATGATTTCATCATTTTTAAGCAATATACTGACCTTAGGCAATACTTTTCCAAGTAAATAGATTAAAATAATTACTGACAATGAAACCCCAATAGCAATTTCAATTGTATAATAAAACAATGTATTTCGGCTCAGTTTTTGAGCAAACCAAAATAAAAACATACCTAACACCATGATTGTTAATTTCCAAATATCTATATCTAATAAAAAAAAAATTTATGTAAATATATATTCATAAATAATTTTAAAGATATCTAATGATAATCAATATATTTACTATTCTGAGTCATAGTCATTCTATAATTAAATTGATTGTGTTGCTTATTCATATAAACACCAATACAACTATCTTGAAATGGATTGATTCTAAATTCTTTACTTTTCTTATTACCAAACAGACTAAATCTCCAATATTTTTGATTCTCTTCATGTTTCTCAACAACCTCACGAGGTGATGTACCTTCGTAAAGCTCATAAGTTTCTAAATTTGTTTTTAAATTCATCTAAAATCAATTTAATTCATATATTTATAAATAATAATTACAATCATTTATAATAATTATACGTACCACAATAGTTTTCCAAGTATGTATAATATATTTTGTCTTCGCATTATGGCAATAAATACATAAGCCTGACTTATCGTTTTCTATCCAGTCACCTGGCTCCATAAAATGAACTAAAATTTCAAATTCAAAGTATAATAAAATAGTAATTTTTAACATTTTAAAATATATTTTATATCGAAATCTTTATCTACGATTTTTTTACTAAAAAATCAAACTTTTATTACGTGACAATTGACTCAGCCTTATTAACGTCAAACTCTTAAGATTTTTTATATAATAATACAATATTTGAATATTTCATAATTTATGGACATCAGTAATTAATAAATTATTGCTTAAAAATAGTAAATTTTCTTTACTTGAATCTTAAGTTTATTTTTCTTTCGTCTACGACAATTGTGAGGTTATGTATGATAAACTTACCGGTTTCTCTGCAACATCGTGATACCTTAAGTGTATCAAGGAAGACAAAAATCGTTATGAGAATCTTTAAAATGCTCATATACGTCTTCATCGTCTTTTATATCTACACTCTTATGAGAGCAGATTCATTGATAATAAAATTAATCTTTTAATTTTACCATTTACTAATGCCCGGAAAATTGTACTACATACGAGACCACACTGTCGTTTATTTTTTATTCTCATATTTCGTCACTATATTGCATATGTAAACGAGCGGGATTTTAAAAATGCCTAGTTGAAACGAGAGATGGCGCTAATATATATTTAATGGACCATAGCCAAAGATAATTTTATTTTTGTCTATTATTAATTCAATTACCTTTTAGAACATTGGTAATTAATATATATTTTATAATATATTGAAAATGTTAACATTTTATATCAATTAAATTGGAAAGACTTCCAATATTATTAATGTTAACACAATTATCGTAAATATCAATGAACATACTACGTTATCAATACCTGTATTGATACGATACATTTTACCTTTAGTATTTACAACACAATATATTTCAGTTGTATTCTTCATTTTTTGTCGCTTCTTTTAATCAATTAAATTTCTTCTATATTTTTAAGTACTATTGAGTCTTCTAATTGCACAATTATCTTATCACAATTATCACAATAATTTTAAAGCTATTAATTAAAGTTAATATATGTTAAAAATGGAATAAATGAATTACAAACAACAATTTAAAGGCTGATTTCGAATCAAATTTAAGCGCCGGGCATTATTCCCTTAATTCCTACACATTAAGCTGAAATGCACTTTCATAAAAAAAATAATGTAAAACAAATCTATGGATTATATAGCATAGCATTAAGGTTTTCCAAAGAAATAAGAATTTATAATATATTATTAATAAGGAATAAAAATAATATTAACTACTATTCTTATTGTCAAGTTTTAAAATGAAAATATTCCTTTTTGGTATGCCATTGTGAAATTATAAAAATCCCTTTAATATTAAAATACACGTTATTTTAATAAATTAATTATTATAAAGTTAATCGAATTTATAATTATAATGTATCAAATACATTTTCCTATATTTATAGTAGAATATTTGTATATATATATATATATATATATATATATATATATATATTTGAAAATCGGTAAACTAAAATTCGCAAAAAGTATATAAGTATTTATTCCATGATTGGTGATAATAATATTATTAACATTATTTGATAAAAACATAAGCAATGTATTTTAAAATTTTTAATTTTTGTTGATCAATACCTTCAAATAATTTGAGAATTTGAACATTTTTATCTTACATCATTAAAATTGAATAATATGCCAATAGTAAAAATTAATGATTTACGCTCTATCATATTCGATTTTTTTTAACCAAAGCCGTTTAAAAAACCATATAAAAAAACTGTAAATATAATAACATTTATAAAAATACTTATTAAAAAAAGTTTTAAAACAATTTCAAAAGGAATGTATTAAGATTATAAATTTATTAATAGAATTTTACTGTTTAAATGATAAATTGAATTTTATGTGTATTGTAACTTTATTGTAATATTTATTACTGTTTAATTCCATTAAATGATCTTATTAAAATAAATAATTGAATAATTATTACCTTACAAAAAATTTTCGATAACAAATTATTTTCAAAATTTGAATTTATATTAATTTTTCCAAGTGATTAGAACTTTCATTATTTTTTGTTATTGTAAATTTACATCTGTAATGTGCATGGATATCTACATTTGAATAAGTAACACAGGAAAAAAAAAGTAATCACTTCGATTAAATTATTTATGGCGTAAGAGTATTTCTCTTTTAAGTATTCGTTACGTAATATTTTACACATAAACAGGTAGTAAGTAGGAATTTTTTAAATGTTTTTTTTTATGCAAATCTAAAAGTATTTACATATTTATTTCTTATGTACAACGATATAAACTAGTATATGTACTAAAAATTTAAATATAATCTCTAACGAAAATGAATCTGAATTTGAGCAAATAAATCTTATAATTGAGTTTCAATATATATGTTATAAATGATATTATTGCTCTTTTATCGAAAGAGTTTTTACATAAAGAATACTAAAATTGATAATACTTTTTTAACTTTAAATCTATAAAAAAATGTTTTAAACTGTTTGTAAATTAAAGAATTTAATTTTTTCCAATGAAACGTTAATAAATTTAGCCAATCAAAGCCTGAGATAAATCTAAGCTTTAATGAAATTGTTCCCTCTCTGAAACTGTCTGTAATGAAATTGTTGCACTTAAAATAATTAATTGCTGTTTTTGTACATTTATTTCTTTTTTTCTATTTATATCGCTTTTGTTTATTTCGTATTCATTTGTTTCGTTTTTATTTTCTTATTTTGTTTAATATTCTTATATAAAATTCATATATTTAACATTATTTATGATCTTTTATATATTTATAGAACTATTTGTATTCAATCCTTCTCGTTTGTGTTGTTATCTAAGATAAAAAACACAACCTACTTAGCGCAAATTTTCAGAAATACAATAAACATTTCGTTTGTAATCATCATAATAATTAAATTTAATATGTGCACATTATATCTTAATGTTATGTAAATTGAATATTAGATTGCATAAAAATAGCAAAAATAATAATTCTAAATAAAATAACGCACTTTTATACATCTAAAAACATATCAAAATAAAAAAGAAAAAAAAGAAAAAGACATGGTAAACGCAAAATAAATGAGTTGTGTAATTTTCAATCTCCTTAGGTGTATTCCTTTTTAATGGCCTTAGCAATGGTCGAGAGTTGCATATTGCTTGTACCCTCGTAAATTGTACCGATTTTACTATCCCGATAAAACTTTTCTTGCGGATAGTCGGTAGTGAATCCAACGCCGCCCATAAAATCAACGCATTTGGATGTAACCCGTTGAGCCACTTCCGAGGCGTAGTACTTTGCCATAGCCGCCTCCTTCTTCACATCCTTTTTCGCTTCCACGAGTCTCGCTGCGTTATACACTAGAAGCCTCGCACATTCCACTTCTGTCACTGCCTGCAAATCACCGGCCATATGCGTCTGAATCAAGTTTTTACTTAGATGGGAGGGATCCATAATTTTATAGAATGAAAAAAATGCTACTGTTCTAAAATGTTTGGACATTGAACATTATAATAATTTTAAGCATTACGTTAAAACATTTTAAGGTTAATTGCGTATTAATAATTCATAGTGATGAATATTATTCGACTACTTTTTATATTTAAGAGAATGAAATTTTGAAATTATCTACAAATTTTAAATATCATTCATGAAATAGACAATTGGAAAAGTTACAGAAGAATAATATTATTTTTAAATAATAATTTTTAATAATATTGAATAATATTTAAAAAAATGAAATAATAATATTTTTAAATAAAAAGATTTATTATCACGTTTTATTCCGAATTATAATATAATTCATACTCATGCAGAATTCTCACAAACAACTATAAGTCTAAATATGTTGTCTGGAACAAATTTATGTTTTAGCAAATTTATCTTTTAATAAGACTTCCGTCATATCATTAATTAATTATTCCGTCATTAAATAAATTAAAAAAAATTATAAAGCGAGACAAAACTACATAATCAAAAAACAAACAAAAAAATCAATGTTTATAAAGCTATCACTTGTAATATTATAATTCAACTCGCAAGAATACCTGGAAAGTCAAAGCATTCTTACAATTCCTATATTATAAAATTTATGAAAAAATTAATGCTGCATTAAGTAGGAATGAAACGCACGTGTGCAATTTGGTGTTGCATTGACTGGAACTCGAATATCTGCTTGCCGAATTGCTTTCTCTCAAGGGTATAGGGTATCGTTGCGTCAAGAGCGCCCTGGGCGATGCCGATCATCTGTGCACCGATGCCGACACGACCCTCATTAAGGAAACCAGCCGCGTACTGATAGCCTTTGCCGAACTCCCCAAGGATGTTGCTTTCCGGTACACGCACATTCTCAAAGTGCACCATGCAGGTGCCGGACGCTTTGATACCTAATTGAAATTAGGGATCGCACCTCTCGATTATTTCATTAACTACTCAATGATTGGCTTTCGATTATATCTTCCGTAATTGGAAAATTAGCTTACGGAAAGGAAGAGAACAAATCATGTCTCGTTTAGTCTCGTCTAGTCTCCTCGTTAACAGAATGACTGAGCTTTGATAGCAACGTACCTAGTTTATCCTCGGGCTTGGCAACGGTAAGGCCGGACATCTCGCGCTCCACGAAGAAAGTGGTGATACCTCGATAGCCGGCCGAAGGATCAGCGTTAGCGAACACCAAGAATACGCCTGCGATATCGGAATTCGTAATCCACATTTTTGAGCCATTAATGATATAGTCCGAGCCGTCCTTCTTGGCAATGGTCTTCAAACCGAAAGCGTCCGAACCAGAGCTCGGCTCCGTCAGACAAAAACTTCCCGCGTATTCGTTCGATAATTTCGGCAGGTACTTCTTCTTCTGCTCCTCGTTTGCTACCTAAGAATATTGCTATTTTCTTGATTCACGTGCGTGAAATTATTATTTGTGTAATTAAGAAAATATAAAAAACATGAGAATTATTATTTGAAAGAAATTAGAAAAGCTATCTGAATTTGATGAATTCTTAAATAAAATTAATCTTCCAATTCAAATTTCCATTTGTTAAATTTTAATTTTACATAAAAATTATAGATAACAAAGCAAAAGACTATTTAAGCATGTGCGTGTAATTAATATAGCGATAAGAAGCTTTATAATTATTCAATGAATTTTTTGTGTCTAATACAATTACATTATTTACATTTGTCGATATCATTTTAAAGCTTTTACCGTATTATGAAGTATAAATATATTTCCTAGTATTTTTTATTTTATCTAATTCTAATAAACTCTTATATTAAGAAATTTTCTTTAATAACATATCAATAAAAATAATATAGTATTTAAAACTCTTAGGCGTTCCATATACCGTTGAAAAGTTTCTTTTAACTCTTCTACATAACTTGTAATGTTTTATAAGCAAACAAATTTTTTCGTAGATAAAAATTTACAGTTCATTAAAAAGATTTCGGTAATATCTAAAAAGCAAAGAGCTAGACTTCGTATTTAAATAAAATCTGTAAAACTAACGATAAAAATATTATAACAGGAACTAAGATGGATGATTATATTTTCTTAAAATAAAATACTATGAGCTGATAAATACACTAATATTTTATAATTGGCCAATACCTTATTTATACTAAGATAAAATTCGACTTTTATAATATAAAAAAATAATATACTGTATATGAACAAAATTTGTCGATAACATAGCAAAAACTTATTTAGAAATTCTGGAACAATATTCAATTTTATAGAAAATAATCATATATTTAATGGATATGTATGTGTAAATATATATGTATATAAAATTTAATACAAGATTAGAAGCAAATATTTAATAATTAAATTACATTATTTATGTTCGAATGAACGATAATTTTTTTTTTTAATACAATAAAAATAGTTGTAAAATTTAATAAAATATTAGATTAAATAAAGAATTTTCCTATGAATACGTATAAATATATTTATATTTGATTATATAATTTTTTTTTAATAATAATTATATATTGATAAAAATGGTATATAAAAATGGTAACTATAATTAAATGTAATAAAAAATTTTTCAAATAAGATAAAGGAATTAGAATAAAATATGCTTCTAATGGAAAAATAAACAATTATGGTAGCCAAATATTATAAAAAGATCAATCATTAATTAGAAAACTTATAAAAACAAGAATTATAATAATTTTTGTGCATTTTCATGAATAAAAAGTTTTAAAACCAACTTTTAAATGCCTCGGAATAATAATTGAGTCAGAATTTAAATAAATTAAACGTTCGTTCAATTTAATCAGATTTCTATTTTAATCTTACATATTGTAAAAATATAAATAGTTAATTTTTAACAAAAATGGATGTGCAGATAAAAAAATTAATTAACAATATAGATATAGCGTATAAATTCAGAAAAAATAAAAATATAGCTTTCCTAAATTCACAAAGACATAATAAATTGCTTCGATGGCAGCATATTTGACACACTAGATACATTCATAAATATCATACTTTTTAATACACAGTAGGATTCTAAAACAGTAAGATTAGTGTATAAGGATTTACTAAAAATCTATTAATTAAAAAAAAATCCTTTGATCATAATGACATACCTTTTTAATAAGTGAGTTGACAAGAGTATTATGAACATCAACCAGGGCGCCTACGGCCCCGTCGACCTTGGAAACTTCTTCCACGGCGAGGATGGTTGTGAGGAAGCTGCATCCCGTCCCCTCGTACTCCACGGGCACCTCCAACCCCATGAGGCCGTTCTCGAAGAGCTTCCGCAGGAGGCCCCTGTCGATCCTGTTCTCCTTCTCCATCTTGCGCACCAGGGGCTGGATCTCCTCGCGGGCGAGCTTCGCGACCGTGGCCTTCATCATCTGCTCGTCCTCCGTGAGGAAGCTCAGCGGCAGGTGGCCCTGGTACAGCGCCGACCCTAGGTGCAGGTCCCGAACCTGCAGGGTCCTGCGCGCGACCCTCCACATGGGGCTCAGTGCGCCTTTCATTGCGACGGTGCTGCAAATAAAATGCTCATTTGCACAATATTGCCAGAGCTAACTAATCAGCTTTGATAATAGGAAAACAACGGTTCGATTAACAATTGGATAATAATAAGTTGGTTAATTCACTTTTAAAGGCAAAGAGAGCTTAGGATACTTATTAGAGCTATTAACATTAATGTTACCATTATATCAATTTAAATGTATAACTTATAATATTTTAAATTTTCAATTATAATGTTTAAATCGATCTAAATTTATACAATTTTTATTAGTATTAGCGAAACTTTTATTATGTAGGTTATCAAATTTATTTTGAAACTAGTATGATAGATAATAATGACTTAACGATACCGATTAATTATCTTTTAAGCAAATAATAATTCAATTAATTCAATACGTAAAACAAGCTTCGCCTCACACACAACAGCAATTTATTCATTATGGACTCTATTAAAATTATATTTTTAGAATTCAATATTAACTAGTTTATATTCGTTTATTATGTCTAGTATATTCATGACTATTTTAAACAGTAGTTACTTTTCTTCTGCGCGCAGCTTCGTAAGGGATTAATTATAAAATATCTAACAATATTTTTGTAAACGTAAATTGTTTTAACAACAAATATAGTACTGCAATATTTGAATTACGATAATTTGAAATGATACCAGTTAAAAATGAAAGAACGATACTTATTCTTGATTATAAATTACTGATTTTCAACAAGTCACTGCTTATATGAAATAACACAAACATTATCATCATCAGTAGATATACGATTTTCTAAAGATTATTTTTATTTTAAAATTAATCGTTTATTTTGATACATCTAGTACAAATCTTATCCAACATTATATGATCATTATTTTAGAATTTTTAAATAGCATTTAACATATATTATACCAATGAATTTATATTGAATATTACTGTAACGTACTAAAGTTCTATCGTCACCTAAATATATCTAGGTTAATGGGAAATTGTATTATTAATAAGCATAAATTTCATTAAAATCTAACATTTCAAACACAAACTAGTGCATTTAAATTGCTTATAGGAACATATTAATAATGTTAATTATGATAAGATTATATACTTATTGCATCTACTTCTATACAACTAGAGTTTTACACAAATTATAAATTTTATTTAGTAAAATTTCCATCGTTAATACACAATTTGCGATTACAATTAAAATGCGATTAAAATTCTTATCTCAATTTTAATATATTTTATTGTATAACATTAACATTTTAAAACTTTATTTAAGATACGTATAATCAATAAATACGCAACAAATATGTTTTATTATGCTTATATACGATGTTTTTTCACACTTGGGAGACAATAATTAGTTATTTCACTTCAATATCTTATCATTTACATTTACAATATTGCCTTCGATATTTCAGTAACTGCGATTCAGCACTACATGCACTATCACTAATTTATAAATTCTAGCTGATAATTACTTCATTAATATTACTTTCATAATATTTGATTTCAAGAGGTACGCAAGTTGTGAACAAATTTACTGTTATCATAAAAAATTAATGTTTGTGTGCGTTTAGATAGAATTTATATTATTTATTATATTATATTTATATTACGATGACTTTCTTTGTAATATTCAAAACAACGACACTTCTAATTGTTTATATACCTATCTTATATTATCTTAAAAAGTAATATATAATGTTTAATTTTTCGAGCAAATTAATAATGCTGCATATACTTGTTACAATTTTACTTAAATATTAGAATCTCGAAATAAATTCACCCAAAAATTAAACTCTCATTTTCAATAAATATTAGGTTTTACTTCATAAGAAATAGTTCTTTCATTTTAGTGCAAATGTTGGATTTATAACAAATGTCTTCAAAAATAAATGATGGGACTATGAAGATAGACAGTAGTGACACATGTATCAACTCAACTCTTATTGGATGCTCAATTCATTACATAAGGCTGCGTGTGTAGAACCCGTTAGCCTTTTACAAATGAATATATGTAAATATGATTTTATCAGTATAGTACTGAATTACGTGTTATTTTATCCATTTTATCTAGACATTTTTTTATAGTTTTTCATTATTTTCATTAACTGTAAAGTTAAAAAGAAAAATGTCTTCAAATATTTACCTTTGGATATATAATTTGGGTGTATAATTTTGTACATATAAACAATATTTTCAGATTTACATAAATTATATTTCCAATGATAAAATATTAATATATTTAATTTACTAAAATATAATTTATGACTTAAAGAATCACGGGCGACTTTTCTTATAAATGCATTATCATTAATTTCTTAATTATTGATATTTTGTTTTATTGACTTACATAATCATAATTATTAAATTTGAAAAAATAAATTACGTCCTATTGAAAGTTAAAAATTGTTTTCATTCTTAACCAAATTAATTAATTCAACGCGTTCATATGATAATATGAAAATATTATTAATGAAATAAATAATTAAAATAAAATTAAACGGTAATTGTTTTTCAAATAACTTTAATAAATTATTTATAATATCTTAATATATAATATAAAATTTTTTTAATTTTCTTACAAAATTTTCTTCGAATTTTCCTTATGAATTAAAATATAATAAAATGAAGCGTTTTCCACCTTTTATCACAATTATTATTTGTTTTTTTTATTTTTTTTTATAATATATCATTGTATAAACATATTTACATTATTTAATAAATAGATATTCGACTTTTTGTAATAAAGAAAATCGCTCGTATTTTAAAATACGAGAGTAATAGGCGAAAGTTTATCTTGATTATATCTATGTCAGTATGTTAATGATATGTACATTGAATTAAAACGTTTTCAATTATTTGAAAATAAATTATTATTCTAGTTAAAATCAACATGAAATACATATAAACTCAGTTATTTATTGATATTTTGAAAACTGATTTAAAGAATTAAAATAAATCTTGTCATTAAGGCTCTCTATTATCTCTAACTGGAGGCGAAATTTATAATTACAAAGAAATTTCAATCATTTATAATTTAAAATAATAATTAAAAATTTTTTACCCCTTTTGCACCCCTTTTTCATATTAAAAATTAAATACAATTTTAAAACATGTTTTGTTATACCATATAACTTTATTCATCATTCTGACAAATAAATTTAAAATACGTTTTTATATTATAGATAAAATTAAATTATTGTTAAACTTGAACATAATATTCAAATAAGAAAATGATGTATTTTTCGAATAAAATCAGATCAATAACTACAAAACATAAAATAAGACTTTTCAAGAATGAGATATTGAGTGTGTCATTTTAGATATAAAATACATTTATTAACAAATATATATAAAAAGAAAAAACTTATTATTGAATTTTCAAGGCTGTCATTTGCAACAGAATTTACCTTCACTTTTACTATTTAACATAAAGAGCGTTTCCTCTATTACTATCATATGTAAAGTGAATAACATTGAAATTCTTCTAAATAAAATAAAATAATTTGGAATTAATTTTAACAATCACTATTATTTCCATATTTATTACGCGTATTCATTACTGTGCCCTATTTTACTTGAATGTCACTGTGGTTGAACGGATTTGTGATCTAGTGAATTTTCATGTATAGATCAACTATTGACAATTGCAAAATAGTATGCGGTGCTTTTTGTCTGGCCAAGACAAGCACGCAATTGATGCATCTAAAACCAAGTTGGTATTCGCCATTTCGCAATCAATTCTTTGATTACTTCAAAACCTCGAACACTAACACTTAATATTCGTAATAGTAAAAATACAGTAGCCGTGTGTCGAACCGCTAACGAAATCTGTCATTGGAACCCAATGTAAAGAAAATCTGCGAAGATGGCGCACGCGTGGCTACGCTCCATTTAAAAGAATTCAGACTAACTGACGCGAGTCAATTACTAAACGATTCAATCGCAAAACCCATGATCACCCCCCCCCCCTTAAACAAGAGCTCTTTACTTACGCTCAGCCCGTAATCGGCAGCAGTGGGAATCGGCAACGGGATAGAACGCGCGATTTGCGCTCAAGTCGTTCCGTGCGCGTGCGCACTCGCGACCAGACTGCCAAGGAGCCGACGGGGCCCAGCAAACGTCGACGACGTCTGTCCCGGAGAGTGGGGACGCTGAGCCGTGAGCCAGGGGATGCGGTGGCCAGATCTTTAGCTCGATGCTCACGCTATTGGCTTTCACGATTCAATGATGGAAATACACGAGTTGGCCTATTGCAAGTATCCGGCGGTAGTTTCTTGGTCATTAGACTCGATGAGCTATTTTTCCTTAATGTTATGTTCATCATTTTAACAAATACGCACACGAGCTTACGGAATATGAATTTCCTTGTTGTATGTTATAATGGACAAGTGTTAAAAAAAGGCTCATTTAAATCGTAAAAAGGAAATAAATAGAAGCAGTGATGAATCAGAGTTCGCAAAGTGCAGCATGTGTGATTGTATAAAGATGACAGAATATTCGGGCGTTTAGTGCGTTTGTCTGGACAATCGATGATTATAGAGTGTACATTCGAGTCGAAACCTTGAACTTTATTAAGAGGTCATGGGATATTAGATTTATAAATGAATTCTCATTGACTTTATTAAAACAATAAATGTACGATCTGAATTTTTTAGCCATTTAAAAGTAGTAACATCGTGATGACAATGTTGCATCTCGATTTTCCTACGGGTTTTCGCCGAATTTTTAATCCACACTTGATTGTTTTAACAATATAATTTCCTTATATAATTAATTAAATAATGTTTTAAAAATTGATTCGATATTTGAATGCAATACACTTATCTAAAAAATGGAATTGTTGTTACTAATAAAATATTATTCAATTGTTAATGTTTTTATTTAAAATTTAATTAACCATATATATTTTTAAATGTTTAATCAATGTCCATACTAATTAGATGTTATCAATAAATTATGAAAATAACTCTTATTTTCCAAATAATAAATATTAAAATAATTCATAAATATTCTATTTTATTATTAACATTTGCCAAATCTAGAAACATTATCAGCCACAAAATTTTATATTATTTGAAAAAACATGTGCTTATATATAAAAATTTTTAAAAGTGCTCAATTCCAATTATTTTTGCGATAAATTACTTTTATTGTTTTTATTATATAACCATATGAGCTAAGAAAAAAGTAAATTCATTATTTTAAAATTTAACATTGTGGCATTCGCAGAATTAACATACTGATCCATACCTGCCGTATTTTATGAATTTTTATTAATTGCTTTATATTATCGAAGAGCAATTTATTTTCAACTCCTTAAATGCAAAATCGCTTTGAATAATGCATATTATAGATATGCGCATACTTAAGCGTGTGAATAAACAGCTTTTTGAAACGCGTTCAAATGAAGCCATGCGTATACATTATTTACATGCATATTTACATTTACTATCAAATAACTAACCATAAACGCCCGAAAAGAATAAGATGAAATAATGTAATGGATTTCAGAAAAAAAATTCATGACACAGGACCGACTAAAAGTAGTAGAAAGTCTAAAGATGCTGGAATGCGGTTGGGACATTCAACACATTCAGTCACATCCATGAAATGACAATCCACAAAAACACAATAGAAGATAAAAAAAAACTAAAAGCATACATTTAATTTTTAATATTATTTTTATATTACACATCATAAAAGAAATAATATATTTAATGGCTTCTAGACTAAAAAAATTATTATTCTTTGTTGATTGTACAACCAATTACATACGCATACACAAAAATGTTTAAAAAATATACACAGAGAGAAAAAGAGAGCTTTTATAATCACTATAGACTTATTTTTACTTTCCATCATTTTTACATCAATTTTTTATCACATTTTTTAAATTCATTATTCAATTAAATCATAAAAGCAAGCTTAAAAAATATATATATCTTGATATAGTTCATTCTACTCCATTAAAATCACAGCGACTAAAATGTAAAAATAGAATTAATCTGTTTATATATATCTATAAATGATTTCAAGAATTTTAATGTAAAATGTGCCTACATACAATAAGAAACTTCTTTACTTAAGTTGATATACATATTTAAACAAAATTTTTTATTTCTTCGACTTATCACAAATGAAATTATATATAATAAAGTTATATTAACTACAATGCCTCGATTAAATATTTATCGAATTGGAAAAAAAATTAAAAAATAATATGAAACTATCACTATATAAAGAATAGATTTTTTTTTATTTATTATATATATTTTATATTACCTATTATTTATAATTTTTTCTTTTTATTCATTAGATATATGAAATGTTCTCAACATGAATTATAATACTTAACGATTGTTATTGTAATTATTTGTAAATACTATAATATAAATCATCCTTGGAACATTCTGTTGGGTGAAACGCTTCTTCTTAATTAAATATTTCCAATCTATAATCACATATTAATGCTTTTTTTTTTTAAAACAACATAGAAACTTTTATTACTTTTTAGTAATTAATAGATTAAATAGACATTTTGGGTATACTAAAATGAAATTATTTTCAAACATAGTTTAGAATTTTTAATTTGATGGATATGAAAAAAAAATTACATTATGCAAGGAATAAAATTAAAATGTTAAACAAATATATATGAGGCACAACAAATTTAATTATTTTACTTTTGTGTCCAAATTTCAGTAAAGAACATTTAAATGCTGACAGCATCTTTCATATGAACTCGTTACAAAATAATATTCTTATTTTTTAAATTTTTGTATATCGTTCTATAAAATCAAGCCATTGATTAATAATATTTTCATTTTTAAATTTTAAACATAATCATAATTTAATATTGTATATATTTTTTCTTAGGGATTTTTTAATATATTGTATATTAATGTTGATATTTAGCTTTATTTTTATAAAATCGTAGGGAGATTAAAACAATATTCGTATAAAATAACTTACAATTACGTTTAAATAAAACACACATTGTATAATTTTAGAATATACAGATATGAAAATATTAACTTATTTCTATTCATACGAATATTATATTAACTTTTGTTGCATTGTCAATTATTAATATAAAATTTTTCAGCATTCATAATTTTGAGATATTTTACTAAATTTTTGATACATTTAAAAATCTTAAATATATTATATCTTAAATATATATATATATATATATATATATACAATAGTTTTCAATTTTATTATAAAATAAATAAATACAAATTTCGTTCACGGAAGGATGGATTAATAAATATTGTAAATAAAAATTATATTATTAATTATTCACTATTAGAAGACTGTTAATTACAAGTATTGAAAGACTAATATAAAATAAAAATGAGAAAAGCTGTGTAATTATGTACCAGAAATATATGTCATTTATAATCAAAATATAGCTTTAAGTGCTATTTTTGAAAGTAAATATAATGTAGTATTATTTAAAAATTTAATCTAATTGATCAAATATTCTCCTCGAAATTCGTATAAAATACGTTCTTTTTAATAAAATAACCTCATATTACATCTGACTTCCTTTTATATATAATCTTATTAATATAAGAATTTTCATAGCAATTAAGCTTAATAACTGTATTTATAATATAAATATGTTGATTATATAACTTTTTTGGATATTAAAATCGACAGGTAAATACAACTAGACCCTTGCTATTAATTACCCATAAAATTATTAATTTTTTCACTGTAATTTACTACATCCAACATAATATTCCAAATGAATTATATATAAGGCATTGATTATATTAAAGAACACATTTAGGTATTGAAATGTATATATATTTACATTATAAATTAATATTTGTAATTAAAATTATATCTCGTAAATATTAAAGAACAGTAGAATTTGATAAACTTTCAAGAATTTTAAAATTAAAAAGTAATAAATGTTAAATTTTTTCAAATATTTTTTATAAACATTTTTTATAACTTTTACATAAACTACCTAAACGTGGTATTGAAATTTTTTTGAAATATAAAATTATTAATATATTTAAATGATTTATTTACCCAAAAAATTAAAAATAAATGCTTTCATTCAATAATAATTTAAATAATTTAATTGGATTGTATATATTTTCATCTTTGTATCAAAAGATAAATATTGAAACAGACCTTTAATATAGAAGCTGTGAAGACCAAATTTTTTGTGTAAACATATGCTCAGTTTGTTGAACATTATGTAAATATTTTTTTATGCTTTTATTATAAAATTTTGTCTAAAACTTATATATAGAGGTTACTTAAAATATTCATTATATGAATATCTTATATAAATATATTTTGAGTGTCAAACATACGTATTATCGACACATTCAAACTCATGAAAAACAATTAAATTAAAATTAATATCAATCCCAAGTCCATTACTATTTTATGATAACTTTATAATATGTAAATATAAATATTATTGATCAGTGTATTTAAAGTGTAACTAGTAAAAATTTTGAAATAAATATATAAAGAATAGATCTGATAAAAATATTTCTAATATTTACCTTTTGATTAGAATAATGCGCACTCTTATTAACCATCCCTTGTATCTAATACAACTATAAATAAATTATTACTTACTAATTGTATATCTTGTTATTATTTGCATTTCAAATTCGAATATTGTATAAGCCAAATATATTAGGCATCTGAAATGCAAAAACTCATTGAGCCAGACAAAAAGATTAAAAATCATCTCATTTCTATCACCAATATCTATCAAACAACTTTATTAAACTAATTAATTATTGTTCTGAAAAAAAAGATCGAATAAAAGCAAAAAATTGGTTTGGCACTGTAGGAAGTGAAATACTTAAACGATATATATTTGACCTGGTAACTCCATAAATAATAAGCCTTTTAAAGTTTAATCATCTTAATAAGATTATATAAACAAAAACAAGTTTGTATCCACAATTAATTCGAAATAAAATGATTTTCATTAAATGTCTTTTACGTAATTATACTAAATGATTTCCGTCATCATTTTTCAAAAATTATTAAACTATTCCGATATAAAACGTTATTAGATATTATGATCTATATTTAACGATATAACCTTTAAGCCATTAATACTTTTATACCATTATTAATTTTCATAATTATTGTTAATGGCAATAATATAATGCATTCATACACACGCAAACACATTCATTCGCACTCGCATAAATGCATGTATATATATATATATATATATATATATATATTAATGTACTGTATTAATTTAAAATGGATTAACTATTAAAAACACTAGCAAGCAAAACAAAAATTATACATTAATGTTATTTAGTCATTTTAACTTGTGTTTCATATATAATTGTGAGAACTATCTATCGAACTTATTTATAATAACCTTAAATCATATAACCAACATTATATCATTAAAAGTAATCCAATTATTACTCTAAATTGTTTAATTATCTTAATCTTAATGTTGAAAATGTTAATCTGATTCACATAAATTGTTAGTCATAGAAATAAAAAAACTTACCATCAATTATAAATCGTACAATAAGGAAAAATTTCACAAAATTATAATTTTAAGTCTCTCCTCTATATTCTCTTCTAATTGAAAAAAAATATGATTTAAATATATAAAATCACAAAATGTTATCAATTAAATAGTTTTTGAAAATTATTCAATTTATTTAGAATAAACAATAATAAATTTGAGCAATCGCAAAGTTGAATACATTAGAATTGTAGAAGTCACAGCGTCTACATTAACGCTATACACAATCAGATATTCATATTCAATATACTTGGAAATATCAAAATCTAATTGAAAGTCTTTAAAATCATTAATTGAAATTTTCGTAACACGTATAAAACGAAATTGGAAACTATTCTATATTTTTAACATTATTAAAATACCTACAATTCTATAAAATGAAAAAGATATTTAAAAAAAAAATATCCTTATTGATTTCATTCATAGCTTACGGCACTGTCTATATAACTAACTATATATGTATTCAAAATTATATATAATTATATATGTAGAGAATTGTGTTGGTTCTTGTATCCCCACTTGTTGTTTTGATTTCACATAGCGACAATTACTAACTGCCAGATTCCTCAATATTTTATTATACGTATTTACCGTAATTATTTTGGATCATTTTGTTATATATATATATATCTTTGCCTAAATATTTATGTATATAAACATATATTATTATTTAATTTGTTCAAAAATTATACAAAATGTACATAAATATTATATAAAATTATTAAAAATTCTCTATATGAAACATTATATCAAATTGAAATTTATTTACATTATGTGCACTGTATTAACGAACGATTTAAAAACATCAACCATGTTAGTAATATACAGTTATATATATTATTTGTATTTTATTTGTTTTTCATATATTGCAAATAAAATAATCAAAAATTAAATTGTCTTTTATTAAGATTCATTAAACATATGTCGTAAGATAATAATTATTAATTTATTAACGCAATTATTAATGTACTCGTAAAATAATAGTCGGTTTTATTAAATAATGTGCTGTATAAGCTAGTAATTATTCATTGAATGGTAATTATCAGTCAACAGAGGAAATCACTACTATAACTTTATTCAATTTAAAAAAACAATTTATTTATTAATAAATAATGTTCTATAAAAATTGAATGTTTATTGTATAATCACATGAAATATTCTGACACAATGAACAAAAAAATTTCTAAAACATTATCGATTAGTTTCCTATTCTTCATAAAAAATACAATTAAAATTAAATTTATTAAATTTTATTTTTTATTAAAGCTTGTATACTGTTATTAAAGCTTCTGATTAATTTTTATTGCATTTCATTTTATTAATTTTAACGAAAAGTATACTAATGTATGCGTTTTATAATAAATTATTTTTTTATACTGAATATTTTAAACTACCAATAATGTAGATGCGTAATTTCAATTATATATATATATATATATATATATATATATATATATGATTGTGCAGTAGTATCCTTATGGACAATTAATTTTCTCTTATCCCATAATTTTTTTTCTAAGATATAAAGTATATTGCAATTGATGTATCATAATATATTTGAAATTATAGTATTTATTTTTAGTATTTAAACTTGCTTTGTAGTTTATTAAAATATTATATATCTTACACAGTCTTACTTTTTTTTCATTTGTATATAAAAATAATAATTTTATTGTATACTATACTTTTATATTAATTATTGGTTCAATCAACTATTGACTCAATAAACTGTTTATTATTATTATAGATATTTACATATAATAATCAATCAAATATCAATATAGTTTTTCCTATTTTAACTGTTTGCAATATACAAATATTTTACGTATGGTCGGCTAATACATACAAAGATCGACTATGATTTTAATTATAATGAAAATAAAATTTCTACTTTATCGATAATAGGTAACTGAAAATTTTTTATCATCTAATTATACGTGGACTTGCTATACAGACAGTGAATTTCATTGCTAATTTTTTATAAAGGATCGTAATGAGTGTGCATGACGCATGTCAAAACAATTTTAAAAAGTCAGTAACATTTTTAGATTTGTAATAATTATTGAAAACTATGTAAGTGCAAATAAAGTATGTAATTCTTTAATTGTAATAAGTTATTTTGTGGTTAGTAACCAATATGAAACATAATACAATATCTGTTTTAATTGCTTTCTTTGTAAGGGGGCATAATACTATTTAACATAAACTTTTTTAGTACCGTGAAAGGATAAATTGAATATTTAATACCATTTTAAATAATGTATCAAATCAAATAATATTTTTATTTGATGACATGATTTAATGTCAAGATAAATTTAATAATTGCTTTATATTTATAATTAATTATCATGTTAAAATCAAAATCAATAAGTAATATAAATGGGAATTGTGAAGAACTCTTTGAAATGAGCGAAGGTTAAGTAACTTATATAAACATAATTTAATTTAATTAACTTCAAATGTGATTCTAATAAAATTAATGTTTGTTATTTTATTCTTTTAGCAAGACCATCTAGCAGTCATTCACAAAATGGTAAAATAAATATTAGCAGTATAGATTTCACTGTGGACTACAAGAATAATAAACAAATAAATAATGTTAAATACAAACAAAATTTACATACAAAGGAAAAGGGTATATATCTTATTCATTAATGTAACAATTTGATAAAATTTAATTAAACTAGGATTTAAACAATAGGAACCGAGAGCGAAGATTCTGAAAACAGTGAAACTGCTAATTTAATTTATACATACAAAACATTACGATTACCTAAAATAAGCCCAGAAGCAATGGAAGAACAAGCTGTAATAATTGCTAATTCATTTGAACGAAAAAACAAGCTTATGCAAAATAATCCTCTTTCTGAATTACTACGATTAGAAATGATTAGAAACATGCCACAAGGTTTAACTCTTAAAAGATCAGTTAAAGCTAAATTGACATTATCCGTAAGTCAAAAATCAAAAAGAAGACCAATAAGTTATTGGAAAAAATTAAAATACCAGTCAAGTATGGTCATATCCAAAGTAATTATACGAAATTTCAAATTTTGTTTTGGTACATTTGCTTATCTGTTTAATAAATATCATGTGTAAATTTTTAGATGAAAATAATTTTTCATCAAATAGGATCATCAATGGAACTTTGGTATCATCCAATTAAAACAATTGAAGGCCATTTTGGAAGTGGAATTGCAACATATTTTAAGTTTTTGAGATGGTTATTTATTATGAATATAATTGGTTGTATTTTCAGTATTTTATTTGTTACTTTACCACAAATATTAGTACAATCTCATCTCAATGTAAGCTTTAGCTCATGGGATTTATTATTGGGAAATGTAAGGGCACTTTGGAGTATTAATTTTGTACAATATTGCATTATTTTAATTTAATTTGCCATTTCAGGGCTTTTTTACAAACAGTATTTTTTATTATGGATTTTATATTAATAATACTTTAATGATAGATTCAAAAGTAGCGTACAATATGCCTTCAGCTTATTTTTCAACATTTTTCTTTTGCTACATTATTAGTTTTATTTTATTATGTTTTAAGTGAGTACATTCATAATTTATTTTTATTTTTGAAACTTTCTTTTTTTAAACTTTTCTTCAACATAAATTAAAGTTTATAATACTTTTTGTTTAAAATTACAGAGTAGCACGATCGTATAAAAAGTGTTACATAGAAACATCTGGTGGGGCTTATAATCGTTATGCAAATAAAATTTTTTGCAGTTGGGACTGGGGAATTTCCTCTTATAAAGCAGCTAGCTTACGTTCAGCTTCAATTTATAGAGAGTTGGAAGAACTTTTATGGGAGTCGAAAAATATATCAGCACCAATTTCTTGTTCTATGAAGATGTGGACACTTTTAATTAGAATCGCAATGACCACATTAATATTTGCCATTATGTGCGGAACCGGTGTTCTCTTATGGCTTCTATTAAACGAGCATCAAGCTAATGAGTCCAATGTTTTTTCAGTTTTGACAGTACCAGTAGTATTTACTACAATTATAAATCTATTTCCACCACTGATATCTTGGTCGGTAAGTATACAATAGATTACGGACTAATCTTTTATTAACAACGATAAAAAAAAAAAGCTAAACCATAATAAGAGACATTTCAATCATAGATAAAGTACGAGAGGTATGCCAAAGATAGAATTGCTTTTTATATTACCATGATTCGCGTTTACTTAATAGCTGTGATAGCAGTGGCTACGCTGTTAACGTTTTGGCTGACTCAAGGGATCCAAGTCGGCTGCTGGCAGACTAGACTAGCCCAAGAGATCTACCGGCTAATAATTCTCGACTTGTTCGTTTCGATATTCGGCATCTTTTTAATTCAAGCGTTACGCTCGTCGCGACCAATGCGCAATACGCTGGGAGCACCAACCTTTGACATTGCTCGCAATACCCTGAATCTCATCTACAATCAAAGCCTCTTCTGGTTGGTGCACTATTTCAGTCCGCCGATGTCCCTAGTGATAATCGTGAAACTTCTGTTGACATTCTATGTGAAGAAATGCGAACTTCTAACGTACTGCGAACCACCTTCAAAGTTCTGGAGAGCAGCTCAAACGCAAACGCTCTTTCTGGCTCTTACTTTCCTCGGTATGATAAGTGCCATTACCGTTCTTAGCTACATAGCTATCAATGTTGATAGCCATAGCTGTGGCCCCTTTGCTGGCAAGAACTACACCTGGGAGATTGTCGTGGAACGAATATTTAATATAAGAAGGGACAGCACATTTTGGAATGTACTAGACGATATCGCCAACCCGGGTACAGGCATTGCCCTCCTCATTATTATGTGGTAATTGGACACATTTATTTATATGTATAATGTTCCTTTCATATATAATCGTCATTGTTCCTTGTAATTTAGCGTTGCTGTATTCTACTTGAGGGCAAAGGCCGAGGCTTCCAAGCAAACGGTACGCATATTACGTGAAATGCTTATATGGCAGGCCCGGGATAAAGAATTCCTTCTCAAAACTTTTTCCAAGACGAGTGATAAAAGTAAGTGGATATAGTACAAGCCAATAATAATAATAATAATAACAATAATAATAATAATAATAACAATAATAATAATAATAATAACAATAATAATAATAATAATAACAATAATAATAATAATAATAACAATAATAATAATAATAATAACAATAATAATAATAATAATAACAATAATAATAATAATAATAACAATAATAATAATAATAATAATAATTTGTCAATTTTTAATAGATTGGTTACGACATCGACAAGCTTCAAAATCTTTAGCAGATTCGGACATAACTGATTTGGCTCTTGATCACCAGCAAGTTAACGAGCCATCTACAAGCTATTAACGCATAATCGCATTTTTTTAAATATGTGAAATCAGCTTAAAAAATAAAAAAGACTGCATGCCGAAATTGTGCCAAATCTCAAATATAATATATATTTTAAATAAACGCATATAAATATGAATCACACGTAAAAATTCGCTTACACACGCCCACACGCGTAAATACACATATACAAGTACACAAATATTAAAAAAAAAATTAATATATAAAGAATATCGTTTGATATCTTTTGATACATCTTTGATACCACCTTTACCAAAACTTATTAATAGGTATTTAAAAAATTAATTGTATTAAACACACTAACCATGAAGTATATACAAAAAATCTAAGTTTTTTTGATACTACAGAATTAATTTTAATTAATCAGTGAAAGCTTAAATTTTTTAAAATATATTATTGAAAAGATGATATTATTAAATTCTGTTTTAATAATAAGTTAAAAATATAAAAGAACCATGCAATTAATTAAAAATTAAATTAAAATCCCTTGTATGTATCCCTATCTAAATTATGCATGCACATAAACACGATTGAATTGTACCGAGTTAGTTTCAAAATTAGTAGTAAAGAAATATATTTGATAATATTTATTATAAATAAAATCAGACTAAATATTTTGTAAAATAAAATTATATGTGTATGAAACAATTTTAATTGATTGTTACATTAGAAATTATTTAAATTATCCTTACGCAAATTATTATTACCATCATATTTTATTATAATAATTATAATTTATGTTTTTACTATTCGCTATTAAAAATAGAACATTCATTTCAGACATCTTATTCGAAATATTTTAGATGTGTAGTGGTTATTGTCATCGTCGTACGTGGGTGTTATAAAATTAGAATTTATATAGAAATTATATTTATTTTCATGAATATTTTAAGTAGACTTTTACGATTAAGTTGTGTATACGCCTACAAATCTAAAATATATGTTTATACAAATTTTTAAAATTCACATAAGAAACACATTAAAGGGAAGAATATCTAAATATTAAAAAATATACACTAATGAAATTTAATAATTAGAAAGAATTTATGCTAAACTAATGTATAGTATTATTCCGTTATTCTAATTTCCATAAAAAACATAATTACAATTTTAATTTATTCATACAATCTTATCTTATACACTTTTATCTTCTTATTTTAATCTATACTTAATTATATCTAAGCAACTTTTTTATAATTATTAATCTAATTATATTTTGAAATTTACAAATCTATGATTTAAATATGACTTTATTGTTAGATATTTCAAATATAAATAAAGAATATATATATTTAGTTAGTTTAATATTATTTCACAAAAACAAATTTTATTTTTAGTAAACAATATATTTTATGAATTAACAAATTATGATGTTTTTATATATAATGAATATCTTCGAATTGATGTAATTAAAGATCACAATATAAAATGCAATATATTTTTTTTATACAAAAACTTTATACATTTTTTCTAGTTGAAAAATTTTGTATTTTATCTAACTAATTTTGTTATTGTTTAACTGTATATAAATTTAAGTTTATCAATAGTTTCATTGCAATTTAGAAAATATTGATTAAATATATATAATACTTTGACAAAAACACTTAAAAATAATGATTATAAATTAAAAATTGTATAATAGTATAAATGAATATAAGTATTGTGTATTTAATTGACGAAATTTATAATTTTATTATTGCGATCCAATTCGTTATAAAATTTAAATACGTTTTATAAAAGCCATGTAAATTATGACTCTTAATAATTTTGTGAATTGTTCAAGTGATGCAAAGATAACCGTAATTATCATTGAGCAAAACTTTGTTTCATAACAATTTTAAGCATTAAAATAAAATCGTTACTATGGCTACGTACAGCTGCAATATAATCATCGCGGTTTGCGCGTAGGCGTGTGACTTGCCGATAATATCCAATTAATAACCTTCGAACATGGACAAGGATCCAAAATGTGTGGAGTACTCTCGCTCTCTGGAAATGATACAGCGATCGAAATGGATAAATAAATATCGAAAAAAGCCGGCGAAACCTCGACGTCCATCACCCCGCTGGAACATTTTTGGCGAGGATGGAAAGCTCGAATACCCACCAGGAGAATGCATTAAGGCGCACGACGACAAGCTAAAACACGAATTGGAGGAACATGAGAAGATGGCAAAAAGACTTTTTGAGAATACTATCAGTTTGAAGGAACTTCGGGATAAATACCAGACAGACAACAGTGCAAAGTCCAGAAGCAGGCGTAAGCGGATGCGTCAGCCGACCAACGAACACTTGGATGAACAAGTTCATTTTTTCTTATTTTATATACGCAGTAGCTTCTCTTAATTAAATTATTTATTATACATTACTTTTAACATAATTGCCATTTTTAAAATAAAAATGTCTAACAAAAGAAACAAACACAAATTCGTTATGACTTGACTTTGTAATTTTTTAAATTTAAAGATCCAATACAATATTGATTCTTTCAGAGTTTTTATAATAAAGAAGCCGATATGCCTAGAAGTATTGATAGCCAGTTTGAAGAGATAAAAAAATTATTTGAAAAAGAAATGCAAAGTCGAATACTGGAACCTGAACAATTGGAAAAAATTAAGGCTTTAAAAACTCACTGTACATTTCCGACTGAACCGTATGATTGGAATAATTTAAGAGAAATAAAGAAGCGAATCAGTAGAGAGTTACTCAAATCTGAGAAGTAAATTATATATATATGCAAATAAATTTCAAATTAAAGTTAAACATTGCCGCAATAAATATATCAACAATTTTAGTTTTCGCAAAAACTTAAAGCTCATCGAGAAAGAAATAATAACAGAACACAAAAAAAGTTCCCGATCATTTTTAATAAATTACTTACTGAGCGATCCACGTCAACGAAAATTCTTAAATATCAGTAACGTGCCGATGGAGTGGCCAACATTTATAATTCGAGCTCCAGTGCCTTGGCATCAAATGAAAGTTGTCGCAACTCATTTTATGGAACATAATCTCTTCATCACAAATGAAATATCTCGTGCTATTTGTTCAATTTGGCACGAGAGGTAAGAGCTTCTATTAGTTATTACAATTTGATTATACAATCACTTTACCCTCGATAAATTTAGCTAATATTAAATTTTAATATACTTCCAATCGGTCTAACAACAACGCTTTATCGATATTTCATCGAAAACTCTATATAAATTGAGATCTTAGATACGCTTCAATGAAAATCGTCGATTTGAAGGAATTTGGAAAATTTCCAATTCGGGGAAGCGAATTTTTCAGTCAAGTGGAACGAATCTGCCAGGCAACGAAGAGACGTATAATCGAGGAATGGTTCGCAGAAGTAGCTGAACTCTTCTTCGAGAGAAAAGATGCCTGGGCCGGTCTTTTTGATAAAAGTTCCAATGCGTCCACTCATCAGGTGGAAAAGTATTTTCGCAGCATAAATGCTCTCCTGTCTCAGCAACTACGATTTATAGTTTTGGACACGTTGCGTTATTTCCGAGATTTTATCATTCAGTACAGCAATGGTAATTCATTTGAAGGAGAATATAATGACTTTATTTTTTCACGGTAAATATATTTTTATTCAATTCATTTTCAACAAATACTTCAACTATAAGAGCATAGAGATATCAATAATTAAACCGTATCATTTCATATTCACATTCAACAGATTTCATATCAAAGTTTCTTTTTTTATATAAAAGCATATATTTATATAATAATTATTTTAATAAAAATATTGAATTTTATTAAAAATAAAAGTATTACAATTGATATACAAATATAACCATTCAAAACAGTATTGTATTGCGAGTAATGTTTACTGTATAAATTTATGATTCATTATACAACTCCTTAGGAGTTAAAAAATTTATAATTATTGGAAATTTTAGAAAAATCCACATTAATAAAATTTCAGTCAAGATTGAAAGATTCCAAAAGTACTGTATAATTTTTTTTTATAGTATAATATACTGCATTATAATTAAAATTTAATTTTTTGTTTTAGTCAGATATTCATTGAGTTTCTATAGTAAATAGTTTTATCTTTCGACTTATAAGCTTTTGCTTTATAATATCGAACAATAATTATTTTAGACGATAAAAAGAAATGGATTTCTGTTATACATAGATAAAATTTTATAATTAATCGTGAATTTTGTAAATTTATATAATTGAAAGTTATTAACATACAAAACATTGATTTTAAAAAATACATATTTTACTTTTAAATTTCTATAGTAATTATTACTATAAAAATGTTAATATTTTAACATTTAAAAAAAAATTACACAAAAGATTATTTTTATATCGCAGAAGGTTCGAATAAAATAGTTTACAAATTAGTTTGATGTCTGTTTAATACAATTTATACTATTATTCCATAAAATAATATTTATTACATATCAACAAATCTATTTATTTATTATAAAAAATATTTATTATAAAAAACAGAAAATGTTAATTATATAAAAAAAAACTCGTAATAATTTACACATAATTAATTTTTATCTAAAAGAAAGTTGGTAGACAATCATTTGTTTGTATCATTTTTAAAATTATGCTTTTTGAACGATATTAATTTTATTTGAAATTGTATTTGACATTGTAATGTCAAAATGTTGACATTGTATTTGGAATGTATTCGAAATATTAAATAATTAATTGATTAAAATATGGATAAATTATGGAATGGATAAAATTTAAAAATTAATGGAATTAGAATTAGAACATTTAATTAAAATGTAACGTTTCTAAATATTTTCAATACAGCTATAAATATGAAAAATATAAGAATAACAAAATTATTAAAAAGATATAATAATTGTTTCTTTATTTTTATACAATATGTATTTGTATAAATATATATTATGTAATTAAAATTTAATTATACATTCTAAATAACTAAAATTTATATAGCTTATATATATATATATATATATATATATATATATACATATTAACGAATGGAAAATTCTATTTGAATGTTAATTGTATGTTATAATATAATTCTTTAATATTAACATTTTTTGGCTATAATAATACTAATAGGTAAGATTATAATATAAGATTAAAAAATTTAAATACATTTTATAACAACAAGCTTGGATTCTTAAATAAATTTATTATAATTCGATCGTGGATCTTAAAGTTATGTACAGTTGACTTTAAGCATAATAGTTATTATAACAATAATATCTCAATAAATAATACTATATTCAAAATTCTTTCATTCTATAAAATGAGAATTAATGTCATTATCGTCAATAGCTAGGAAGCTCTACCATTTTCTAAATAAAATAGATACTCGTGTAATGTTTCAAAATATGTTGAAATATAAAGTTGAATACATACATTGAACATAGAAAAACGTACCTACAAATTTATTGATTACAATTTACTACACAATACTAAATTGAACCCATTTATCTAAATATATTCATTTTTGTAAGCAATTATAATAAATCATAAATAGTTAAAACAATTATATTCACTTTATTGCAGAAAGCCGTTTATTACGATCAATGTACAATCCACGCGACAAAATAATGAATTAGAATGCCAACCAACAGTATCAGCTATGTATAACATCTTATCAGAATGTTTCAATACAATAATGAGTATAACTTCAAGCATACCATGCATAGAGAATATGATATTTCCTGAATTAGACAAAAAGTCATTTCTCTTTCCTGTTAATCGATCGGAACAAGATGTATGTATTTTATGTATAAATCTATACATTAATAATTAAATTTAATATTGCATTTTAAATTAATAATTAATTTTTATATTTATAAAAACTACATATTGGCTATTCATTATTTATAGAATTATTTGTTAAAATCTCTAAAATATAAATCTGATTTGACATTTAGAAAACTTATGAATTAAAATTTAACACTTTATTATATTAAAAAATTCAATTATACTCGCTTTAGATTCAAAAAGAATTTACTTATCAAAGATCATACAATTTGTCAATGCTTAATTTTATAATTATAAACAATTATAAATGTACATATGATAAGTAACATTTATTTGAATTAGTATGATTAAGCACTTATTAAAAACTAATGTTGTACGTTCTCTTAAAAAATAATTTTCTTTATTACATCCTCGATAAAATCGTAATTTTTAGGTAAATGAAATTATTAATTCAGCCTTAGCGATTGTAACTCTGAACGAAGAAGGTCCTCGATTATATTTACAAAAATATATACCATATTATTACCTCTTAGATGGTACAGATAAAGACATGATTAAATATTACTTGCAGTCTAACCCAGTTTTGCGCGACATAAGTAGTAAAATTCATGAATACGATGAAATAAGAATGAAAATGTATTTACTTCGCAATAAGGAAAATATATATATACATATATATATATATATATATATATATATATATAAAATATATATATATATATATATATATATATATATATATATATATATAAGATATTATTTATTATTAATATTCTGTTTTAATATTGTTAGCTTAAAGTAATTTATGAATTATAGGTTCGTTTAAATATGATAGAAATCGATTGTACTGATCTAAACGAGCATCTTAGAAATATTTTATATGAGCTTCGCACTTCGATTTGTGAGCATTATCTTGATAAAATTCGCACTATCAATACTGATCTTTGTATTAGTTTCGATTATATAGCTGAACGTATTGCTGGTATGGTAATCAATGCAATGCGATTGATTAATTCTGTATTACAATCACAATGAAATAATATAATAATATAATTTTCTAAAGGAATGCCAGAAGTTACACGTGACGTTGTTGAGCTCTACAATTATCTTGTGGAGAGTCGAGATTCTACAATGTTCAATCTGCGTGTACAACTAACGCAAAGCGTTGAGTTTTTACTATTTCTGGTTCAACATCAAACATTCTTTAAACCTGAGGATATTGCATTAACGACCAGAGCTCTAAATTGGCCTCGTGAAATGGAGACAATGATGGAACTAGCTACAACTAAGCTTGACATGCGTAAAGATTTCATGGAGGGTCTATTGAAAAAGCGACGCTTAATTTTCGATAGTAAAATTCATGAATTCTCATTGAAAATAGATATTTTTAAAAGAAAAGATCCACCGATTCTTTCTATGAGCGAAATAATTGCAGCCACTAATGAAATTGAAAATTTATCTGATGGTTGGTATGATAAACTCTATTGCCATGGTTAAATAATTAAAATATTCTTTTAAATTAATTCCAGAAATGCGTGAAATTGAGAAAGAAGGGGAGGCAATAAATATTGAAGAATCTCTATTGGACTTGGATATAAGTCCTTATCTGACGATAGCTTCTATGTCCTCAATCGTGAATACGTTCGATCAACTTTGGCATGGTATCCTCGACTTCAACAAAAACTATGACAACTGGATGTACGCACCCTTTCGAAGTCTCGATGCTACAAAAATTAAAGAACAGACCGATAGTACATGGAGGATGCTTTACAAATTAATACGTAAGCTTGTAGACTTACCAAGTGCTAAAAGAATTGCCGAGATATCTCGCACCAAAGTTGAAAAATTTAGGCAATTTTTGCCGTTATTGCAAAGTATTTGTAATCCTGGATTACAACTCCGTCATTGGGAAAATATTAGCGAGGTCATTGGTATTGATATTAACTTGAAACCAACAAGTAGTCTTTCGGATATGATTGAGACCGGATTGCATATTCATGTTACTATATTGGAAGAAATTTCATCGGGAGCCTCGAAGGAGCATGCGTTAGAGCAGAACTTGAAAAACATGCAAGAAGAGTGGAATAGCGTGGCATTTGAATTAATTCTCTATCGAGAAACTGGCGTAAATGTACTCTCGTCTGTTGACGATATTCAACTGCTTTTAGACGATCAAATTCTAAAAGCCCAAACAATGCGTGGCTCGCCTTTCATTAAAGCCTTTGAAGAGGAAATGCAAGTTTGGGAGGAGAAACTTATCTCAATGCAAGACATAATTGACCAGTGGATTAAATGTCAAGCTACTTGGATGTATCTGGAGCCAATTTTCAGTAGCGAGGATATAATGCGTCAAATGCCTACCGAGGCTAAATATTTTCGCAACGTCGACAAAATATGGCGTTCCATTATGTCTGATGTTACGAATAATCCAGATGTTCTTATAGCAACAGGTATACCAGAAATGCTTGAAATGTTCAAAACTTGCAACAAATTTCTCGAAGAGATCCAAAAAGGGCTTAATGATTATCTAGAAAAGAAGAGGCTTTTTTTCCCTCGGTTTGCTATATTCTTTACCAGCCGATATAAAATCAGATAAGCGTTATAAAAAAAATAAAATATATATATATATATATATATACATAAACATTCAATTAAAATCCGTAGATTTTTCTTCTTATCAAATGATGAGCTATTAGAAATTTTATCCGAGACTAAAGATGCACAAAAGGTTCAGCCACATTTGAAAAAGTGTTTCGAGGGTATCAAAAAGTTGCAGTTTATTAATGAAAACGAAATTATTGGAATGATGTCGGAAGAAGAAGAATATGTTCCCTTTAGTGGAAAAATTTATCCTGTTGATGCTAAAGGCATGGTAGAAAAGTGGCTTTCCCAAGTATGTATTATTTTTTTTTAATAGATAATATATGAAAATAAAATTAAAAATCAATTTTAAGGTAGAACAATTAATGAAAACTTCTCTAAAAGAGATAGTACAAGATAGTGTAATCGCATACTTCGATACGATACGAGAAGAGTGGATAGTGTCTTGGCCAGGTCAAATAGTTCTTTGTGCAAGCCAAATTCACTGGACGAGCGAAGTTTGTGAATCTTTCGATACCGATTCGACGAAAGACTATTTTAAAAAATGTAGTGGACAAATCGATAAAACGGTAGCGCTTGTTCGAGGTAAACTGTCAGCTGGCTCAAGAATAACATTAAATGCTTTGATCGTTATTGACGTTCATGCTAGGGATGTGCTGAAACTCCTTATCGAAAAAAAGGTTAAAGATGTTTTAGACTTTAACTGGATAGCACAACTAAGGTATCAAATTTTATTATAAATAAACGATTTGATTTTTAATTTTGAGTTAATTATATAACGCATTTGATCAATGAAATTATTCATAAAATATTACATGTAATTAATTAATAATTTGGCTAAATAACATATGTAAAAGCTTAATCGACTATAATATTTTTAAATGAAATTTAGATACTACTGGTTCGAGAATAATGTAATTGTGTCGATGATTACGACAGATATTGATTATGGATTCGAGTATCTCGGAAATAGCCCGAGACTTGTAATAACACCGTTAACAGATCGTTGCTACAGAACACTGATGGGAGCTTTAAAATTGAATCTTGGTGGAGCACCAGAAGGTCCAGCTGGTACCGGAAAGACTGAAACAGCTAAAGATTTAGCCAAGGCTGTCGCTAAACAATGCGTCGTGTTTAATTGCTCAGAGGGTCTGGATTATGCGGCTATGGGGAAATTCTTTAAAGGTTTGGCACAGTCAGGTGCTTGGGCCTGTTTTGATGAATTCAACCGAATCGAACTCGAAGTTCTTTCTGTTATTGCACAACAGATATCATCGATTCAGGTAATAAGGCTTAATATTTATATTCTCTCTATCTACTGTCGATGCATACCAATAATAATAAAAAATTCTTTAGATGGCAGTTGCACAGCATTTAGAGTATTTCATGTTTGAGGGTACAGAACTCAAGTTAAATCCAAATTGTAATGTTATTATAACAATGAATCCAGGTTACGCTGGAAGGCAAGAGTTACCAGATAATTTGAAAGTTCTCTTCCGAACATGCGCTATGATGGTTCCAGATTATGGAATGATAGGCGAAATCACACTTTACTCTTATGGCTTTGTTGATGCTCGTCCTCTAGCTGAAAAAATTGTCCATACTTACAAGCTTTGTTCCGAGCAGCTTAGGTAAAAAATCATTAAATTACCTTTCATTATTCTTAGTTCATTATCTAATGGAACGTAAAAAGTTCACAGAGCCATTACGATTACGGGATGAGAGCCGTGAAAACTGTTCTAGTAGCTGCTGGAAATTTAAAACTAAAATACCCAACACAAGACGAATCCATATTAGTACTACGAGCAATCGTCGATGTGAATATACCGAAATTCTTGGCTCAAGATTTACCGCTATTCGCTGGAATTTATAGTGACCTGTTCCCAGGCGTCAATTTACCTACTCCAGATCGCGATGAACTTTTAGAATTGATAAAAATTGAATTAATAAAGAAAAATTTACAACCCACGCCCTGGTATCTTGACAAAATTATACAGATTTATGAAATGATTCTAGTAAGACACGGACTTATGATTGTCGGCGATACTTTAGCTGGAAAGACTTCAGCATATCAGAGTCTTGCTAATGCACTTGGAGAATTATCGACTAATCGTCACGCTGCGATTAAGGAAATGCGAGTGACTTACAGGTAGGTTTATTTCTATTGCATAGCACATTGATTAAAATGCACGATTTATTGCAGAATTATTAATCCAAAAGCAATAACGTTGGGGCAAATGTATGGAAGCTTTGATCCGATCTCCCACGAATGGAGCGATGGAGTATTGGCCAATACATTTCGTGAATTCGCCCAGTCAACGTCTTTAGAGCGTAAATGGATTATTTTTGATGGGCCTGTTGATGCAATCTGGATAGAGAATATGAATACCGTATTGGATGACAATAAAAAATTATGTCTCATGTCTGGGGAAATAATACAAATGTCCTCGAAAATGAACATGATATTTGAACCTGCTGATCTCGAGCACGCGTCACCCGCAACTGTCAGCAGATGCGGCATGATTTATATGGAGCCATCTCAACTTGGCTGGATGACCTTTTTCGAATCTTATAAAGTACATTTGAAGAATAAATTACTGCCTGATCAGCTTGAACTCGTTTGTGACATAATCGAATGGTTACTCGATCCAATATTTTACTTCATTAAAACAAATTGTCGAACCTTCATCACTATTAGCGAACTCCATATGTTTCTGGTTTGTATAATACATCCATCCTGTATTCCATTATCTATAACTATGTTTATTGTTACAATTTTAGTCCTTTACAAAACTGTTAAATACATTATTGGACAAAGAATTGCAAGTTAGCACACTGTGGCTTCAATGCGTATTGATTTTTAGTATAGTTTGGGGAATTTGCTCAACATTAGTTAGTGATAGTAAAAAACTTATTGATGTATTTATCAGAAAAATATTATTGGGAAACGATGCGAATTATCCAAAGCCAAAAATCTTCAAATTAACAAAGCAGCAGCTTTTTCCTGAACGTGGCACTATTTTTGATTGGATGTACGATAAAAAGAATAACGGTACATGGATATCTTGGATGGATACTGCACATCAGGTAAAGTAAAAGATTAAGTATCAATATAAGTGAATTAATCATATAAATGATTGATCGTAGGCATCCTTACCATCCAAAGCAAAATTGAGTGATATAATTGTGCAAACAAATGATATGTTAATGCAGAATTATTTTCTTTCGCTCTATATGGAAAATGGAATTTCTACATTATTTGTTGGTCCGACCGGTACTGGCAAATCTACCGTTATACTAAATTACATGCTAAGTCTTTCCAAAAATAAATACGTACAAAATACTCTTAACTTCAGTGCGCGAACCAGTGCCAATCAAACCCAAGACATTGTAATGTCCAAACTAGATCGCCGAAGAAAGGGAGTTTATGGTCCCGCTATGGGTAAAAAGTAAAAATTCGAAAAGTATTTCAATTAATGTTTGCAATTAATTATATTAATTATACATACCTGGTATATCGGTAATCAGGTGTGCCCTGTTTGTGGATGATCTGAGTATGCCTATGCTTGAAACGTATGGAGCTCAACCACCGATTGAACTTTTAAGGCAATGGATTGATCATGGGTACTGGTTCAATCCTAAAGATACGAGTAAATTATATCTGGTTGATATACTTTTTTTGGCAGCGATGCTTCCACCTGGTGGGGCTTCTAATAAAATCACTACGAGATTTACGAGGCATTTAAGTATTATTGGCATTGATGCATTCGATGATACTACAATGACAAAAATTTTCGGAACTATATTAGAATGGCACTTTGAGCATGACTTTGACCACAATGTTAGCAGAATAGGTTAAAACTTCTACTTCTAATATCTATTTTCATATTAACAATTATCATACATTTATTTATATTGTATTTTTAAGTACAGGAAAAATGATGCTATCAGCAACAATAGAGGTTTATCGGAAAGCTATTGCTTCTTTTCTGCCAATTCCAAGTAAAAGTCATTATACGTTTAATTTGCGAGACTTCAGTCGCGTTATGGGAGGGATTCTGTTAGTCCCAAGTACGAGATTGAAAACGCCAGAAAAGCTTATAAAATTATGGATCCATGAGATTTATAGAGTTTTTCACGATCGACTCGTTGATGTAGAAGATCGCGAATGCTTATTTACTATGGTTAAGAGTGCCTGTTACGAAAATCTTCGGCAACCCATTGATAAAATATTAGAAAATCTCCTCATACCCGGGGATAATGAGATCACAAGCAAGCATATGGGCAATTTACTTTTCGGAAATTACATGGATCCTGATGCTGATCCTAAAATTTATGATGAAATATCAGACTTTGAAATATTAAAGGTAAGATGAGTATTATGTGTTTAAGTGCTACATAAAAAAGTAAATAAGATATAAAAATGTGTGTGTGCGCGCGTGTGTGTGCGTGTGTGCGTGTGATATGTGCGTGCGTTGTATTCTAATTACAGGAAAGAATGGATTATTATCTTATGGAATTTAATAATCTGTCGAAAACACCGATGGCGTTAGTTATGTTCCGTTATGTTATTGAGCACATATCTCGCATTTCGCGCGTCCTTCAACAGGATAATGGACATGTACTTCTTATTGGCGTCGGTGGCTCTGGACGTACATCGTGCACGCGATTAGCAACGAATATGTGCGAATACATGATGTACACAATTGAAATAACGCGGTCCTATGGAGTTACTGAATGGCAAAACGATCTCAGAAGTCTGCTACTACGTTCAGGATGTGATGGAAAGCAAACAGTATTTCTTTTTAATGATAATCAAATTAAGGACGAATCCTTTTTAGAAGATTTAAGTATGCTTCTTAATTCAGGCGATGTGCCTAATTTGTATGGATCCGAGGAGAAAGCAGAGATTTTGGAAAAAATGGCAAATGTCGCAAGGGAGGCTCAAGTTAAAAATCCAATTCCAGGTTAATATTAGATAATTATTTTTCACTTTTTATAAACTGGACTATATAAGTAATTCGTATGGTTTTTTAAAGAGAAACAGATGGAAACAAGTCCAATGGCTCTGTACGGTATATTTACGGAACGTGTAAGAAAAAATGTACATGTTACTGTGGGAATGTCACCGATTGGCGACGCATTCCGAGTGCGATTACGTATGTTCCCATCGTTAATAAACTGCTGTACTATTGATTGGTTTACATCTTGGCCAGACGAAGCCCTTCAGAAGGTTGCCAAATATTTCCTTCAAGATCTACCTATTAACGATGAGGTCAAACTCAATTGTGTTGATGTTTGTCAACACTTTCATTTAAGTGTTTGCAAAGCCACCGAGGATTACTGGAAATCCCAACGGCGCCGAATCTATGCTACGCCTACAAATTATCTCGAGCTTATCAACTGTTTAAACAAACTGTATAATAACAAGGTAAAATTAACATAAATTATTGATGCGTTCAAAAAATAAGTATATTTACTTTGAAAAGGTTGAGGATGTCAAGAAACAGCAGTTACGTTATGTGGTTGGATTGGAGAAACTTGAATTTGCAGCGGGTCAAATCTTCGTGATGCAAGAAGAATTGCAGGCACTTCAGCCAAAACTAGTAATACAGTCACAACTTAGTGACAAACTTATGATAAAAATTGAACAAGATACTGTAAACGTCGAGGCCAAGAAAGAGGTTGTGGCAGCTGATGAAGCATTGGCTAACGAGGCTGCAGCAGCCGCTCAAGCCATTAAAGACGATTGTGAGAGCGACTTGGCTGAGGCGACGCCTGCACTTGAAGCTGCTTTAGCTGCTCTTGATACACTTAAACCTGCGGATATCACTATCGTTAAGTCTATGAAAAATCCTCCCGCAGGAGTTCGACTTGTTTTAGAAGCAGTTTGTATTATTAAGGGTACGTATTAAACTAAGGATAAAAAGAAGAGAAAAAAAACCATGTAGAGCCTAGAACTTTAAATAAAAAAAAAAGGAAATGTCGGTATTTAATAATATAATTTTGTAAATATGATAATAGGTGTGAAACCAGATCGAGTATTAGATTCTACTACCGGAAGTATGATAGAAGATTATTGGCCACCCTCTGTCAGATTACTCGGAGATATCAAATTTCTTGAGAGTTTGAAATTCTTTGATAAGGATAATATATTGCCAGCCAATATGAAGAAGATAAGAGATAAATTTATAAAAGATCGTGGCTTTCAACCGGAAGTTATAAAAAAAGTTTCAACTGCTTGCGAAGGCCTGTGTAAATGGGTTAGAGCAATGGAAGTTTATGACAGAGTAATTAAAGTTGTTGCGCCAAAGAAAGCGATACTTGCTGAGGCAGAAGCTGAACTTGCTGTGCAAATGGAGACTTTAAATGCCAAGCGTGCCTTGCTTCAAGTCAGATAAACTTTTTATTATATATTAACATGCCTGAGCTGCCATATAGTTTCATTATAAGAATTACTTATTTATGTAGGAAGTAAGCGATAAGCTGCAGCAACTAAACGATGAATTTGCCGAGTGTATGCGCGAAAAAAAGAAACTAGAAGATCAGATCGAGCAGTGCGTGCAGAAATTAGACAGAGCTGAAAAACTCATAGGAGGTTTGGGAGGGGAAAAATCACGGTGGAGCGAAGCCGCGGAAATTCTTGGTGCCAGTTTGAAAAATGTCATTGGCGATATTCTTCTCGCCTCCGGAATTATCGCCTACCTTGGAGCTTTCACCGTTTTTTATCGAGACTCTCTTATTAATGATTGGCACACAGTTTGCCTAAAACTCGATATACCTTGCTCTCCCCCACCATTCAATCTTGCTGAAATACTGGGTGATCCTGTTGAAAGTAGATAATTTCTATTCTCATTATAAATAAACATTATAAATCTTATCTTTATCGTTAAGTAAAGAGTAATTATTAAATGATAATAATTAGACCAAAACCATTGCAAATTCTTATCATAAAATAGACGAATCTTATTTTTATTTGAAATATTTTTCACTAATTGTTAACTTATTGGTCATTTAAAATCTTATAATACTTGATAGATTGCATTTAATTAAACGCAGAATGCAAAATTTTTTAATTTTAATATTTACTTGAAATACATTTAATAATAAAAAATGCACCAGTAATGAAAAACATTATGCTAATAATGAAATTCTATTTATTTGTCGTATAATTTTTATTACCATAATTTAATAGATATTCTAAATTATTTTATTTATTTATTTAAGTCCGTTCCTGGCTTATTTCTGGCTTGCCATCCGATAAATTTTCTGTGGAAAATGGAATTATTATTAAGATAGCAAATCGTTGGCCTTTAATGATAGATCCTCAGGTGCAGGCAAATAAGTGGATTAAAAAGTTGGAAAAAGAAAACAAATTAAGTGTAATAAAATTAACAGATTCGAATTATACAAGAGTTATTGAAACTGCAGTGCAATTAGGTTTGCCAGTACTATTAGAAAATATTTTAGAAGAGATCGATTCATTGTTGGAGCCAATTTTACTAAAGAATCTTTTTATGCAACATGGACTTCATTATATAAAGTTTGGAGAAAACACAATTGAGTACAATATGAATTTTCGATTATATATAACTACCAGGTTACGAAATCCGCATTACCTCCCCGAACTTACTGTTAAAGTAAATTTACTCAACTTCACATTAACGCCACATGGTCTGCAAGATCAACTTCTTGGTATCGTCGTTGCCAAAGAGCTTCCAATTCTAGAAGAGAAAAAAAATCGTTTAATTATAGAGAGTGCAAATAATAAGCGTATCTTGAAAGAAATCGAAGATAAAATACTGCAAATACTTTCTAGTAGCGAAGGCAATATCCTTGAGGACGAAACCGCAATAAAAATACTTTCATCCTCCAAGATTCTTTCTGAAGACATTATGGCTAAGCAAAAAATAGCTGCTGAAACATCTCAAGATATTGATAGAGCTAGAGGTGGCTACAAACCAGTTTCACATCATGCCACTACTCTCTTTTTCTGTATTTCAGAATTAACAAATATTGAGCCAATGTATCAATATTCCTTACCATGGTTTCTACGCTTATTTTCAAATATTTTCAGCGAAAAGTCACAAATATCAATGACAGCAACGAATTATTTGGAAGTTCGTATTGCTACATTGAATAATATTTTTACTGGTTCAATATATCGGAACGTTTGTCGTTCGCTTTTTGAAAAAGATAAATTAATATTTTCCTTAATACTTTGTGTCGGGATTTTACGAGGTATTGATTATAATCATTGATATAACGAATAACGTTTTTCATTAATTAGTTAATTAATTATTTCACCGTTTATTATTAAAATTAGGCAATAATCAACTTGAAGAAGATTTATGGTCATTTTTGCTGACTGGTGGCATTGCTATAAGCAATCCATATCCAAATCCAGCTTCTAGCTGGTTATCAGACAAGTCATGGGCTGAATTAGTTAGGGCAAGTTCATTAAATAGCTTAAAAAAATTAAAAGATTTATTTATAGAGAATATTGATGACTGGAAAATGTATTATGATTTACAAAATCCTGATGAAAATGTAATGCCCATACCCTTTAACGAGCTATCAGAAGACAATTTAGAGAGACTAGTTCTTTTAAGATGTGTAAGACCAGATAAACTAGTTCCAGCTATTCGAAGTTTTATCATTACCAAAATGGGCCAATCATTCACTGAGCCTCCGTCTTTTGAATTGAAAGATTCTTACATGGATTCGAACAACGTAACGCCTCTGATCTTTATATTATCTCCAGGTTACTACTTAATAATCTTTTTTTTTTCAAATCACTTTTTACAAAAACAATACTAAAAATTATGATTACAATATTTAAGGTTCCGATCCAATGACCGGTTTAATCAAATTTGCGGAGGATCTTGGCATTTCAGCGAAGCATCTGAAATCAATATCGCTGGGTCAAGGTCAAGGCCCAGTTGCTATTGCTGCTATAAACGAATCCATAAAAACTGGCGATTGGCTTGTATTACAAAACTGCCATTTAGCTGAATCGTGGATGCGTGAACTCGATCGAATATGTGACGAAGTTATTACACCCATGAATACACATCCTAAATTCCGACTTTGGCTGACCAGTTACCCCTCAAAGGCATTTCCCGTAGCAGTATTGCAAAATTCAGTTAAAATGACTAATGAGCCCCCAAAAGGCTTACGCAGCAATCTAATGCGCAGTTACATCAGCGACCCTATATCTAACCCAAGCTTTTTCAATGTATACTATATTTAATTTTACATTTATTATTGAATAATAGTAATGAATAATCGAATTATATTACATTTTTAGGAAAATAATAAATTGTTGGAGTGGCGCAAATTACTCTTCTCACTTTCAATCTTTCACGCTATTGTTCAAGAAAGAAGAAGTTTTGGACCTCTCGGGTGGAACATTCCTTACGAGTTTAATGAATCGGATTTACGTATTAGTTTGAAACAATTGCAAATGTTTTTAAACGAATACGATGATATACCGTTTGAAGCGCTGCTCTATTTAATAGGAGAGTGTAACTATGGCGGTCGTGTTACGGATGACAAAGACAGAAGACTTTTAAATTCTTTGCTTCGAAAATATTTTAATCCTGATGTCCTTCACTCAGAATATTCATTTTCTCCAAGTGGAATTTATCATTTGCCCGGCGACATTAATTACGAAGGCTATATCAGTTATATTCAAAGTTTGCCTATTAATCAGCTTCCTGAAGTTTTTGGACTTCACGATAATGCAAATATCACCAAAGATAATCGCGAATCGATGCAATTACTTTTCGGTGCTTTACAAACTCAAACGCAATTAGGTATTGTAATAAATTTATCGTCTATAATGAGTATTGTCTGCTCATTGATATATGTATTAATTGTATTAAATGATATATTAAATATTGTTATATTTTTCAGGTGGGGAGTCTGAATCGGTTCAAAGTAACGAATTAGTAGTGTTTGATTTAGCTGACGAAATATTAAAAAAAATGCCCGAACAATTTAATACTGAGTATGTGGAAGAACGCTTTCCAGTTATTTATGAAAACAGTATGAACACTATACTCAGGCAAGAAGTTATTAGATTCAACAGATTGACTGAAATCATAAAAAGCAGTTTAATTAATTTAAAGAAGGCGATAAAAGGGCAAATCATTATGTCATCAAATTTGGAAGAAATTTTTACTAGTGCAAGCATTGGTCGAGTACCTACAGTTTGGGAAAAGAAATCCTATCCAACACTAAAGCCCCTAAGTAGCTACATTGATGACTTGCTTGAAAGAATCAAATTTCTTCAACGTTGGATTGATAATGATGCGCCAAATGTTTTCTGGCTTTCTGGTTTCTTTTTTACACAATCATTTCTAACCGGAGTATTACAGAATTATGCACGTAAGCACACAATACCTATAGATCATCTTGATTTCCAGTTCAAAATCACTCAGTAAGTATCAACTTCTCTTTAATAATTACTACACCTACTTACCTTTAACTAACAACAAGTAAAGTACAATAAATTATTTTAGTTATGAGCATGTTCACGAAATCAAAGACTCGCCAAAATATGGAGTATACGTTAATGGATTATTTATAGAGGGTGCACGATGGAACAGAAAAAAGATGGAACTCGACGAGTCTTTCCCAAAAATATTATTCGATACTTTACCAATAATATGGTTAAAACCGGGAATCAAGGCCAATTTTGTTATAGAAAATGTTTACCGCTCACCACTTTATAAAACAAGTGAAAGACGAGGTGTCCTTGCAACAACTGGCCACTCATCAAATTTCGTCATATTTATTTTATTAAAAACATATTTAAATGAATCCCACTGGATTGATCGAGGTGTTGCATGTCTTTGCCAACTCGATGACTAAAATATAACATAAATCTATAATTATGCAGTCAACAGATTATTTCAAGTTATCATAAAGGCATTAATAACATTAAAGACATTTCTCTATGTAAACTTAATAGTATTCGTCTAGTTGTCATTTTATTATGCAATTATTGCAATGATATTATAATAATAAAACATTGTATTCATTACGATATAATAAATAAATATTTCATTTACTAATTTCTAGTAGAACAACTAATTCTATAAGATAAAGAAATTGAAATTATTTAAAATATTATTTTCCCCTTATGTTTAGAATAATATTTGCATAACAAATTCAACTATTCAAAATTATTATTAAAATAATTGATATTAAAATTTAGTATAATAAACAATTTATCAAGAGAACTTAATTTATTTCTCATAAATATAAATGTTGAACACTGTAATTCTTTTAGATCACATACTATTACCAAAATAAAAATAACAGTGGATACGTATAAAATAAATGCCATTTAAATGTGAATATCTTACATATTTTCCTAAAATCTATTTGTTTTCTAAAAAAATGCTTATACATAATTACAGATATTACTTATCTTTCATTTTATAATAAAAACTACGTAATTGTAGTCAAATGGTGTCAAAGTCTGACGCTTATGAATCCACTCAGCGTGCCATTCAACGCTCATAGCAGACGCAATACGTAGCAGTATCCTTCATGAGGTAAAAGCCTATCAAATTCTTACTTCCATCTGAATAACCATTGCAGTACGCCAATATCAGGACAAGAACCTTCTTGCTACGATACGAGTATATTCTCAACTAGCAACGGTTACATGTGTCGCGCTACATTACAACCATAACCTGAACTACGCACATGCTCACACGAACAGCGCGAGTGTTGACGAATCAAACTTCGCGCCATTCTGCGCTCATATTTAAACCTTCACGCTGCATTAGATGAGTGTACGTTTGCCACTGCAAACGCATTACAGATTGTTATCAGGCTATAGAAGAGGCTGCTGATACTGTTTGGTGGTTCCGGCTGTGTCAGCATCATTACGACACAGCGCTGACTTTATCAGCTAGGACTCTGCAACTTGATTCATATCAGACCGCTGACGAGGCACCGGCATTGACCAGATAGTCTCCACAATTCATATCGCCAATGAGAGCGCCCATGGCCACGCTTCTCTCGCGACTTCTTCTTCGGTAATTACTGTCATATTTCGCTAGTACAATTAAAGCGCCGACAGTTGCTGCTTCCGTTTCGCTAGTACAATTAGGCGCATTCAATACAAATAGCTCAGTCTTACCTTGCACATCCGGACGATGTTCTACAGTTATTGCCAACTGTTAAATTCACGACTAGCTCAACAATTCTCATAACGATCGGTAACAACAACTAATGATGTAACATAACCTTAAATAAAAGTTACTAAAACCAATTGTGTTTACACTGAATTGATGCATCCCCCCCCCAATCGCCATTAAACTGGTGGTACGGTCTAATCCAACCACCTTGGTCTTCGGACCATTTTGGTGGCTGGAATTCCAAACACAAGGAATACACGTTAAATATCAAATATACTACAAGCTACAAGCAGTCGAGAGTGCTGATTGCATTACGATAAGCTATTTGGCTACAACAAGCATAGTCTCAAGATATTTCTTTACAACTTTCCGGCCATGACATCGTTGTCACCATCAAGGAGCAACCACATCATTGAGACAAGACAGAGTTTACACGCTTCTGTGACCAGTGAATACTGCTTATTGTTAATGCAACTGTTAATAAATCATATGTTAACGAACATTGCACATACTACACATTTCTATAACCCTTCCACTTTACTCCCACCCAAGCATCTGCTGTGGCAGGCGGCAAATTATTAAAGCTATCGAAACACTGACAGTTCGAACCAGACAATAATACCACTTTCGAACAATATAATTCTATTATATAAAGCTTTTTTTTCTATTTCTGCATATTGAAGTCAATTGTTACAGATGTATGTATATTTTTTTATATTGTAAAATATTTACATAATATATTACAACATCATTTCCTGATCATCAATTATTAACGTTACAACAGAATATCTCGACATAAGTTAAATACGATTTTATATTGTATAGGTAGAAATTTTAATATTGGTTAACTAACTACATATATTTAGTATATTTTATTATTTAATAGATTATTATATAACAGATTTCTCAACATTTCAAATAATATTAAATTCATTAATTAATAGAAACAATGTAGTTTTAATTTTTATATGGACTTAAAAATCTTATAATAATATTAAATTTATATTATTTATATTATCTATACTTATTATAGATAATATAAGAATATGTGAACAAATACATTTATGATTATAAAAAAAAAATTAGTAATTTCTTACTGAGTGATTACAGAAACAAAAGTCTTTAATATTTATAAGATAATGAATGATTGAATGAAATTAAATTACTTGAATTGTTTGTTTCCTCAAAATATACTCTATTTATTATAAAATGATAGAATATTCAAACAAAATTTTTAAAATACTTTTGTAACTATACTGTGAAATTCATACGTATAAATTTTTGCTTAAAGAATAAAAAATTGTTTTCAAATAGTATTTCTATAGTATAATCAATTTGATTACTATTGAACAATTTGGTACTATTGAATTATGTTCGAGAATGCGAGAACATTTTTCCTTTTTTTGTCAGTGCAATAAAATATCTGGCAAGTAACATCGTAAATATTGTATTTGAATTTCAAACTTCGCTTGCTCAAAATTCTCACGCATTAGTGTCATAAAACATCTGGAAAAAACAATACCATAAACACGGGAAAACCTATAGTTTTGACATCTGCATTTTCGTTCCGCTCGGCAACTACATCAAGCATTACTGGAAGTGGACCTTCCTTCCCCTTTCCGCTGTCAAGAAGTTGCTTGCTGTCACCAGATGTGTCAGCGAATCCCCCCCCCCCTCGCCGCGGCCGACATGCTATCGCATACGGCAGCGGAGAGATCTGCTCATCATGAAGACCCAGAGACGAATAAGCACTTAATTAACTCCGAAGCCAAAAGAGGTCCTCACACTATAAGGGAGGAGTTTCTGATTGGACAGAAAATAAGGGAAGGGGTTCAAGTAAAATTCATGGTCAGCAAATGTATTTAAGGGGCGCAATTTTCAATACTCATTACTCTTGGTACTTAACTCTTGATACTTAACAGTCTCGATACTTAACCCTTATTACTCGTGATATTTAACTGTCTTGATATTTACTATTGATAGTTTTCAGTTAGTAATATTTTGGTGATATTACTCTTTTCGAAGTGTCTCTCAGTTTTTGATATCTATTGCTTATTAGTATTTTTTTATATCACTCTTTTAGTAATACTCTCTCAATATATTAAACCCTTGAGACATTTCATACTCAGTTAAGTTTTTAGTGAAAGTCTATTTAACGCTATTTCGGGAACGACTTACACTTCTTCGGATTGTCCATTAACACTGTTGCTGGAACAGTAGTTACTGCCCCGGAAGAACTACGACTAAACCCGTATGCCCACTAACGCAGTTCAAGAAACCGTCGTTACATGTTCCAAGGGAGCGACGAAAATCCGCATATCAGAGTCCGGAGACGAGTCAACGATTAGACTTCGTAAGTAGTATTTACTACAATAATTACATATATATTGAGATTGAGAGTATTACATCGACAAGCACTAAGGACGAAGAAGCGACTCTTAAAATGACAGTGCGGAATAAATTCCAGTACGCGTCGTCAAGTTTCGCACCCGCCAAGGGCATCCCACTTCGTAACCCTCACCTTAGTTCAAGTTCGGAAGCTTACGAAAGAAAGCAAGACCCAACGCAAGTGTAGACAATCCAGTTTCACGCCACTTGCGATATCTTTCAATCATAAAGCTTCATTCATAACCTCAACCACACACGTGCTCGTTCAAAAGGCGCTAGTGTCGACGAACAAAACTTCGCGCCATTCGACATTCGTATTCAACAATCAAGCTGCATAGATTACTGTACATTTGTCTCCGCAACGCATCACTTCAATCCAAGAATATAGTTCTACAAGTAATAATAGTAATACTAGTCAACCTTGTCATTAATAAATAACAGAATAAATAGCATACTTCAGCTATATCTTTATTGTATTATTATAATATCCCTTCCACTTGTGACCTGTCATCGCTACCACACAACACCCGTGCTCGCTGAGTTGTCAACGGCATCAAATTGTATCCGTTGAACCGGCCTTGATAAAACAAGTCGGAACGACGAGGTGCATTTTGTACAAATTATGATAATATTATATTGTTTAAAACAAAAAATACATTTAATTTTCCTTGTGATATTTTTTAAAGCAATCAAATAAATAAAAAGAACACTATTATATGCCAATTACAACTTGTAAATTCAACATAAATTCAATACGTAGGCGAAAATTGAATTACAATAACAACTATTTTTGTAATCTCATAAAATTTATTAATTATTTAATATAACGTTTGCTTAAAGAAAAAAGCAAATATTTATGAAATACGCTATTTATAATAAATGTAGTTGTAGCATTAATAATAATATAATCTTTGTTATACAAACAGTAAAAAAGGATATGCATTAAATAATGAATATATAATGGTTACGTGTATATGATAATATTTTCTATAAAAAATCAATCTTTATATTATAACTTTAGATGCTTGAAATACAGTGAAACAATATATCGCAAAGTTCTATTTTGCTCTAACATTTATGACTTTCTCATTAGTAAAAAATATAATTATCATTACAACCGTCATCACACGGTAACATAATATTGAAGTCAAGTCCCACCGATTGCATCGGCCAATACCAGTTTATTATTCGTCATTATTAAGGAAATATGCAGTACACTTGCGTCAACATTTTTTATGTATTATTAAAATCTTTTTTATAATCGTAGAACTCTATTAATGAATACCTTTTGCATTTATTAACTTTTATAAGTTATTTTCATTTTACACTCTTAAAGAAATTTTATAATTTTAAAAACAGAGCTTAGTCGATGCTTATTTCGTTTGCAACATGTTTTTACTCTGTTGCCGTGAATTGTGCAATAATTTTTTGATAACTTTTATCGAATTATGCTCAATATTTTTCAACAGTTTTTATCCCGACGACTACGCTTTGTCCCTTTGATGCCCTCAGTAGCAATCAATGTAAACTTAGTGGATTGCTTATATTAAAATTGTGTCATTTTGTAAAACTAGTATTAATGTATTCATGAATGTGAGATAAATCGGCATTACGACATTAGTCGCATGCCTGTATAATTGTCTGCTTTTACAGTAATGATGTGTATCGCGACTGTCTAATCATTCTTCACCACATTATTTATATACAGATTGAGCTGATTATTTTCTGAAGGTAAGACGGTGCTTATAGTCGCTCATAATCGTAGCTTCTATCCATCGCTGATATTATAAATCACATTTATCGCGTGACGTTTCTTTTTTTTTATCTCCATGTTATCGATAATTTTTTATTTGAGAAGATCCTAAGCCACGAAATAGCAAAACTGGAACTGTTTTGTTTTTAGATTTTGTTATTTCAATCAGAAAAATATACACATATTTGTACTATAGCGTTTGCAATAAGCTCGAAAAACATTTATTAGTAACATAGAAATTTAAGATTATTTTAAATTACTTTGGATTTGTCATTTTCATCAATTTTTCTTGGAATTAATTATTATCTGGAAATAATAATTATTATTATTGCAATGAAATTGAAAAAAGTACTATAAACTTTCAAAGAAAATTTTTCGACCTGTAAATCCCCCCCCCCCTTTCCCGCCAATTTGTCTATTTACAAATTAGTTTTTCACTTTGTCAAGCTGTGCTGCCGCACATCTAAATGACTTGTAACAATATTCTATGATTTCTTACAGTTTATTAATTGTAGAATTTTTGCAAAACTTGTACTATATTTATGTACAAATCAAATTACATTTTATCATCTAAATTTGAAAGTTTTTTTATGCTTTAGTTTTTATTTGGAAAAGTTATTTGGAATTGTTAATCTCACCTATTACAAAGGAATTTACAAATATTTTATTCAGTAAATTCTATCATATAAATTAAGAATACACAAATTGTCCTATTTAAATAACTGTATATGCTAAATTGTTTAATCTATTATCTTTATTTTTTAAACAAACTGTCTGCAAATTATTATTACAAAATATAAAATACTATTACATATTTGTATTACTTATTTTACATTATAAAGTCATAATTGCAATATTTCCAATTTACACAAATTAATCATCATGCGCATTATTAATTGTTTATTTCTTATAATAAAAAAAAGTTACTAAATATATTTTCGTAATTACTTGAAATGGAATTAATTTTTATAAAACTTCTATTGAATTTTACATAACTTAAAAATTGGAAATATTTACTAAATTTATTAGATAATAAATTATTTTATATCTAAATAAATATTTTATTTAAATTCTATATTTTTCGTAAAAATGATGAAATATTGAATTTTTTAATTTATTTAAGCAATTGAAAAATTAAAATATCATCTAACACATCTCTTTCACAGTCTGCCAAGATAAAATTTATTTTAGAGAATGCATGTTTGTATTATACATTAACAAGTAAATGCATAAATACTTTGAGTTATTAACTTGACAGAACTAACCATTTTATGTATTTTCAACTGATTGTCTTCAATAAGCCACATCAACAATCAATTAATAGGTACAATGAGAACAAAATTAAATACATTTGCATTTTCTCCAGCTATATATCTATCTATCTACATATCTACTTATTTATCGATTACTTAAATTGGGCACCAAAGCCTGAAAATGAATTTACAAACTAAAATATTTAACTCATTACTTATTAACGAACGAATACTGTTGGCGTCATTAAAAAGAGTGACTGTATGAATTCATAATTCAGAAAGCTATATTTTATTAATATAAATGGAATAATTTTTTGGCTTATTGATTACTAATAATGGTCTTAGTATTTTTATTTTATCCATGACGTATTTTGACTTTTTTCAACCCGTCAAAATATAGACTATCTTTGTATTTTCCTGTCGAACCATTAGACGTGAGGCAATAAGATTACATCGTACATCAAAAGTAACATTTTCGAAAATTTTAAATAAAAATCTTGTTAATATGGTACATGTATGTCTCTTGAGGACGAGCTCTTCTTGCACATACGACAGGTGCACACGAGGCAACAAAGTCCAAGCAGAATAGCAAGAGCTGCACCAAGGCCAGCACCAGTCCAACCCGTCGATCCAACAAGATCGCTAATTGATGTATTGTCATCGTTTCTGGGCTCCAGAAGCTTACCACACGTTTCTCGCGACTCATCGTCAGCCTCTCGGATAGTTGAATTATTTAACGTTCTAGATGGCATTGGACAATTGACTACGCCATCGCACAGCAATCTTTCGGGTATACATCCAGCATCCGCTGGACACTGGAAGGCGCAATCTTCGAGTTTCTGTACATTTAGATTGCCCGAAGTATCCCTAGGTAGATGATACAATTCCGTCCATTCGATTTTGAATTCAGCCCTAGCGAGTGCCATAGACCCTGTAAACTGAATGGTCACGCTAGGAGAACCCGATTCGCCTGGATCGGCGGGTGCTATTTGAGCCGCTGTTAAAATAGGAATTTCTTTGACGTAGCTCACGTTTTCACCACAAATTGCAATATAGGGTTCGGGCGAATACCCTCCGGATGCAGGAAGGAAGATCTCCAATTTGCCGTCCTCACACGAGCGTGATGCAAACTTTGTCTTGTCCAAGTGTAGCCATAAGTCGCGCTCCACGTTTACGCGTAATTCCCAAATGCACTTTATAAACCGCGGCGGCGTAACGTAACTGAGCGCATCGTAATAAGGAAACTCTAATTTACCGTATGTAGTTGGCTGAAGGACTGCCGGACCGCACAGAGGACTATGGACGAATTCGAAGCTTGCCTCAAAGAGCGGAGCCGGTTGTTTAAAATAACTTGTCGCTGCATGTGCTCCATCGACCAAAAACTTTAGTTCTAGTTTCTCGCCACGTGATATTATGCGAATCGGTGGGTCGCTCGGAGAGAGCTTGCAACGGCAGTAGCCTTTGCTTGGATTCAACGATGATTGATGAAGATTCACCAGGAGATTATTGTTATTGTTATTGCCAGAATTATTTGGAGTATTCAGTCCATTTGGACTATTACTATTTGGAGGATGTTGAGGTTCGTAAATGATAACGCGATCGGCTCGACTCCCCCAGCAGTGGCTACATGGAGCATATGGATGTTCTTTAAAATTAACTGAGTGCAAAGTAAGGATGATCCTGGCATAAAGCCTTTTATCCGTGATAAAAGTGTATGTGCAAGTCAGATCATTAGCTGGGTCTCCAGATCTTTTATAGAGAAGAGTGTTGAGAGGTGAGCGGAATTTTCCAGAGCGATTTTTCCAAGATGAAAATACCTCGTCACATTCGGTATTAGGTACTGGATCGCCGAATCTAGTCGCGTTAAAAAAATCATAATGTGCCCAATAGTATAAAGAACTTCCGGAGTAGCTTCCGGTTTTACTTTCGAAGCGCACAAATAAGGAATTTGAAGTAGATACAAAGTCGTGCTTTTCCATGGGCTTACTGAAGGTGTCACAAAACGTCTTGATAATACGCGCGTCGTCAGCCCAGTCGGCATCATAGAGTGTCAGGCTCTCGGCGCAATCACCCTCGTATGGCTGAATTGGTGACTCGATGCGATTTACCCTGAAGCTTGGAAAGTAAAGCCTAGTTATTTCACCTTTCCGACCTTTGAGCAAGTAAGTGCAGCTCGTGTGCGGTGGATACCAATGAGCTACTGACAGAAATATGCCTTCATCCTTTGCTTGAAGGGTTTCACTGCTGAGGATCCAATCGCAGCTACCATTCTTGGTACTAGCAGTATCCACATGTCCAGGCCAATTTCCCACATTAAAGTGAAAGCCAGTGTTTAGCAACGGACCGGCTGACGATGACACAAACTCCACGTATAAATCCTTACCAGTGCCTATTATACTATACGGAAACTTGCCCATGCCTGAAAGCAATATAAATTAATATAATTCATATTAGTTTTATCAATTTAATTATTAAAATGATAGTTATCATTTATGCCAACAAATATTATTATATTCATATTTAATCGTAATTTTTTAATTTATAAAATGTACAACTTATCAAATTCTGACAATAAAAATGATTTGAAATTGAATATAAAATAATAAATTTTTTGGTGTCAAAAAATATTTAATTAGTTCTGCAAATATGCAATAAATAAGTTTGTAATAAAATATGTAATAAAAAAACAGCATAAAACTAAATTAATCAACCGAGGATGTTAATTTACTATTCATGTCAAGAGTATTAATTGTCATAAATACTTTATCGTTCATACATATCAATGTAATTGGAAATATATTTTATATTATATAAAAATAAATTACGTTATGCTTATGATTTTTATTTTATTTGTAATAAATATATATATATACTCAGTCTCAGAATTACCTGACTACGTACATTCATCTCAAGTCAAATATCAAGAATGCCTGTGTTTATAAAAAATGTTATGAAATAATTTGTGAATTAATGTTTAAATCGATGAGTATATATGTGGAAATTTATAATTCATTATTAGCTGAAAATGGTTTTAAAGAACTTTCTTTAAACAACAGATATCGTATTAAATTGTAAAAATTTGAAATATAATTTAATATTATTGCAGTGAAAGCTTACACTTCGCATTAAAATTGTATGGACTACTTCTAATAGTAAATGATCAAATCGGAAGAATGATATTAGGTTATCGATTATGATAATTAAGATATCTATTTTTATTCTTAATTAAACCTTTAAATTACAATAGTAAAATACATATAGTCTGCTTATGTTTACAAGAATACTTAATTAATTTATATATTTTTCACTAGTTTATCTAATAAATTTCTTAAAATAAATAAAACTTTTAAAAGATGAATATCGATTAATTCATTTTTCATATATTACTATTAATACTTTTGTCACAGAAAATAAATTGAAAATAGTAATTTCGGCATTTTTGTGTTTAAAACTTTAAGAAAACTTTCATTGTAGTAAGCAATGTAATTTAATTATAGATTGAAATATACGGTTTTTCTTTAATAAAGTATGTCCAAACATATCATATTAATTACATTATTTTAACAACCTAAATTTCTTAAAAGTTTAGGTTAATTGAATTTAAATTAACGAAGTTAGATCATTTTAAAGTATATATTCTACAACTTATTTGCAGCAGAAAATAAAACTTTGAACGTACCATTCGTAAAATCACATTAAGAAAAATGGTGAATTAAATATTTTGAGTCATTTCATTGATTTATTAGAATACTGCAAAAATATTTAATTTTGTATATGGAATATATTAAAAGAATTTATTCATTGAAGTATAATTAATATTGCATAGCGATTTTAATTCAAATTTAATTTAAATTTTAATCATTGCTATTTTATTTTAAATTAAATTTTCAATTTGTTTAATTCGAGGTCTAGATTATTTGATATATGCAGAATTTTTATTGAAATAGTAAATTTTATAGTCGATCGTTAATTTTGAACAAAGTAGTTATAACTTATATCAAGTACAATTTTATAAATATACAATAAATTTAAATAATGAAATAATATATTTTTAATAATTATCAAAAACCTGGAAACGTCCATTTTAACACTGTGATGTTTTAATGTTAACTGCACGTTGCACTTTAAAAACAAAGTAAATAAAATTACCATACTGTTTAGAAACTTATGAAATGGAAGAAATGTACGCTTATCTCTAAGCCGAATCGATTTAAATGGGAATATTGGTTATGAATACAAAGCAAATAACCGCGGGTTATCTTGCTAATAATAAATGTAAAGTAAAGTCAAATACAATAGAAGGTCACGTGAATAGTTGAATTATTTCAATATAAGATCTAATTTTTGATAAAAGATTAATTTGGATAAAAGCATTTTACAAATAAATCTAATATTCCAATAACACAACTAATTGTCATATTATGTTCAAAATATGAACAAATCGATGCAGGAATAAGATGTCGAAATACAAATGAAACCATTAGTCATACTTGATTTAGTATATAAAGGGAATAATATTATGGTATGTAGGCCAAATCAAAAAGTTATTACATCCATACAACAACAGGCCATGAAAAAATTATTGATAAGTTTGAAATATTGTTAGCAGTGTAAAAGCATTATAATATAGCTAAATGCCTATTGGAATACGAATGCGTCACATCATTATAAACCAATGCCACACATTAGCTAAATTAAATACACAAGATTAAAATACAATCTCAAATGAATCATTAATGAGAATATAAACATATAAAAATACTAAAATTAATTATGTATAACAATTTAAGAAATATATACATGTACAGATGATGTTGGGAAAGTGGTGGAAAGCAAGTTAAAAATAATTTGGAACAAAAATATAATAAAAAAAAAACAAACATTGTTTCTGTAGTAATTAATGAATATAAAAATCTGCACTATTATAATTAATTATATAATAGTATTTAAGCATACCATAATTGACTTTTAAACATTTTTATTTTACAAATTGTATGCAAGGTTCAATTAAAGTTCTATTCGTTTAAAATGTTAATTATTTACATCTACCAGAAAATATTTAGACAGACAGACATCGATAAAATATACACATTTTTATAAAAGTATAATAAATTTTACTTTTTATGAAATGGGCTTTTCAATCATAAACTTTTATTAATAAAAAAAACTTTCTATATATTAAAGAAATTAACAATAATTCTACTACTATCTAATCAATTGAATTTTTTTTTATATATTATATTCTATTAAAATTCCAATCGGGAAATCTTTTTATCCTAAATTCTCTTTAATTTTAATACCATATAAAAATTGAAAAATGTATAAATGTTTTCAATCTCATATTATCAATGGAACTGCAAATGTATAAATAATAAGTTTTATTAATTTACCGATCATAAAATAATTGAGTAATAATTATGACACAAATTAAAATATTAATATTAATTTTATAATTTAATATTGGATTTGAAGTTAACTTTATATTATTTATTTGTATTCGTTCAAAATTATTAATTAAAACTTTTATAAATTAAATTTACATCAAATACTTCAATTGTATGGTATTAAATTGTTACGATATAATATGAAATTTTATAATAATAACATTCAATCTATAATTATCAATATTACCAATTAAATTTCAGCAAGTAAATAAACAATTGATTTATTTAATCAAAGGCTAAAAAAATTAAATTAAATATAAGAGGAATAATTTTAATAAAATATACATTACTATATCTGCAATTAACATATATCTAAAATTTCAATACTTTTTATTTGTTAAATAGATTTAATAATCGAGACTTTTAATAATCGAGACTAATGTATAAATATTTTTAGATTAATTTTATAATATAAAAGTGAAAATTGATGAATATTTTCACCTGATTCAATCAAAAGTTGTTTTAAATATTTAATACAATAATTTATAGTTTTAAATATATTTTCATGTATAATTAATGCAAACAAATTTGTTCTTTATTATTATAATTAATGTGAAAATAATGTAAGAATAGATTTGAAAATAATTTAAAAATAAATCTTAAATTTCAGCATAGAATCCATAAATAATTAAAATTGAAATAACATATATGGGCTACATTATTCAACTTATCTTCTTTTGGATTTCTTATATTTCTATATTTTTATATAAAAATAATTTTCTATTTAAACAGAAGAATTTCTTAATAATCCACTTTAAAATTTGATATTAAAATAATTAAATTAAAATTTTATTTATCTTGGGATAGTCCACACTATTCAAACGTCTCTAAATTGAAAAGTTGAACTGAATTTAAGTTTATGAAAAGATCGATACAATAATTGACTTATGAATGAAAGTTTTCAAAATATGAAAATTATAACTTTAAATCTGAATTAAAAAGAATGGATATAATTATTGTTTCAATATATAAGGAATTTTTAAACATTTTGAAAAAATTTGTAATATACATATTTTTAACATAATTTTCATACGTGACTTACATTTATTATTTACAATCAATGAATTAATATTTGAAGGAATAATTTTTTATTTAAATTTGTTTATAATCATCATAATTAATAATATGCGGATATGTGTTTGCGTGCCTGCGTGTGAGCGTGTTTTTAATAGTAGTAATTTAATTTACTTGCAGTTATCAATAAAATTTCTAATCGTGCTATAAAAAAATTTAGTTTTATATAATTATAAAATTAAATTAATATCTTCATAGCTGATATAGTATTATTTACATAAATGTAAAGTAATTGAAATCGTTAACCATTAATATTGTTAGATATTTTAATTTTAAATATACTTCAACATATATTTGTTTTCTTTATTATTTGTTGCATTTTTATATAATATATACAATATAATCAATAATTCTTTATTATTTAAAAGCGGATGACTTAACTATATAACTATAATTAAGAAATGATACTCCTTCAGAAAAAATACAATGAAAATTTTCTATAATATGATTTATAAGATTTATTTTCAACATAAATTTATAATTGTATCAAGTTTGTCAGAAATTTTTTATGTGAAATATTAGTTATATTTTTAATTTATTTAGGTACTCTAATTCATATATATATATATATATATATATATAGTCAATAAAAAATAAACTTTGAAAGTTTGTTTTTAAAGTTTGGAAATTGATTTGTCAGCGAGCTTACACACGATTCAAAGAAACAGAAGACGTTTTATTACTTTCACAATATTTTTTATTCCTGCAGTTCAGTAGTTAAAGAAACTATTTAAAAAATAATTAAAAAAATATGTAATTGGAAAAACAAAATGTACATTAACATTAAAACATCGAAAGTATCATTGATAAGATCATTTTTAATAAATATGTCTTAATGAACGTTCAAGTCTTGTATAATGAAAATAGAATGAAAAAAAGTTATAATTTCAAAATCATTAGATTTAAAAACATTAATTTATTTTAAAGTTACGCAATTCCGAAGCTTACAGTTAATAATTTGTTTGGTAAGAGTCAGTATCATTTGTACACTCAGATCAGTCAATCGTTGAATAAACATTAAATTATTTAGAAATTCTTCTCACCGGAGAAAGAAAAGCCCAGTAAAGTTGAACCACGAGCACTTTATTGGATAACATGGTTACACATTACAATGCCATAGTTACGACTAGCGGCATATGCTGCATGTACCGCGATGTCCTAGATATGTGCGAGCTCGAGATAATTCTCCATTAAAGGGGGGCTTACCGCAAAAGGTGCCAATAACAGGAGCGGTTTCGTTGAGGCCGTCGTAGATACGAACATAGTCGTAAGGGCAGTGTTCTGCTCCGGAACTAATCGGCCGCATCGGGCAGGTCATGATGTTCTCGCATCGCTGGCCGTCGATGTTGAACTCCTCGTTCTCGATGTAGAGCTTTATGAAGGGTAGCCGCGTGTTGAGGTGGTACTTGCAGTGCAAGTCACGAGGATAGATGCCCGGATAAGCTGGACTCTGAACATAGCAAGTCTGCAGCCTGCAGTCTCTAAAGCTTCGTTCGCAGTAGGTGCCGGCTAAGACCTCTCCGCGTCTATTTGGATAAAGCTCGGGATGCTGGCCATAACGAAGATAAACCTCGAACTGTTGCTCGGCGCGTGAATCGAAGCTAAAGTAAGTCTGATCGGTAAAATTGTCCGTATGGAAAAGCACTCGAACAACGCTTGTCTCCGAGATGAAGGTCTGCGGTTGCTCCGACTCACCGCAAAACACCCCAGGATCCTTACGGTTGCTAACCTCAGTCTTCGCGTTACCATCGGTTATCTAGAGATCAGGGAGAGCAAACCCTATCAGGTCCTCGAATTATGAAACATCGTACATCGAATTTTACTCAAATTTTAACTTCACAATCCTCCATACTCAGAATAATTCGAAAGGCGTAGCAAACCCCGTCATTTTTTAAATAATATTTAAAAAATTAAATATGCTTATTAAAATACCTTTACAATGCCGTGAATTATGGCTTATGAATCTGTACATTGTATTTCTCATTGCCAACCTAATTTCAGTTCACGGTACTTTACAGTTAACAATAATCTATTTCGTACTTAATTTTTGTTGCTGAATAAAAAATAACGTTTCCAACTCTTTAGACTGTAGTTAATTTTGTTTATTTGTATTGTATTAGTGCTAAATATTTAAGAACTCTATGTGCTCAAGAATCAGTAACGTTAATAAAGATATGCACGCAAATCTATCAAAATATATCAAATCTATTATCATGTTTTCAATCTAAATAATCTTAGTTTCATATTATAATTTGTTTAATAATTCATACTTTACGTATTCGAATATTACGAGAAACAAATTTCGAAGTTCCGTGACCTGCAAATCTACATTAACTATGGAAGCGTTCACGTTGATTTGAATAGTAAATATAAGGAACGTCATAATTATTCTGTAATCTTGGCAATGCAGGTAAGTTTGTATTACATTCTAATTTATTTAAATTAACATATAAAAATCTAAAATGGTCGATATGACTATAGCAAGGAAAACTTTGAATTAAATCTGTAATAAAGTGTTCGCGAGAAGGGCAATAGTCTTTGCTCGAAGAGACTACGCATAACGCAGGTTTAGCGAGCAAATCTGTATTTAATGGTGAGTATTGAAAGTTCTTCAAACACGGTAAAGGCAGCTTTTAGACGGCTGCTTCATCGTGTATGTGCGAGGGATCGAAATCGTCTTCTGTTTGGATAAACACAGAATGGTTGTATTTGACTTTAGGTATTGTACACACTCATTGAACGCTTTGTGTTTGATGCTCTTTGATGCGGTTATATATGCATTTTCACAGTCAATTTCCGTCAGATGCTAAAGAAAAGAAGCGTGACGGGAGGAAGAGAGAGAGAAGCAGAGAGAATGAGTAGTAAAGCAAAAATATGTAGGTCTTGACCTATGACCGACTTCACGTTAATATTAATAAACCTCTTAGTTTAATTTATTCACATTATCTTACCATTTTTCCACTTTATTGTGTATCCTCTTTTTACTCGTTGCCTAAGAATTAGCTGATATTAAAGAGTCGTAGTTACGTAGGCACACAATCTAATTATAATTTTTAACACAGTGCCGAATATTTAATAATTGAAAATAAATAATTCTATTATTTTATATTTAAAATTTTATAATAATCAATAGCCCTTGATTAATAATATGAAAGAAAAAAGTTCAACGAATATTTTAACACAATGTTAAATTTAATTTTTTTGACTTTCATTACTTTTTCTCAATTTCTCGTCAATTCAACCGAATTCTTTCATTTTTATTAATTTCTTTTAATATTCAATAGTTCGTATCAATTACTGAGCCACTCTTATTCATGAAATTGACCGCCATAATCGTTTTGTATAATGCACTCACTGTCTACAAATACACAGATGTCCAATATATTCCACTGCGCGTATTTTTTTCTTATTATATAATTTTCTGATTTTGTTATAATTCCTATTAATAAAAAAATAACGATTCAATAATACATTTAATATTTGACGATATTCAAATAGAGGAAATATTTAAAAAAAAAACTTATTTCAATATTTTATAAATACAAAATTATAAATACAAAGTAACAAAGCTACAAATTAATTTTGTATTTGACAAAACATTAAATTGTACTGTATTAAATAAAAATTTTTAATTTATTTATAATCTTTTAACTGTTTCTGCATATTTCTCTGTCTATTGATTTTCTTCAAGCAAAATATGTTTTTACCAAATTAATAAATTTTACTCTAGGTTACAGTTATTAAAAAAAATATTTAAATGTCTTTTTAACAATAGTCAAATATTTTTGCAAATAATGACACAGATAATAATTCAATATATGGCCATTGAAAATCCAGTATTCGCGCCGAATCTCTAGGCAAATTTAAGAAAAGAATGAAATACGAAATGTAAAATGTTATCATTTTCTTCCAACATGAATAATAGCTTAAATAATATACTAAATTCAATTTTAACTTGTTATGTAATTATGAAAAACTAACCAATAAATTCATTTTAACTTATCATAATTCAATGAATGAATTCATTTAATAAAAGCAATAGTTAAACAGGAGTAGTTAAAAATTTGTTTATAGTAAGTTGGTCATTGATATTATACATTTTTTTCATGTATATTAAAAACTTAAATAAAAACAATTAAATAATAAGAGTTAAAAATAGTTATTTTAATAAAATGTTGTATGTATTTTATTTATTTTATTATATATTTTAATAAAAGTTGTAATGTATAAAACTAATACAGTTGTTATCATTTGTTTGTTTGTTTTTGTAATGACTTCTAAATATTAAAACAATTATAAAGTTCATGTTAAATATTTAATAAACAGTGACAAATAAATAATTTTTTAATCTTATGTATAGTAGAATGATTTTTGTTATTATTCATGAAATATATATTGAATGGTAATCTGTCATATTCGCAAATTTTTATTATTTATTATTTGTAAAAAATTTCATTGATGCAAATATTTTTAACATTTTAATATTACTTTTATGTTTCAAAATATTATTTGCTATAAAATATTAAAAAAATTATCGTACTGTTTGAATACATTCAATAATTTATTCGAATTAAGCATTTTCTTAATTGAGTATATTTTCATTTTTAATATTATTAGTATTTTTTTAAATTGTCAAACATATCGAAAGACATTTATTATTTTCTAAATATAAAGCTATATAACTCCGACTTTTGTGACTATAAAATATATTTTAAAATAGTATTAATACAGAAAAAATTTTTAATATATTTTTTATTTTAGAATTGAGGAATATAAAAATTGTTCATTATAAATATTATAGGATAAATTTTAGTTAAAGTAATACGATTATGTAATAAATTTATGTTCATACATGATAGTTATTTTTCACTTGACAGTATGGTGTATTTCAATATTATTTACATACAAACATTTGTTTCTATTTATTAACGACTAATGTTCTATTATGTAAACCTGATAGTTTATTTGGCAATTAAATAATAAATTACTTCCTGTTAAAATAAAAATTATAGCTATTAAATATTTTACAATTAAATAAAGTCTATTATTAAGTAATTTACTGCTTTAATTTAATTTATTATTATCCATAATTATTATTCTTATAATGATAAAAATTTATAAATAAACAGCTCTTTAAAATATATTTGAAATTACATAGATAAAAATAATTTTCGAATTAATTTACATTAAATAAAAAGTAAATTTCACTTGTTTTATATATATTTGTGAATTTAAAACTGCCACCGATAAAATACATCAGCAACACGAAAAAAAATTTAATCCTATCTCTAAAGATCGATAAATGAAAATTTAAATAATTGAAGGCCTCAATTTAGGATACAAAAGCCTAAAAGTAAACAAAATTTTTAATATAAACTGTTCGTACGAACTTGTATATTATAAAACTTTTGATAAACTTTTTGACATGATTTAATGTCAGTACGTTATAAGTTTAATTAAAAGTGCTGAAGTAAGCAACTATCTTTAAACATTAAAATTAAAAGAATAAATTAATGTATTACAGTATCTATTGCATCCTATTATAAAATATATTATAAAATCATCTTTATGATGTTAATTAGAAAATATAAATTAAAACACATCAAAAATACCTACAATAAAATGTCTAAACTGCCTTTTGAAGAAAGGATTAAACTATTAAAAATGTACCAAAATATGAATAAATAATTATAAATTTATAATTAATTTATTAATTGCATTTAAGTTGCATTAAATTTCTTATACTTAAATCAACTAATCTTTGAATTTATAAGAATAATTTTATAGAAACAAACTATTGAAAATAATATGATGTATTATATTTGGAAGAAAGACAAGTATTTCTAAACAAAATCTAATTTTAAATACAATGATATTATTACTTACTAAGCTTTCGCTTATGCACAGCAGAATAAATAACTTTGATTAAATAAATTCTTATAAATTGTATTTAAGGTGGTGGTAGTTAAGGCAAGGTATTTAATGTGTATGTAAGTTTTATTTTAATTTTTGCTGAAATTAAAGATGAGAATTATAAAATTAATTTCAAGTATATTACTTAAATTTTCGAAGATTAAGTAATCTAGTAATCAAGAAAAATATTTAACTTTTCAATTATAACTTGTTTATATTTCAGTGCAGCAATAATAGCAATGAAAACAATGATAATTTTAGCTTTAAAAAATGTTATTGTCGTTGGACTTCTACATCAACCTTTTCGTAAAAGTAAAATTGCCAAGTGTTAAATAAACAACAAATTGAAAATATATTTTACATTAATAACTTTCTAATTGATCGAAATTATAAAATATCAAAGAGAAAATGACATTAACATTTTTTTTTTCATTTTTCATGTTTGGCATTATCATTTAAAACTGGGAGCACTATTTATTTGTGGTTTTTAGACGTCTAAACATAATGTGTGTAAATTAAAATTAAACATAAGCAACCCTTTAGTCGGTTAAATTTTGACGCATTCAAATATAAAGTTAAAATTGTCTGAGTGCTTAACATATATGACTTCAATTTTAAATTAATCAAACACACATAGTACTAACCAATCACATTAATTACATTATTAATTACATGCGAAATAATTACACTATATTTTTATTTAAATCATTGATAAAAGTAATTGACATTTATCTGAACATTCATTAATTTAAACTTCTTAAATAATATGACATCCCTGAATATATATATATATATATATACTTAACCTTTGGAAGGGCTTACAAAAAAGCAATCACACAATCGCCTTGTCTTCTCCGCTATTTGCGTAAGCCACAATTTTCTAGCCTGCATTTTTCTCAACTTGTAATCTCCGATTCAAGAATATATACAATTATAAAATTTCTATTTACGACGATAGCTTCTCCTCATTTCAATAGAATATATTTAAAAACGATGAAAAACGATGGAGATGCTTATTTAATGATAATGCACCCTTTAATTATGCTTGCATTTCAACGAGCACTGGCGCTAATTTTAATAAATAAAATAGATCATCAATAGAATGTAGATATTTTTATGTTGATCTGTCTCTGACCTGATCAATTCATCAATTATTTTATTTATCGAGTATGCTATTTTCAGACACGCCGATAGATCTTTGCTCGGTTACTGTAAAAGCTCTTACGTATATGCTAAGAATGATGGATAGCGAAAAACATGAGGTGAAAAAGAAACTAAAAAAAGAAAAAAGAAAGCGTAAGTCACGTTGATAAAGCTAAAGTTATTTGACTTGTAATCTTGTTTGATTAATTAAATGCTTCTTTATAGTATTTTATGAAAATAGTTTTATCTACGCTAACGGCATGATTGACAAGAAAATTCAATATATGCACGCACTTACGCTCGATCGTATAAATGCATGTGCGTGCGGTGATGTATCGCAATAACGTAACATACTTAGCAAAATTTATAAAAAGCGAAGATTTCATAAAAGAGTAAAATTTCAAAAGAAAAAAAACATGTGCCCGAGGATGAAGTTAAGCGAATGACACGTAGTGGCACAAAGTACCCGAATGAAAAAATCGAGTAAAGAACATAATGAAATATTGGTAATAACCGCGGATTTTAAAAAAAAACACGAGATACGACAACCCGCGGCTTATTATCTTTTTTAGCGTATATGCTAATCGCATTAATGAGTATACAGCCGCTATCCACAATGGTTTCCTAATGTCTAATACGAAGCGATTAAATAGTCGGGAAATCATTAGGCTCCCACTTCATCGTGTTAACTAAGAAATCTCGATAAGCAGAGGGAATTTTAGCGACAGTTGAAAATCGTCGGCATACTCTACGCGCCGCTCGATACCCGAAAAATCAATAAAAGCGGTGTATAACAGCCCGCGGCTCTTAATCGCTTGCCGCTGCTTTGTACATGTGTGCGTACCTGCATGTAACCACCCAGGCAGGTAGTGGCATTGACGAGGGTTCCGACCTTGAACTTCTTGAAGCGGACTCGCAGTATCCAGTCGCGGGGCGAACCGCGTATCGCCCGGAAGCGGTAGCTGCATGTCAACGGCTTGCCCCACGTCTCAGCGTTCACCGCTGGGCTTGATACGTCCTCGTAAATCTCCACCGTCTTATTGCAGCGCTCACGATCCACTGAAACACAACGAGACTGAAATCTCTGCTTAACCTACAAAAGCCGTCGATGCATCCAACAAGATCAATCCTTAAATTAGATCATACGAAAATTAGCCAATCTACGTTAATGAGATGATTATTCATGCAGACTGTTAAAAACTTAACTTCACTATTGATCGCAACGAAGAAAATGAAAAGCTTGCAAAAGGCTAAGGATTTAGTTAAAGGCGACTGTCCATGAAATATAATAAGATTGTTAGTCAAAATGGATGTGGAATGAAACCGTAATCCGAGACCGAGAGGCGTCCCGCTTTCCCAACGACGATCACCCTTTTGGCAATAATGATCGTTATTTTGCCGCTCAAATAAGTATCTGTTCGGGATTGAAGCAATTTCCAAGACCGTTGGCTCTCGGTGTCGCTAGTTCCTCTAGCTCTCAAGTTTCTGTAAACATTTGAGTACGAGAATTTTCGAGTACTTGTTATGTTTTGGTTTCAAATGCCCTACAATGCTTCTATGGTCTTCGAGTAATAACGTCGCTTGAAATTCTCCAAATTCCTTAAGCCTTGTTTTTTTTTTTTTTTGGAGTTCTCGAAACTTTTAGAATTTTTGTTTTGCGCCTCATGTAAGATTCCAGTACAGCAACAACGATACTTTGCTGCCAGCTAAGTAAGATGCCGCGTGGATATTTAAGGGCAGCACGTTATGCCTAGAAGTTCATTGTAATTTGGACAGTCAAACAGTCATCAATCATTACGCTATTCAGCCAGTGCTTTCTGCCCTGCACCAGTCGTTCAGTTACACTCACACAATGAAGCCATCCCAATGATCAAATATCAAATATACTCAAGCTACAAGCAGTCGAGAGTGCTGATTGCATTACGATAAGCTATTTGGCTACAACAAGCATAGTCTCAAGATATTTCTTTACAACTTTCCGGCCATGACATCGTTGTCACCATCAAGGAGCAACCACATCATTGAGACAAGACAGAGTTTACACGCTTCTGTGACCAGTGAATACTGCTTATTGTTAATGCAACTGTTAATAAATCATATGTTAACGAACATTGCACATACTACACATTTCTATAACCCTTCCACTTTACTCCCACCCAAGCATCTGCTGTGGCAGGCGGCAAATTATTAAAGCTATCGAAACACTGACAGTTCGAACCAGACAATAATACCACTTTCGAACAGAATTCATTATTTGATACGTGCATGTCGATCAAAAGCTTCAATGGCAAGAGCCTTTAAAGTGTTAATCATTGTGAAGATCATATAAAATCACATATAAATCCTTAATATTTAATTACACATAAAATACATGTTAATCCAATTAAATTATGGCTGTCCCCTCTAATTAAATCACCACGGTGACTTTTTTGCCCATGTGTGTGTGTGTGTGTGAGAGAGAGAGAGAGGGAGAGAGAAAATACCAAAAAATGCTAAAAAACTACAATAAAATTCAAGAGTTTATTTGATATGCAATAATTAAAAATCAAATTATAGAAAAGCATAAATCGTTCTGGTTGTAAACAGACTGGAAGATTGTCGAAATAATAAAGAGAAAAGAACAATGCTTTGCAACATTAGGAGATGCGCAGGGAATTAAAAAGGGAAGCAAACAAGGTGCTTGTAATCTTCTTGTCTTAGTTCCGTCTCGAAATTTGGTAACGTAGTCGCGGCACATACGTACATCTTCAAGTAGTAAGAGACAGCAACGGGACCTACAAGTTTGGAGTACGTAATCGATACTCGACTTCCTCCTCATTCTCTTTGCTCTTTCTCATTCCTCAATCTTCCCTCTCAATACTTCTACTTTTCTCGTTGTCTCTTTTTCTCTCTCCCTGCAAATCATATAACAATAAATCTTTTAGGGCTCTAATTGTCTTTGTCTCCGTATATTTGGTCTCAGGTTTGTCTCCCTTACTACGTTTTGATACTCATTTCCTCTTAGCTTGGAATCAAGCCCTTTAATAAAAACGAGCGCATTGTTTCTACTAGTACTTCTTCCTTCCTACCTTCCTTCCTTCCTTCCTTCCTTCCTTCCTTTCTTCCTTTCTTTTATTCGGGTTTCCTTCCGTCTCCTCTCGTTTTTTACAAGAGTGACTTTTCTCATCTATTTTTTTTTCTTTTTTTTTGAATCTTCGACGGGTGCACTCATACATTTAAATGAAAATTGAGATTCTCTTCCGGATTCTTAGGACGTCCCGTCTTTTTAATTCGGTCACCCAATTTTCGTCTATCCTTTTCACATTATCAATTCCATAACGCGCAATCTTTTCAGCCCCGAGTACTTAAGTTCACTACCCTCTACAAACCAATTTCGAGCCACAAACTTTTTGGACATGCCTTGCTTACGTGTCACAACGCTTATCAGGGGCGACATCACGCATCTACCAGAACCGTGTAAATACTCGTACGTAAATTTTCTTCTCCGACAAGTTGGCTTGTCAGGCCATTGGATACCGTTTGAAAAGCAACAACGAAGGCTGCAACTACGATATCATGGCATACGCGATATATCGCAAGAAGTAGTAGCATAAGCGTACGTGCATCCCGTTAGAAGCCAAGACTCGCATTCTCATCGAAGAAAACAGGTTAAAGCATTCATGCCACCACTAGCCTGTTCACTTATTCCGTCCTTGCGTCGCCCCACGCTATATCCCTGCTCTCAGTTTACAATCGATCCATTGTCCTCCTTACACCAAACACATCCCATCTTCCTTCTTTTACATTCTTATTTGAACCGTCGTTATTCTTTTATTTTATCAGTAGCATCTATTTTTCTCACGACTCTTTCCTTATTCATCATGCTTCTTTATCTTTATATGTAGCGTCCTTCAATGTAACTCCCTACTATTTCTGTTAGTATATCATAATTTCTTAGAAAAATTGTACCCCTCCTCATCTTTTATAAGCCCCTGCATATCTGACAACGTGAATAATCATACACTTGTTATATTTCTTTTTAGCCTTCGCTTTTACAGGCCAGAATTATAACGTCGTAAAGCTACCATAATGTGGCATTTAGTCAACGGCTTATCGATATTTGAGATATTTACGCATTTCTATCATTATCGATATGTATTTTAATCTAAGCCTTTTTATTACTTAATTCCTTATTAATGATGCTTACATTACTTAAGTTATCAAAAATATATTTCTTTATGTATGACAAGAATTTTCAAAATTTCATTTAAAATATTAAAAATCTTATAATATAACTCTATTAAACCTAGTGAATATTGATATTCTACAAACGAAAACTGTCTTCATCACAGAACTAGAATTCTCAGGATTAAAATGAACTTTAAGTATTATCTCAATAACATCAATTAATATGTATATAAGTATAGCTACAATCAACTGGATGAAAAATCCATTATCAACACGATGTTATTAATAATTAATTCATAATTATTTATAAAATTTATTTTAATTAATAGGTGAAATAAATTTGTTAGGAAATGTAATTTATAATAAATTTAAATAATAAAAGTTCATTTGACAACTACGTATAGTATTATTATAATACAATAAAAAATTATATAATATAAGATAATTCAGCTAAAAAATTGATATCTTGAAAAAATTGATATTTAGAAAATTATAAATTATTCCAATAATTTATCGGAAAAAAAAATTAATTATATCATTTGTTTGCTATAAGTAAAGACTATAAGAAATAATATACGGGTATTATTTTACGAAAATGCAAATATCCAAATAATTTATTAAACAACATATAATGTTGGAAATGAAAAATTGTAATTTAAAAAATATATAAACATTAGCTATGTTATAGAGCATTAATTTTGTATTATTCAGCAAGGTAATTGGAAGATCTTGATTTCTTGCATTTAATCGGTCCGATAGACACTTTACTCATTAATTATGTAATAAAATTGTAATAAAAAAATTAATAAAATGCAATTTCGTTGAAAATGAAAATGAAGATATTAACTATTCAAATAATTTTACGTTATTGAGATTAAGTAAAAAGAAGTGTCGTCAGATATACATAGTAATAATAAGTGCATTATTTTTTTAATTTTTCGAAATAATTATTGTGCATTGCAAAATAAATATTAATATTAGATGCTAAAGTTTAATTATTTAGACATTGTAATTTACAGTTTTAGTTATTTTTAAATAAATTTCTAGTCATTCATTAATCTTTGTATAAATTTGTCATTCTTATTCGTGTTATTGTGTTATTAATTATAAATTTATATACCATACATTAAAATGAATAAAACAAAAAATAATTGCTAAATAAAATAACAACTTTTGTTATGATCATTACAAAAATTACAGTAAGCAGTTTTAAAGGTGATGAGATTAAAATGTCATTTAAATGTTTATAGATGCAAAATCAGAAATATCATTCCATCTAATTTTAATGAAATTGTAATCTTAAATATAATTAAATATTAAAAATAATTAATGACTGTTTAGCATTAATAATCAGTGTGTGAAAAAATATTGTAAATGTTTAACAATTTCTGTTTAATTAAATAAGTGGAAAAATTCGAGGGATCTAAGTTCGTATTTTCTTATATTACAAAAAATATTTGCGTTCATTTAGTTTTTGCTACATTTGCAACCTCATAAAACTCGTGACTTCACAAATTATTAGAATTACTCGTTATCGTCGATCTATATTCAGTTTTTATCTTCTTCGTTTCTCAGCATTTTCGCATTTATTCTGTTCTATCTTTCTTTTAGGCCATCCTTTTCTTCGTGAATGAGCGACTTAGTCTCCCTTACATTTAACCTCCGCAATATATCCGATCTCGATTTTCATTCCTGTCTCACTCTCATACTTTATTCCATTGTCTTCCTCCTTTTTCCATTTCACGCCTCGGTATTTTCAGCCTTTCCCACTTCCTTCCTTTCGCTACCGTGGACTAACAATATTTTACTACACTCTCTAGGAAAACAAAGCTACTTCGGTTTACGTTACTAAGTCGAGTGTGACAACCGTGAGCCATAAAATAATTCGTGAC